CGCCCCGACTTGGGAGCCCGCACCGAGATTGATACAGTTGAGAATGGCACAGACACGGGCCTCCTGCACCTCATCGAAGGAGGCTGAGGCATTATAAAGGCGATCGAAGTAGTCCGTCCACTCCGACACGTCTTCCACATTGCATCTGGACGCTGGCTTACCGTTCAGACGTTGCCATAGGGTCTTCGCATCCCGTTTGCATGTAGCTATGAATAACTCCAAGGCTCGCAGCCGGTGATCCCGTCGCGCGTTACGCTTAGCACGATTAAACTGACGACGTAACTCTTGAAAACTCGTATGCCCCATAGCCGGGGCAGCACACCCCCACTTCATCACATCAGACCGATACTGCAACATGGCCTGCTTAGCCGCAGCACACTCATCATTCCACCACGCCGCCTTGCCGTTAAAAACCGGCCCGGGCCTGAAGGCATCACCGAAGCAACCCAGCAAAATCCGTTCGATAGTGTCCACCGCCTGGGTGACACCAATCTGGCCAGCACGCAGGGAATCCACAACCGCCCGGACACCAACCACAGGGGGGGCCTCCGGGTTGTAGAACATGTCTGTGTACCTGTGCGCCTCAGAGACAAGAAACGTCGGCTTGGGTTTACGCGTGGGTGGCCGGTCCGGCCTCCAAACCGACGCGAGGTGAAGGGACACGGGGTTATGATCACTCAAGCGGCGTTCTTCACGGTAAAAAGATTGCTGTGGCAGGACACGGAAGGAACGCACGCACGGGTACAAAGAAGGGGACGCAAGCACAAGGTCAATCATGCTGCCTCCCCCCCGGCTGGACTCGTATGTGAGCCTGCCCTCAGTGTCACCCGGTGCCCGCCCATTGAGAATGACAACTTCTGAAACCCGGCACAACTCGAGCAGTTTACGTCCAAACGCATTATGCTCCTGATCTAGCGACCGGCGGGGCACACCCAGCAGTGCTCTGTATGCCTCGCCGTCCACAAAAGGGCACCCGACCTCCTCTCCTAAATCGTCAAGATAGTCTAGGTCCGGGATGTCGGAGAGGTGGTTGGGCAGCCCCCCCACGCGCGCGTTCCAATCCCCCAGAAGCAGGATCCTCTCACCCGACTGGCGGAGGGCGCCCACGACGGTGGCCAGATGATCAAACACTTCGTCCGCTGCTTGTCCGTCAGACTCGTGTGCCCTCAGGGACGCGTGGTGTACTACCGACGCCCTGGGGGAGACGTAGCATGCACCCACCAGGGTGCTATCCTGACCTGTTTGCTTGCTGCCCAAACGCAACCAAATAGACTCGCAGCCCGCAATATCCGTGTCAACCCTCAACAAAGTGACATCCCGGGCAATCGCGTCCCGGATATAAACAGACACACCCCCGTGCAGCCGGCCCGTCTGGGGCCCGGCTCCGCCTCTACAGGCTCGCTCAGCTACATGCAGTTGAAACCCTGGCAGGGCCAGGGCCTTGGCCGGCTTCCCGGCCTGCGCCGAACAGTGTGTTTCCGTAAATACTAGCACATCGTGGTCCTGGGCAATGCGGAGGAAAGATGGGTCGGTGAGCTTAGCTACCGACAAACCCCACACGTTCCAAAGCAAGACCCTGATGTCTTTAGATAATGAGTCACAATCGTAGCGTTGGTGGCTATGTTTTTTTGGGCGGGGCCCCAGCGCGAAGCGCCCAGGGGGGCCCCGACCTGTAGGATTGCCCATGTCCGTGTGTGTGTGTGCGTGTGTGTAACGGACCAAACATAATATCTCGGCAGGCGGCTGGCAGAGGTTAAGGCCTGACTTCTGCTCCCAGTTGACCCAGTCGACCCGGGTTCAAATCCGCCTGCCGGCTCCTCGGGTGTTTGAGGGGTGATGAAATGGGAGGTGGCCCCCCATCTTATGGACGGTGTAGGACGTGATAATATCAACTTGCGAGCTGACCAGGAACTAAGTTGATGCGCCGTTGATCCGCTAGATTTGGTTGGATGCTGGTGGTGAGTTGCCGAACTCAACGAATACATTCTGAAGTCGGATGGGGTGACGGATTAGGGTGCCCCTCTAGCAGGGGAGAGCAGGGACTGCCCCGGGAAAGGGGGCCGCTGGCGAAGTTAACCACCCTGTAACAACATACATAATATCTCGCCCGGCTGATACGCGTTATAGGTACTATATAGCATTCTCTATCGCAAGGTATCTCGCCTGTAGCCAACAAAAATCGTATGAGCACAAACAACTTTGGCTGCCTCAATTGACCGAGGCCAAAGTCACATCAACGCCTCTCGGGCTAAATTTCATCTCAAAAAGGTGCCGTGTATCTAATCATTGATTTCCGAGATGATAGCGTATGATAACTTGAACACCCAGCTTGTGTTACCATTTGCCCGCACGGGCATTCCGACTTGCCACCAGCAGGCCGACAAATTTGCTTACATTTCTCTAAGAAATACGCAAGCTGCTCATTTACTTTAGCCAATGCTCGGGGCCTCCGGAGACTTGCGGTGTGCCTCGATGAAGCCCGCGGCTGTGGGGCGGATTGCTGAGGCCGCTGGCGCTTCGGGGATAAACATCAGACAGCACCGAAATTCACCCAGCTTTCGTTACCATTTGCCCGCACGGACATTCCGACTTGCGGTCTGCCGCACTGTCCATGCGGCATGCACCCGGGATGGATGCGATTCGTGTGGAGCCCGGAGGCGGTGCTGACGATTCCGCCGGTGCAAGCTCTCACACCATCAGCACTGCTGCAACAAAGCACATCTCCCACCGCGTTGACACTACCCATCAATTGTCGCGCGTGCCGCGCTAGCTACCGGCCTGTACGGATGCAGGGGGGGCCCGCCCTTTTTACGGCTTCGAGGAAGCCGACACCCAACTTGTCGTATCTTAAGCACCAGTTGTTGCGAAGGTACTAATTGCAAATGTACACCATGATTTCCCGTTTAAGCCTAGGACATTTTTTTACACAAATCCCAGTTCGGTGCGCTTACAAATCAGTTGTAGATAGGACTTCTGCAGAATGCTGGATGCGACGTGTAATGTTCCCCTGGATCAAACTGCAGTGTAGCATCTGCAAGCAAACTACGATGGGAAGAACGTTGATGTACGACAAACGTAAACACCTCAACCGCCAAATCCAATCGTTTTCCGTACCATCGTCTACGACACCAATGACACCCGCACGCGCAGGATACACGACTCGATGCAAAAGTCAACACCTTGCCTGAAATCTGATTAGGATACTTCGAGACCACCCAGGCAACATCCTCCGGCCCTGAAATTTCTACGGCGCTCAACTTGACAGGACCGCCTGCCAAAAGCATTGCCGGCGGATACCGTGTGAGGGCAGGGATCTACTTGTGGGTTACGGACACCACCTTGCCAAGCATGACTGCGGTGTTGCCATCCAGGAAGGCAATGCGGGACAGACCCTCGCAGTTCTTGAAGGAATCAACAATTAGAGGCTGGGTTGGCTCGAAGACCACCTCAGCCATCTCGTTCGCCTTCAGGCCGACAGGCGACTCCATCTTCTTGCCACCAGTCTCCTTGCCCACCTTCCAGTTAATGTTGGACATGCGGCAGGCCGAGCGACCGCAACGCACGAAGCCGATGGGAGAGTAACCCTTCTTGACCTCGCCGGGAATATCCAGGGTCTGGATCTGAGCAGTGAAATCCTTCACAATCTTCAAGGTGCTGTCCGACTTCAGGATCATCACGTCGCCAGTGCGGGGCATGTTGCCCTTGTCCAGACCCTAGCGCAGTTAGGGTGAAGATAGGACAAGTCATTGGTCTGGTGACCCATGGAGAGTTCTTGATGGCCTACATATCCTCAAATACTGCAAACAAGCTCATTCTTACAATCAAGTGAGCTCACGCACCTTAATGTTCATGCCGACGTTGTCACCTGGGCCAGCCTTGTCTACACGCTTGTGGTGCATCTCCACAGTGAACACCTTGCCGGTGCAGGGGTTAGCAGCGGTGTGCGTCGGGAGGAAAATGACCTCATCACCGGGCTTGACGACACCCTGCTCCACGCGGCCAGCCAGCACATCACCCACACCCTTGATCTTGTAAGCGCCGGAGATGGGCAGGCGCAGAGGCGCGTCCACCTTGCGCTCCGGAACAACGACGAAGGCGTTCAGCGCGTCGAGCAGAGTGTGCACCGCGACCTTCTCACCCGAGAGGTTCACAACCGTCTGACCAGTGTACCAGGGCATGTTTGCCGACTGCGCGACACCAAGTACGATCAAAAGGTCAATGGGCAGCAGGCTATGAGCGGAAAGGAGCAACCCAGGACAGTACGCAGGGGCTCACCTTAGCAATCAGATTGTCGCCGAGCCAGCCCGAGATGGGCAGGATGGGCACGGACTTATTCACGAAGTCCTCCTTCCAGCCAACGCGGACAAGCATGTGCTTCATCTCGTTGGCAATCTCATCATAGCGCTCCTTCTTGTAACCAGCGGTATCGGAGTCCATCTTGTTCACACCCACAATCAGCTGCTTCACACCCAGCAGGTTGATGAGACGGGCGTGCTGGCGAGTCTGGCCCTGGATCTCACCGGCCTGTGCCAGAGGTTAATCGAGATACATGTAATCAATGGATTTGTAGACAACTACAATTTATGTGTCTTGGGTTCAACCATAGCAATGCGCATGGGGATCCGGCTAACCCCACCAAAAGCCGTACAGCCATGTCGACGGCTTGATGAAAGTACTTAAGAATCCCATTAGCAAACAAAACACACTTCCTTTAGGGTGAGAATACATCAATGTACGCACCTTGTGGTCACCCTTCTGGATGGCAGTAGTGAAGTTACCATCAGCAGGCACCATCAGCAGGCACACATCAGCCTGGGCAGCACCCGAAATCATGTTCTTGATGAAGTCGCGGTGACCTGGCGGCAAGGGCAACAATATATACCATGAAGGACCGTTGCAGACTGGTCGAGGCCCGGCGGCAACCCCCCTCCTCGAAATCAGTCCACCTCTGCTATCGTCCAGATGCCCCTGAAGGAATGACCCCTTTTTTCCTCACCCGGGGCGTCAATAATGGTGTAGTGCCACTTCTCCGTGAAGAACTCCTTAGTGGTGCATGCAATCGTCACACCGCGCTCACGCTCCTCCTTGGCGCGATCCATATAGAAAGCGAAGGCGAACGAGGACTTGCCCAGAGCAGCGGCCTCCTCCTTCAGCTTCTCCAGCTCACGCTCAGGGATACCGCCGAGCTCGAACAGCAGGCGGCCAGTCGTGGTCGACTTGCCAGAGTCGACATGGCCGCAACTGCATAACCCGCGACAGCCAACGTTTAGTGGACAAAACTAACATTCGGATCGATCGATCGCGTAATATCTACAAAACTTTTGAAGCAACAGGCAAATAACTAGAGACATTTTGCAACCAAAATTGTTAGATTCCTCTGAGCATCCAGGAGCAGTTAAGGCACAGGTACTCACATAACGATGGAGAGATGCACCTTGCCCTCAGACATCTTTGCGCTCCTGGGGATAGGGAAGATAGGAGGACCAAAGCTCACGAATACTGCCAGCACTCAACAGGTCGGCGTCAGACATCGTGGCGGCCATGTTTTGTTAAGAAGCCGTTGTAACCGAGCTGCCAAGAAATAAGCTGCTGAGCGCACTTTTGAAACGCTAAGGAAGGATTTGCTGTCCGAGACACTGAAGCCGCCATGCCGCCCAACCAATTCCTCACCTTTGTAAAAGCAGAGAAAACGGGTTACGAAAAGAAGACGGGTTGCTACCCGTTACTGCAACTCGTGGAAAGAGGATGGTTTGGGGTTCCCCTCCGAATTTCTTGCCGCTTCGGTGGTACGGCTCGTACGAAATATCGTCAACTGTCGTTTACTCTTCTTCTTTCAATTTAAATAGCTCTGAACACACAGGATTTCCTTGGTTGGACACAGCATGACTGTAAGTTCTATTGATCAGCACTAAGCTCCCTATATGTCTATTGTACAAGCAGTAGAGATTTGGTTATTGTGTCAACAACCAATTAAGCTCTCCATCAGCGTGCAAGGTGCTCGAAAATGAAACTCGGGATTGAGGGAGCACAATGCCGGCCAAAGATTGTAAGGCTGTCCACGCAAATGTTGTGGGTTTTGGAACCTCTACCCGGTAGCCGGGCCAGCATGGGCAATGCTCGTGCAGGTGCAAGGCGCAAGGACAAAGGGGCAGAAGACAAGTCCAAGGAGAAGGGTAATGGGAAATCCTATGGGAAGATACCAGGACAAAATTGCAGCTATATGGTAGGAAATGCTTATCACTAGCGCAGGCAGCCTGAGCTGGCCTGAGAACTAAACGCACGCGGTTCGTACAACGCCGCCTGCCCTCACCGCTCATCTTCGATCGAGGACGAGGAATTCGGAGACCTCCCCTCTGCCGTCCTTTTCTACGATTGAGCGTACCAACTGAGGTGTTATGTCCGGTGATGTTACTACGTACCACATGGAGTTCACGGGGTTGCCACGCGCTTTAGTGATGACTATAATTTAATGGCGAACTTTGCGGCCGTAGTCTCCCGCCCTCTGCCCGAGACAATACTGAGCGCCGCCAGGCACCGGTTCCGGGCGTTGCGTACATGCCGTTTCCACCAGCCACTGGAGGGTTCGGGCTCCTTCCTATTACGTAGCACGTATGCGCTCGTCATGCCTGCTTGGCAATTAGAGGTATTATCGGTATGTGTGGGATGTTCAACGCCTCTCCCTTTTGGACTCAAATTCTCCTTTGCTATCATGTGTCATGTCCACCTGGCGGCCCACCCGCTTTGCTTGCTTACTGTTAGGGGAGACATGCGCCAGGGCACTTGTATCACATTCCTTGGAAGGCCAGTATCGGGAGATTACCCGGCGTTGACACGTCTCATAACAGTAGACCTGCCTGCCTCAACCTGTCCTTGTAGATTCACATTTCGCCCTTAGGGCGTGGTGTTGTCCCATCCCACTTTGCGGAAACCCCTTGTTGGACGGGCAGGGCAATCCGTTGGATGTGCAATTTCAGGACCTCCGAAATGTGCGTGGATTTTATACTGTGGATGTTGCAGTGAGCTGCTTTGATGCTATGTCCTCAGTGTAGAATCTTTTGTGCTCAGTTGGTTTGCAGGGCCCAACACACACAATGTATAGACCAATATCGTACAATTGTTGTAACGCGGGAATCTACTGCTGGATGTGCCCCGTTGAAATACCTATTAACCCTATATTGTACGACGTAATCGAAGGCCTATATAGCATATAGCTCATGAATATAGTTGCGATGACAGTGGCTAGTTCAAACCCTTTCCTTCCTGGCAAGCATCACCCTGGCAGCATTCCACCCCTGAATACGTGTCTCGCGAGGAAGACCCACAAGTAGGCTTGGCAAGACTGAAGGCAAGAACCCCATGCAGTTAGAATCCGACCTGGTGGCGTTTATTTGCGTCCATCGCTTAACCTTGACTGGCTTGTCGGTCTGGGACTTGGGGGCCCAAAAGACCCATCGGGTCAATAAGGCCACTCCATGCTCTACGTAAGGAAACATTATTCTGTGAAATAGGAAGCAAAAAGATTACAACGGAAGAGACATCCCTTATTAATTCTTCAATAGTTCCATGTAGTCGGTACAACAAAAAGCAAAGAGCACACCACCATGAAGAGGAAGAAGGCATACAGTGAAAAGAAAAGAGAGAGATTTACTAGCAACGGCTATTATATTATAACTAAAAGACTGACTGGGTTGGCTACACGCAGCAGGGCTGATTTGGCCGATCTGCTGAAGTAAACGAAGTTTAATTGGGTGACAAAAGAGTTCCTCATAACAGCAACCAAGAGAAGGTCCTGCATAAAACACAGTTCTATGCGCTACGAAATGCTGTGCTAGGGGTGCGGCCCACAACGGGTCAGCAGGCGCACGAGCTTCCCATGTGCAGCGCACCAGTAGGCTATTAATACCCCTTTCCCCATTCCTGGGTACTCCTCCACTACCTTCGCTCCCTTAACCTAGCCCGCTCTCGAGGTCAGCTTCTGCGAGATCCGTCAACAGAGCGCACGCTGGGCGAATCAGCTCCAGGCGGCCTGCTCGCTCAAACAATCAATCAGTCAGGGGGTCATCTAAATATGGGTCGCCAAACAATAGTCCAACATTCTTAGATTTACCGACGGCTTCGTGCGCAGTCCCACCTTGGCAACAGTCGACACGGCGGGAGGGAGCAGCAACGGCACGCAAAAGAGCCCCCTTCCACCTCCGAACCGAACCAACGCGTCCGAGCCCCAAACCATTGGGAGCGCAGAGAGTCGCCTTCATGCATGCACCCCTTTACGAATGCGGATTTCAACGTCCTTATTATAACTTGTCTGGGAACTTAACTTGCTTCTGGAAAAGCATACATGTCTTGGTCGACTGGTCGAGAGCCACGTCAACTTTGGTCACTGAACTTGTCGCAAACGGGAATCCTTGTTTCCCATGATCCGCCTCTCTGCTTGCTTGCTTCCTTCGAGCACCACTAAGAAAAACTGGCCCTGGAAAAGCCCTCACCATCCTTATCCATATCATCCATTCACAATGCTCTTCTGTAACGCGAGCCAACCTAACCTCGGCCCAGGCTACTGTACGTCACCCCTGCCATTACGTAAGCCATGCCACGTCATCCACTGCGACAGCAAGCCCACCATCAGCCGCTCCGCCGTCATTCCATTGGGGGACAACAGCCCCGGCGGGCCAGCAAAGCCCCCCTGCTGTTGCTGTTGCTGCTGTTGCTGTTGCTGCGGACCCGAACAGCCAACACCGTTAATCCCTTGGACCCCGCCGAATCCCCCACCGCCGCCAACGCGCAAAAACGGTAGGGCGCGTGGCGACAGCGACGGAAACGATGTGGCCTTGCTCAGAGCCAGCCGCTGAGTCGAAGCCATTGTCGGCAAGACAGCAACAGAAGGCGGCGCCTGGGCTGGAGTTTGGGCCAAAGCACAGCTGCGGAGCGCAAAGAGCCTCCGCCCAATCTCTACCCCGTCCACATGGCCCTGATACCGGGCCATCCAGGACTGGGGCACCTCCTCGCAAAACACCTCTACTCGTGTACGATCCAAGCCCTGGCGCATCAGGTCTCGGCCCTCCCTGGACAGCACCCATGAGCCGGCCGCAGAAGAGCCACCGCCATCGCGGCCGGCAGCGGCGCCGGTCGTCAGGTCCGCCACATCCCGCGCCAAGAGCCCCTCCAGGCACGAACAAGGGTTGCGCCTCTGCGCGCCAGGGCAAGCCCGTCACATTTGCATAGACGCATTCGAGCTGCCGTGCGAGAAGCGCGAGTTGAGCTCCGTGCTTTCACTGCTCGATTTCATGACGAGAGGCGACTGTGGAGAGGGCGGTGCGTGGTGCGTGTGATGGTGCATCTTGGCTACGTCCACGGTGGCCATACCGCTGCCGACGAGCGACCCTAGGGTGGGGTAGCCCGACGAGGCCGCCGATGGCGCCGGCGCGGGTGGCCGCAGCGGCGTGACAGGGCCGCTGCCAGGACTCTGCAATGCCGGCGGTTGCTGGAGTGTTGCGCCTGCAGGCGGTGCTGGGCGGCGAGGCGTGGCAGCGGAAGGCGACGGCAGTGGCGAGCCTGAACTGGCCATGCTGCGCATGCTGCGCCTAGCTGAGAAGCGCGCAATCCATGGATGATGAAGCATCTCGAGTATGGTGGGGCGCTCGTTGGCGTGCTTGGACAAGGCCGACGATATGAAGGCGCGGGCCTCATCAGACATGCCAGCTGGGAAGGCAGGCATCGAGTGTACGATGCGGTCCTCAGTCGAGGTGCGCGACTGGTCAAAGAAGGGAGGGAAGCCAACGAGCAGCTCGTAGGTCAGGACACCCACAGCCCAGGCGTCGACGCGGGCTGAGTAGTGCAGACGGTCGTTCTCCTTGTTTTCTTCAGGGCGCGACTTGAAGGGGCAACGGAGGACTTCAGGAGCCATGTAATCCAAGGTCTGAAAGGGGAGGAAAAGGAATGGAGACAAAACGGTCGTTTTAGTCTTGGAAAAAGTGCCTGTTCAGGTGAGGTGGTAACGATGTTAGGCCGGAGCCGCGCAAATAAGAATTCCTGAAAATATTTCTGGCAAAACAGTATAATTGTATGATTGTTCACTTGTGATATTCCATTGTCCGTATAAAAGAAACTTATAGCTCAGGCAGGACGACGTCTGCAATGCAAATGCGACATGCGAGTTGCCTAATTAGATCCGTCTAGATGCCAGCTGCCCGTGCGGATGCACAGCGTCATCTTCATTGATGTTCGTTGGTATGTATCTATATAGCTATAATCCAGTGTCCAGTTCTCGAGCGATGACTCTAAAGGCCATGGAAACGGTGCCGGCCCGCTGTCAGGCCCGCCTATCCACTCGCTGCGAAACCCCACTTACCCCGGCGCGGGTGACGGCGCGCTCTTCCCGCAGGTCAATGGCCAGGCCAAAGTCTCCGAGCTTAAGGCACATGGCCTTGTTGAACAAGATGTTTTCGGGCTTAATATCGCGGTGGATGATGGCGCGGCTGTGCAGGTACTGCAGCACACGAAGGAAGGGCTCCAAAACCAACTGTACGGCCAGGCGCTCCGTCAAGCGGCCGCCGTACTTGTGTAGCAGCGTGAACAGGTCCGAGCCGTCTGCATACTCTTGGACCAGAATGACCTTATCACCCTCCTGCGAGCAGTGAAGACAGCATGGCATGGGTTTAATAAGCTGGGAACACATACAGGCATACAGGCCGCGGATGGAGGGGACTAATAAATCAAATTCTATGCGACGGTAGTGAGTTGCAACGCCCTTAAGGCCCATTAAATGTCCAGCAGCTATAAATGCAGAGGCGATATAGCTGCATTGCCCGTAGCAAAACAATCAAGCGGGGCAAACATCAACAACTCATTGACGGTTTGAAAACAGTCCAAATGCACCACTACCCAGAAGGGAAATCAGCGAGGCACCAAAGCAGGCAGTAGACCTTTACCGCAAGCGCACAAATCTCCACCTCGTCACCCACTTCCGCCAAACCCCCTACTACTCCCTCCCGTGCGCTGACCCATGGCAGCCTTACGCACCTGGAACGCAGCGTACAGGTGCACGATATTCTCGTGACACAGGCTCGAGTGCACCCGAACCTCCCTGTAAATTTGGTACTTGTACAGGTCGCACACCGACATGAGGTGGTAAATCTTGAGCACCACCACTTCGCCCGACGCACGGCAAACCGCCTTATAAACCGTGCTGGCGTAGCCTGTGTACAGCTTATCGCCCAACGCATAGTCTGAAAGGCGCCACTGCGACCGCTGCATGCGGGGCGGCAAGTTGGGCGAAACCACCAGCGGAATGGTGGGTCCGTGGTGAGGGTTGGCGAGCGGGTCCGCGGGCATGGGCTGTAGCGGTCGCCCTGACTGCGGCAGCTGGCAGAAGCGGGCCGCCTCCAGCAAGCGATCCAGGTTGGAGGCATAGGCATGGGAGTTGAGTGGGGCACCGGCCTGGTGGCCCGCTGAGAGAGGCGCTGACTGCTGCTGCTGCTGCTGGGCTTGCGTGCCGGCGTGTTGATGGGCATGGAGGGGAAGCTGCTGGTGATGACTGTGGGAAAGGGGGTGGGCCTGCTGCCCGTGGACGTGGGAATGGGCGTGGCCAACCAGGCCCGAATGATGGGACATGGGGGCGGCGGGGGCGCCAACAGAACGACTCGATTGGATCGACATCGCAGAGACGGACGAGCTGCTCGAGAGGGTGCTATCGTTCGAAATTTTGCTGCGCTTGCCAGCGGCAGCTGCGGTGGTGCTGACAGGCGCAGGCTCCGGCGCTGCTGGAGATCCCGCCTCCGAGATCTTCATCTTGTTCACGTACTCTGTGAGGCCGCTGTTGTAGCTCATAGCGCGTGACATGTTCTGAGCATCCACAGCCGCGCAGCCGTCCGTGGCGCAGACCTGCACCGCCGCTGCATTATTGAGGGCGGCGGCGGCCTTAGAGAAGGCTGACACGGCCGGCGGGGCGGCGGGTGACTTGGGCTGTTGCGCGTGGTGGTGCGCCGCGGGGCTGTTGGCTGCGCTGCTGCTGGTGGAGGAGCCCAGCAGCAGAGGGCTGATCATGTCCATAAACTTCTTTGGCACAGACGCCGATGCCGGCGCAGAAGGCTTGGGTGAAAGCTTCTTGGCTGCAAGTAAGTCGGGCGGGGTCCGCGGTTTGCGAATCCCGAGTCCGTTACATGCCGAGGAAACGATAATGCCGCAGGAGGAAACGATAATGCCGCAGGATTTTACAATGTTATTGAATGGTGTGAATACTTATGCTAAAGGTGCAAAACTGGTTTGCCCAAATGCAACTGCATCGGCTCCAGACGTCTCATGCACCTGGTATTCGACTCCTGTTCACAAGATACCAAAATTACTTTTATTTGTTCCAAAAAAATGTATTTGTAATGGCAAGAGGTGAAAGTGATGCCCGTATTCTGTGTGAGAGCAGCACTCTAGCCGAAGGCCGACAACACGGCAACCGCTTGCTCACCTTCGTCCTTGCTACCCAAGAGCCCCTTCAGGAAGCCCTGCTTATCCTGCTTTTCGGCAGAATCTGCAAGGCAATAAAGCCAATGTATTTTTAAAGGTTGCGTTGCAACGGGACATTGCAGTGCACAGCACGCACGCCGCGACTCACCGACGTATGTCATGTCCCCTCTTGCGCCATTGTAGTATCCAGGCAAATCCATGTTGGGTTTCGGGACTGAAAACAGGATTACAAGGGCTCAGTGTCCCTCGGCTTTTGCTTAACTTGGCGCCGTCGTGGTAAGCCCGGAGAGGCGACGAATGCCAATTTAGCTAAGAGATCTTGAGAAAGACAGGTCCTAAGGCTGAGTTGCTCAACCTGCGAAAAGTTGTGAATGGAATAGTTTTAGGCCGGGGTTACTTGAAAACGGCCCGTCCGGTAGCGATAGTTGTATCCAAAATACGGCTTTGTGCCAAAGCAATACGTGGACAAAAACATGTGTGCGATACATTTGCAACGCATCAATTTCATCCTCAATGGACATATGGAGTTACGACGGGCCACATTGTGTGTCCGCGCCATCACGACATAAACCAAGCCAGCTCGCGATGTTTGACTCCATAACAGGTGTTGTATTACAGCTAAGAATGTGCAGAGCTATTCGACATGATGGCATGTAAATCGCAAGAGACCCAATGGACCTGGCCCATGCACGATCGACGCAGTTGAGTGCAGGGTGACAGCAACAGCAACATAACCGAATTAAATGCAAAACATGATGTTTCATCGACTTCATCTCACGAGGATGTGGGTGCACTGAACCGCCCTCGCCGACCCAGAACGGCAGCATCACAGAACCACCCCGTTCGAACCTGCAAGGAACGCCGACCCTGCCGCTCGAGGATGCTGCTCGGCTTGGTTGAGCTTCTCACTTGCTACTTTAGTGACACCGAAGACTATGGGGACTAAAGTAGCAAAGCCCAGACAGCAATAAGTTGCGACACGGGAATCTTGTGAGGTTATTGTTGATGAGGCTGAGGGTCACAGGGGAAGACTTACTATCAAAACTTAGGTGGCGTGATATGCGGGTGTGACCCGCTCGGCTTATTTGCGGGGCGATAGGGCACAGCCGTACGGTTCGGAGGCGGGCGCGCTACTTCTGAGTTCCTAACTCCTTGCGCACAGATGGGCAGGAGGTTATGGTACCCATAAGGTGACTTTATTGAATGATTTTAGGCGGGTCTGAGCTATTGTGAGGTGGGCGAGTGCTCGTTGACAGGTGGGACCCTTGGAGGAGGGCTCTCAAACGTTGACGTGGCTGATGTATATCCATCTGGGACACATAACAATAATAACAGCTACAAATTTTTGTTGCTTTGAGGTTTCCAATGGCAATAAATAAGACCCGAAGAGAGTGCGGCATCGACCAGTTTCCGCTGCCTCGGATGCCTCGATGCAATAATTGCATAGAAAAAATTACACTTGAAACAAAACACAAAAGCATAGCTTGAAGGACGCAGCAAACCGGTGTCGATAAGCCTTCCCTCTCGGAAAAGTTCGTTGGGACGCGCCCACCTCGCAGCCGCTGTTTGGCCCCAACCCTTGAACACGTGTGAAGGTCCTGAATCCTACGCTCACATAGGTACAGCTACCTATAACACATGCATCGCGTGGTGTCCTCCTCCACTGCAGAAAAGAGTGACCGACAAGAGAGGGCACATTCGCCTTTTTTCGAGTGGAGCAGTACTCAAATATCAATTTTACAGAGCCTCGGTGCATGATGCATGATGCTCAATTTCGTACCGCTGTTGTGGCGCAAAACACTACCAATTCGCAGTCGAGCCTCCCATCTGCCTCCACCTAGGGAAGTTCAGGGCTCTTAAAACAGTACAAGAAATGAACTGGATGCACCGAGGGCAGAAATGCAACGCTCCAGCCAAAGCGTAATCCTCCAGAACGTGTCGAACTGTTTGACCGGCCAGCATCCCGACAAACAGACAGGTCCGACAGTTGATATTCACAGCTCACGGCAAGCCGCTTTGCTGTGCTGGCGACGGCGACTGCGGCTATCGTCTATAACGCAATAGATACGTGCAACTTTGGACGGTTGAGTTAAAGTTTTCGACGTTGACAGGCAGTGCCTCCTGCGCGGCAAGATGCGCTGCGAAGCTGGGCGGCTTTACTGCTCCGAGACCCGTCCCTCCTGGCCGTCTATCCAGTCGCGCCCTTTCTCCCATAACCTCATCCGCAGCCACTGCTAGCAATTGTAGCGGCTTTACAAACTCCCCCTACCCTTATTGTTGGATAGCAACATGAAATCCACTCAGACGCACGTCGCGAGCTTCGCTTTGCGCCTAGGGACCCTCCGCCCCCAGTTTCCATGAGTGCAATACACAAAGGAAACCAGCTCTGAGTGTTTTAGGGAAAAAATGTATCCCCAAGCTCCGGTCCTTGGGGAAGAAACTTCAGCGGCCATGTGACTGTCAACGCATTCGATCCGTGTCCTCTTATCGCCATTCCCCAGTCGGGAGGCCCTGGCCCCGGCCCTGGCGGAACAGTGGGCATCTAGCGTATATTCGCCTCCGCTGTAGTGGCCCCGGAAGGGCGACCACCAGGCTATCCACACACACAACCGCCCCACGATCGCTGAAGGAAAAGAAATAATAAAAAACCAAAGTTAGTCGCACCACTGCGCTGTATAAATCACCCCTCCCTAAACCAAAAAGCGCCCTAACGACGGACGGCCCACGTAACCAACAAACTTCACTTCGACCTAGGCAACCTAAGCCGACAAGCTACAGACCAGGCACGCCGGCAATCCGGCAACACTCTCCCGCCACTCACATACCCGGGGCCTGACCTGATCTGACGTGATGTGGTGGCGGCCATACGTCGTGTCCTTCTCCGTCGCTCACACTCAGCTGCCATATAGCCTGTGCATCTAGTCGTCCCACTGCGCACACTTCAGTGCAACTATCGGGCCCCCCGGCGGGGCCTAACACACTCAGTGCAAGCAGCCCTGTAGCAACTCTCGTCTTGCCCAGGACACAAGTACACGGCCGGCCTAAGGTGGACGGCAGCCACAGCTCCGGTACACCTGTCCCAGTCAGGCACCGCCACTTAATGAACCAAGGCTACCGCAGGCAAGGCGATGGCCAATCTCCCCTACCCTGCCCACCCGCCCTAGCTCTAGCCAGCCATTTCATGGGCAGTCATCTCCGAGGGAAAACAGATTCCTTCGGGATCCCTTACCCAGGTCTACCCCCCATTCCGCCTCCACAACCCACACAGCCACATGCTCACGTCGTCGCATATGCCGGAGTCAGTCGTCGGCTGCCATTCCGCCATTCAGCCGCCATTTCATCCATCCACTGCAAACTGAGCCGCACCAGCGACGAAGCGGCCAAAACGAAGCGGGAGAACTTCATTAGCCATAGGCTCTCCATTTCTTCACAAGTCATGCTTACAAGTACTAGTAGGTCACCTCCTCCTCACGCAGCAAGACCCATTTTCGTCAGGGCCCCCTCAGTCCCAACACACATCGCTCGCGCTATTTCTCTCTGCGGACTCACATCACACATCGCCGGAGGTATCTCCGTCGGAGGCTACTTGGGAGGGCATGAGGGGTGACCCGCATAGCCATCAGCTGGCTAGCTAGCTGCTTGGCTGCTCGGAGGCCTAACCGACCACCACCAGGCACCATCAGGCGCAATCCCCCGACTGCGGCCATCCACACGACACGACACGACACAACTCGACGAGATGCGGGCGACGGGGCGATGCTGCTGGCGGAGAGATGGAGTCGAAGAGGTGGAAACCCAGCCAGCCGCCTACGTTACAGGCCAGTAGCACCTAGCCAGCTAAGAACTAACAACTAACCAACCACCAAGCCGTACTGCAATGATGTCATCAGTCCTGGTTGCCTGTGGGGCCCACGTAGCGAGCCTTAATCAGGTCCTCTAGCATTTGGTTCACAAGCCATCGCCCCGTGGGCTGTACGTCTAGACGGTTGTGGTCCCGGACGTACTTGCCGCCCCGAAGTTTATATTGCAGTACAACGGTTGTCACGACGTAGCTGGCGCCCTCCACGTCGATTTCCTCGCCGCATTGCGTGTTGGGCGGCAGCGCGTAGATGCCGAGTGAGCGTGGTGGCGGTGTCACCACCCGCACCTCGTACAGCCCGGGCTGCCTGGCCTTCTTGCCGCCGCTGCCGGGCAGCAGCCCGCGCTTGTTGGGATGCTTGCCGGGGGCTCCGTCTGGCGATGAGGGAGCCGGGCTTGCCTTGGAGCACTGAAAGGAGACGTGCAGGGCGGGGAATGCAGAGCTGTAAAGAGGCATGCGTGTTGCGATGTGTCGAGGCACAAGCACCTGCAAGGAATCGGGACGGCTGGAAAGCCACGATATGTGATTATAAACAACAGCCATAGGCCCGACGGGCAGCCAAGGATTCCCTGTTAGATGGAGAGCGTGCGAGCGTTTGGGCCTATCGGCCCCTTGTCCAATAATGATAACGACTACACACTGCCGATAGAGGCAATCGTAGCCGCTGAGCTGATGTGTAACCATAGTGGGCTCCCAGTGCCCCAAAGTATACCACTCACCTGAACCACGAGCGAGCGGTTGGTCCGTAAGCTAATACGTGGGACGCTGCGTGACGCCTTAAATGTCGTTTCACCAACGAAATTTTGATGCATTGCGGTTGCCATCATTCACACGTCTACGAACGCTGTTAAACAAGTGGCTGTGGGGACAAAGTCAGTCTATCCAACGTCGCACCGGCACAGTTATTAAAGAACGTCAAGTTATTAAATATAGCTGCTATGTTGATCGGCTTGCTTTGCAGATACCGGCAAGCCTTGCAAAGGGTTTGGCTACTGCTTTGTGTCCTCGTGCAAGCTGGTAGCCTGCTAAACGCATAGACAACAGCAGCAATAACCATGGAGCCCCATCAGAAAATATCTTGGGTGATTGAAGCATGCGGCAAACGATTCTGGTAAGCCCGTTGGCACGACAAGGTGCATGATGTAGTCTCTTATTCTAGCAAGCCATACTGCTCATGGTAGTGGCTTCATATAACCTTAAACAAATGCGAAGTTGTTTGCGGTCATTGCTTTGCGTTCTGTGGTTTGTGCTGCTGCTCACAAGTGCAGCACGCGACATATACTCCAAATCGGCAGTCGTGTCCCTCCTAGAAGACGATCCCCTTGTGAAAATAGCCAGTAAGTCATTACGCATTAGGGAACCATGGAGCTGGAGCGTTGTAAAGCCAGGCTGACGTCAGTACGGCCTCGGTCGCAGAGCTTGTGGTGCCGCATGGCTACCCCCTGGACGTCCACAACGTTCAAACGGACGATGGTTTCATTTTAAGCATCCTGCGCATCCCTCATGGCCGGGCGGCCACGAACGCCACATGGGGATCATCCGTCGGTTCGCATCAGAAAGCGGACCAGGCCGCCCGCAGGCCTGTTGTGTTCCTGCAGCACGGTCTACTAGATTCCGCGGCGGGCTTCCTTCTCAACGGCCCGGGACGTAGCCTGGCATTCCTATTGGCGGATGCAGGTCAACAGGGTGGAGTGGGAAGGCGCAGCTAACCTGTACCCAAAGGCGAAAGGGTTTGAAGGAGGTGTAGAGGGATCCAAGACCCTCGCTCCTTTGGCTGCACAGCTTCTCCTTCCCTCTCTCACTCATATCACAAGGCCACCGCTCCGTCCCATCCTATGTTGCCCCATCCCACCAGGCTACGACGTCTGGCTGGGCAACGTCCGCGGCAGCACCCTCAGCCGCACGCACCTCTACCTTGACCCCTCCAGCCAACTCTTCTGGCAATGGTCGTACGATGAAATTGCGGCGTACGACATGCCGGCCATGCTGCAGTACGCTCTTCGTACGTCGGGTGCCACGTCACTACGCTACGTGGGTCACAGTCAAGGCACGACCGTGCTGTTGGCGGCGTTATCAGGCAGCCGGGGTGTCGCACCCCCAGGGGGTGGGGAGGGTAGACGAGGAAGGGGGGCCGGAGGCGGACCGGCGGTGCCGGCTGGCTGGGTTGAGCGGGCGGTGTTGCTGGCTCCTGTGGCGGTGGCGAAACACATATCCAGTGTGCCGCTGCTGGCCATGGCGGCCTTGGACACGGACGATGTGAGGCGGGGGAGGGCTGAAGGAGGGAGGGAGGGACATACGCCTTTGTATGCCGCACACTGTATGCCATTTTAGTTGTCATCGCTATCATCATCATGTACTTCTTGTGCATTGCGTCATGCTGTGGACGTCTCCACCTGGCTGCGTGTCCGGCTTTATCAACCAACTAGTGCGCGATGGGGCGTCAACCCGTATACGCTAGGGGCAGCAGTGCTGTGCTGTGTGGTACGTCTTGGGCGCCTCGCATCCTTGTTTCGCATGCTATCAATCTATCGATTTATCGACATCTTTTTATCTCCGCCCTCCTCTTTCCTTTCTGCCTTGCCGGTTTTTGAGTCTGGTGATTTCCTCATATTCCCCTTCCCTCCCAAGTTGCACGCCTGTGTCTGTCTGTCTGTATCTTTGTTCTTAATTGTGTCTGTACGTATGTATATTTCTTTCCTCCCTCCCCACGCTCCCCTTCCCAAGATGTTTACGCTGTTGGGGCTGCATGAGTTCTTGCCCAGTCAGCAGCTGATGGCGGAACTGGAGGGCCGCCTGTGCGCCGTACAGCCGTACTTGTGTGTCAGCTTCCTAGCCGCGCTGTGCGGTTACAACCCTGACAACCTGGACAACAGCCGACTGCCGCTGTACCTCAGGTACACACCCGCGGGGACCAGTGTACAGAACATGGCGCACTGGGCCCAAGTAAGGCGGGGGGGGACGCCCAGGGAGGGCCCCAGGGGGGAGGGCGCCCGGGAGGGGGGGGGGAAAATTGGAAGAGGCGGGGTGAGCGGCTTCCTTACAGGTGGTTGTGTTGTCGTGGATGTGTGAGTTGTATACGGCACGTACGGCAGGCGATACGGTCACGTGCGCCCAACACGATGAGCTTCTTCGACTACGGCGTCAACTGCGCCTCGAGGAGCGGTCGTTGCAACCAGCTCATGTACGGCAGCATTTCGCCACCGCGGTACAACCTGACGGCCATCGCGACACCGTTGGCGCTCTTCACGGGTGGGTCGTGTGTGTGTGTGTGTGTGTGCGTGTGTATGCGTGTTGGGGGATGCAGGGGCTGCGAGAGGAGAACGGTGAGGAGTGCTTGGGGCGTGGCGACGACGGCCCAAAGAAGACAACCAAACTTGAGCCCTTCCCCCTTTGGTTCCCCTTTTTGTTCATCCCCTAAAGGGGAACTAAAGGGGATGCCTTTGTGTCAAACTTCGTCCCCCGAAGGGGACAACCCTAGGGGATGAATTCCCCTTTTTGTTCATGCCCTTCGGGGATGCCAAAGGGTTGGGATCTGCGTTGCGTTGCGCTGCGCGGTGCAATTCAATTCAAACCAATTTATCGATTTGTATAGCAAAGTGTCGCCTAGCAATGCATTGCGGGCGCGTCGTATCGGAATTCTTCGACTATTGTCTTGCATTGAAGGGCGTGAGCGCCTATGTCTTCGCAAACACGCAAGCCTAGGCAATAGAGCTTGGAGTTCTGTGCCAAACAAATGCAAGTTGTCTCAGCTATCTTCAAATCGTGTACTGTTATTGTACAAGATATTATCGGGCGAAGATGACGTTTGGCGAATCACTAGGAAGTTTAGCCGTAGCGCGGCCGTCCTTTCCCTGTTAGTCGGGATTTCAGCGCGGGAGATAACCGTTTTGGTACGTTCATGTTGATTCGAACATTTTATTATCATTTTTAATTGAAATGAAAGGCGCTTGTGTCCGCCTGCCTGCCTCGACTAACTTGCACAGCAGTACGGTACACTCCCTGGTTGAAACCTGACCCTTTCAAATCAAATAGACCCAAAACCACCAAAATCTAAAAATTCTCCGAAACTCCATTCAATAGCCTCCGATGTTGCCATGATGTGCCGTATTTATTTCTGGCAGATCTGAACGTCCTCTTGTCTGAAAGCGCTCTAAAGCCGCATGTGCTGTTGTATATGGGTTTGGGACGGAAGGAACGCCGCCGATGAGTAGCTGAAATGTGTTACATATGAACTTCGTTTAAGTACATGCCTGCAAGTTGCGATCCTGTGCCAGAATGGATCAAGGCACGGCTAGCTTGCCTTCCCAGTGCAGTGTCCGTCCCAATATCCGTTCTTGCTGTGGTAATTGTACGGCCGTTACAAGGGGTGCTGCTCTTTCAATCTTGCTGGCTGTGATGCTGCCGCTGAGGATGATCTGATGCAACTTACATCGCGCACATCATCGCCGGCCGTGCAATGCCAGCCTCTCCCCGTAGCCGCCCGAGTTTTCGTGAAGATCCCCCGCCAGCTGCTTACCTCTCCTTCCCTCTCGGTTTAACAACCTGTGACCCATATCGTGTCGTATAGTACCGTACTGCACCTCACATCGTACTGCGCTGCGCTGAACTGTAGGTACTCAGGACCGGCTGTCCACCCCAATCGACCTCGAATACTTGCTCGAGTCGTTAGGACCGGGTGTCGTACAGCTGTCCAAGAACCTGGAGGCATACGAACATCTGGATTTCATTTGGGGAATTGACGCCAAGGAGGCGCTGTATGACGACGTCCTGCGGTTCCTAGCGGGACAAGACGATGGTGACGGTCGCGGTGGCGGGTGGGGGGGAAGCGGGGCAACCGCCGGGCGAGGGGAGGTCGGCACTGGCTTCAGCTAGCTGGGCCGCCATGTTGGCGCGGAATGGCACACCGATGTGTGCACCGTCACCCCCCTCCGTCTTGACGGGCACCGTTTGAGGCCTCAGGGTGTGCGTGTGCGTTCGTAGGTATGCAGGGCTACGTGTGTAGAGCCGCTTGTGCATTATTCCCTATTTCATTAACCTACGAGTTGCGTGAGGGTGGCAGGCGGTGCGGTGAAGCGACTTGGGTCGAGGCCAGCAGCAGGTGGGGGTCTCCTCCTAGGATACCACCTTGTCGAGCCTAGTTAGGCATAGGGAATCCAACTCTCTAGATAGGTTAGCGGCGCTCTCAGTGGGTGGCCGCCGAGCCCCTCATCAGCTGGGAGGGGGGTCGTGTCCATGTCCACGTACATGTCACCGCCGCACACAAGGGGGGTTCTTACCTCACACATGACGGCCTGGGGGGGCCCGGGTACCTCTACTCCCGATTAGGGACGTGTATTCACTACACGTCCGCATGACTGAGGTGCCCTGTCTGCACGAGTCATGTGGTAGGGTGAAAATCACGTGGAGGTGGGTAATCGATCCGAAGGTAGCTGTTTGCTTGATGTTTGTTGCAGTGTTTGTTGCGAAGAACTCGCTCTGTGGGGAGGGGAGGGGAATGGTTGCTAATAACCTTGGGACAGTGTTGCAGCACTAAGATTGTTGAGGAACAAACGACTGGTCGACTGGACTGACCCACTCTTCCACCCACCCGCCCACCCAACCAATATATATATATAATATATATATATATATACACGAACAGATATGGCTCTGTGTGGGTTCGCAGGGTTGGGAGCTGGGCCCCGCGTATTGGCAGGCCCAGTTCGATCATGGACATGTGTACAGTACTCGCATCCAGATTGTGTACCATTAAATACCGGACGTCAGTGTTCCCTCCCTGGACTGTCTTGTTCTGCCTCATGGGTCGCACTCATGGCGATATTGGGTTGTGTCGGCTTTCTTTACTCGTACAGTACTTGCATCCGAAACGTCGTCTGATGATGGCTTGAGCAGATGATGCCTTTATCCCTTTCCATGTTTTGAATTTGGTCCACCTGTCAGAGGCACACACACGCGCGCGCGCGCGTCGTGTCTGTGTGTGCACATGTATGTATGCCTGGGGACGTGTGGCACTTCCTGCGTCTCCAGTTTCCCTTATCACCGGACTCAGTGCTCATCTGACGACCTAACGACCTCCTAGTATAAACATTTCCTCTGTAATTTGATAATCGTTACTTCGCGCCTGCCGTTGACGTGCGCTGGCGCCGCAGCCCGTCGCGGTTTCTCTTGGGTTTACTAGAGGACTTGAGGTCAATAGGGCGCCCTGTGAGACCTGTTGCTGTTGCTTCATCAAGGCCGCCTTAAAGGCAGAAATCCGGAACTGCTTGTGCCTTGTCGTACGTGCACCCGTGTTGCGCAAAGCGTTGCACGGCTACGTGGCCGCGTTGGACGGAATAGAGGGGCGGAGGGTGCATTGCTGAAAAGCCAGACTAAGCGTTGCTGCAAAGGAATAAAAGCGAGAAGTGAGCTGTGTGGTCATGGCAGTGTGGTTTATTGTCACACATGATGTAACTGGGGCGTTTCCAAGCGGTCTCCCACGCATGTGCCATTACACAACTGAACTCCGCAAGGGTGAGAAATCCAACCATTCCTAGCCACTCACATTGTATGTACTAGTCACAGTTTTTCATATGGCGGTAAACTAATAGCCATTAGTCGATATCGGAAAGCCGCGCCCCGTGCAATTTGCATGGAGTCCGCGGTACGACATCGAGGTACGACATCAAGAGTTCATACTCGCATGATCAAGCCGCACCGCTAAAACAATATCCCATTTTTGGGTTCGTGCGCATACGACAAAACACATACGATCACATGCTCACATCTGTATGCAGACTGGCAATGTCAAGCTTTTAAGGCACCACCGGCGACATGGCGCCGCGTTTCCGTGCACCTGACGCCAAGCCAAGCGAGGAGGTGAAGCTCCTCTCGCCCCTCACCCGTCCCGCCTGGAACTTTGTTTCGACGGCATATGGTGGTTTTTTCAGGATTGAAATAACGCAACTGGTTAGCGTCATCACGGGGTTTAGCAGCTTCTGGACGCTCAGTCAAAAGCAGCCGTACAACACCCCGCGGCTAGGCGAAACAAGGTAATAGAGCATCGCCAATCCCGCCGCGACAGCAACAGTGTTGAGGAGGAAAATATAATAAGTTATCACGCCTCCGAACACCGCGCTCGCGACAGAACATATCGCGTCACCGAACCTTCCCTCTCCATCCATCCGTTTTGTTTTCTGTGAAACCCCACATGGCTCAGATACCTGATTCACCTTAAGCTGCATGCACCGCTCCTATTGCTCGACCTATCACCTGGTCGGATACGTGCAACAGCAAGAACTGCGCTCTAAGCAAATGTCTTAATGCGACTGCAAAAGATCGCTGTGGAGCTCATCGCTGTGGGATCACGCCAACACACATGCCGCCGCCGCTTACGCTGCGCCTCGTCCCACTGACCTCCGGCGGCCGCAGCCGCAACCGGTGTCGTCACTACATACCTCAGCGCTCCTCCAAACCGAAGCGCCAACGCCACTTCCCACAGTCTCACCAAGCCTACCCTCAGGCAACCCGAGCCTATACGCGCCGTAGTGGAACCCCGCACGCCACCTCATCACAACCCCTTAGCGAGGTGCTACGAAACCCTCGCCTGCAGGTTGGGGACCAACACCCACTCCCACACCCACACCCCCAGCACCCGGCACTGGGGTGACCGGGGGAAACTGCGGCCGCGGCGGCGGCGGGGTCCCTTGGATCCTGCCGGCTGCCGAAGGCCACGGTCCGCCTGGGCCATACACCGGCGTAGTGATATTGCTACCCGGCGGCATCATCCGCGGCCCAGGCGGTGGTCCGTACGGCGGCGGAGGGCCTGGGTACGGATTCACCGGCTGGCCACCTGGTATGGGCGGGCCCCGCAGCGGTGGCGCTGTGTGTGCGGGCGGTCGCTGCGGGCCCACGGGACGGCCGGGCCCCGGAGCGGGTCCCGGCGCCAACCCTGCCAGTGGCGGTGCCCCTAGTCCGTACTGTATCTCCCTGATGAACCGAGCACCCAGACTCTCCAGCTTCACCTCGCCTGATGTGGCGTCAGAGATCTGAACTAGGTTGTCCACCTGCGTGTGTGGGGAGGAAGGGGTAGGGGGAAGAACGGGTGGGGAAAGGCGGGTTGGCGGGAGCAGAGAGGTTGTAGGCGGCCAGGAGGACTAGCAGCTAGGGTGAAGCTGTCTGTGTGCGTGTAAGGGTTGAATGTAGGCAACGGAAGCTCGCATGCAGACATGACCTACCGATCTGTCCCCAGGAGACGACCTGTGCCAGGTAATTCCGGTGCCGGTCCCCTGTCCCCTCTCCCGATGCGGCTACCCCCGGGTGGGTGAGATGCCTCCCGAGAGAGGGATGAAACACATCACGTTTGGCGCAGGGTGCGTGTGGTTATGGACAAGAGGCCGCTCACCCCCACCTTTTTGACCTTGTGCGCCGCCTTCTTGCTGACAAAGGGCTGTGCCAGCGCCAGCAGTGTGCGAGCCCAGGCACTGGGCTGCACCAATACAACGTGCTTTACGTTCTTGCGGTCTGCGGCGGGGTAGGAGGTAACAACAACAACAACAACAACAACAGCAGCAGCAGCAGCAGCAGCAGCAGCAGCGTGGGGTTCCGGGTAGCAGTCACGGTGGCAGGCAGGGGACTAACACTGGACACAGCCAAACTCCCATCCAGCGCTATGCTCTGCACCATCCACAGTAGCGCCGCAACCCTCCGGGGGAGCAAACATCTCCACCACTGACAACATTATCAGATGACGATAAAAGAAAACACGTTTCTCCATTCATCCATTTGTTCAACGCCCGGGGCACATGCGACATACATACGCAGGTACTACCCACATGGTTTGGCCAGCGAGCGGTATGCCCCGAGCGCCCAGGATGAGGACACGGAGCTCGCCTTCACCCCCAGGCCCAGACTGAGCACCACAATTACGTAGTCCTGCTGAACCACCGGCTGCAGCTGCTGCAACACGTACTGCAGGACATCATTCTTCTTGGCCTTGACGGGCAGCATCGCCGTGTTCAGCACCACCACCGGACGCCCCAGCGTGTCGCGTCCATCCGTGTAGAGCAGTCCGGGGTACGGGCTGGGAGGAGGGGGCGGTGGAGGCCGCGGGCCAAAGGCGCCAGGCGCAAGCGGCGGCCTGCGAGGAAGCATTCATCCGCAGACTTAAGTCGAAGGTCGGGGACCGTCAGGCCTGCATACGCGAAAAAGCAAGCCTTACAACACACGGAGAATACCCGTTGTGCGCCTTGCGCCTTCTCCCTCACACCGCAATAAACCCCACACAATCCTCCTCCCCCCACACCTCAAGACGCACACGCACACACGCCCCGCAGAACTCTCGTACCTGAACGCTTCCGGGGGCCCAGCCGGTCCCGGCCCCGGCATTGGGCCGCCTCGCCCATTCCCGAGCATAGGGCCCCCAGGGCCAAACGGCGGTGGCCGCACTCCAGGCCGAATTGCCGTACCTGGTGGCCCTGGGGGGTACCCCGGGGGACCGCCGGGGACCGGGTTATGGCCGGGCGGGCCGCCGGATAGCAGGGGGGGTCTTGGACCCCCAGGCATAGCTCCTGGAAGCGGCTGCAGAGGGGGCTGCAATCCAGGACGCGGCGGCGGCATGGGACCGGGGCCGTAAGGTCCGGGTACGGGGTGACCCGGCGGCCAGGGCCCCACGCCACGGGGCTGCGGCGGCACGCCCACTTCTGCCGCCGCTGCCGCCGGCACAGCAGGGCCCGGGGCAGGACCCGGGGCACCCCAGGAAGGCGGCTGGACTCCGGTAGGGCCCCTGTCGGCGGGGATATTGCCCTGCGGGCCAACCCCGGGCACAGGGTTCACTCGCGGCGACGGAGGGCCTGCGTGCTGCTGCTGAGATAGCACGGGCTGCGGCCCCAGCGTCCTGCCGGGCATGGCGCCGTGACGCATGCTGTTGGGCAGCTGGGAGCCCGGAGGGAACTGGGGACCCGGGGGAGCTGGAGGGCCCGAGTAAGGGCCCGGCGGCAAGGGCTGCTGCTGCGGCTGTTGGGTACCCAGCTGTATGGCACCGGGTACGGAGTGTCCAGCCTGTTCAGGGGGCACAAACCCAGCCCCAGTTGGCGCGGTGGCAGATACCCGCCCCAGGGTGGCGTCTGCAGGCCGGCAGATGAGCACAGACGCACTGGGAGCAAGTGTGTTGCGTGGGATAATAGGACCCTACCCAGCTCCCTGCATCCTGACACAGAAGAGCAGTCCCTCCTGCATCCTCCCGCCTCGCGGACTGTTCTGTTCACCCAGACACCCAAGCAAACCCAACCACCACGATTCCCACCGCTCACCCCTCACCCCCACCACATTCATGACCCAACCGAACTCACCGGGCCCTGCCACAAATGCTGAGGTGCTTGCTGCTGCTGCGGGCCCAATCGCTGGCCTGCTACTGCCACGGCGCCCACAGCAGCTCCAGCCGCCACCGCCAGACCCGCAACAGTTGCTGCCACCGCCGCTGCTGGGCCCCCGGACGCCTCACCGCCAGACTGACTCCCACCGGGTTGCGGAGGTGCGGGTATGGCGTGGGGAGGCGGCTCCGGCGCCGCAGCGAACGCTGCTGGCACGGCAGATGTTCCCGCCGGTTCGTCGTCGTCCGTGTCCGCGGCATCAAAGGGATCCCTGGCGGCGGCGCGTTGGACGCGGGCTGCCCCAGACAGCTGCCCACTGACAGCGAGTTCAATCGCAGCAGCCGTAGGAACACCAATTGTAGCAGCAACAGAAAGAGGGTGGTGACTACCCATACCAGGCGCTGAGGACGGTAGAGCCGCAGCGGCAGACGGTACGGTCAACGCACCGCCGCCCTCCGTGCCGGCGTCCACAACCGCCTGCCACGAATCCAACACGTGCGTCATCGGCGCATGGTCCTGCGGCTGCTGCTGCTGCTGCTGCTGCACCGCCGGCACCAGGCACCCTACCCCATTACCGTCCACCTGGGGGAACCCAAGCTGCACCTCGCGCTCCTCAACCTCCTCCTCCTCCTCCTCCTGCTTCTGTCTCCCCACTCCAGCAGCTCCGAATCCCTCCGACCCCGGCTGTGGCGCCAGGCCCAGCAGCGACGCCAGCTCCGGACTGACCAGCCCCGCGGCGGCGGCAATCCGGTAGTCGTCCAGAAGCTGCTGCGAATTGACCGCTATAGAGCTTCCTCCGTCCAACGGACCCACTGCTACTGCCGTGGTGGCCGCTGCGGCTGCGGCTCGACTTGCGTCAGGGCCGCTGCCCTCCGCATCCCCAGGTGATGGCTGCGGCCCCAGGTGATAGGCCTCCGTGGACGCCAGCAGATCGGGGTCGTCAAACACGGGATGCTCCACCGTGGCGACCACCTCGACAGGGGGGTCATCGACGCCAATGTTGGACTGCAGGAGCAAATCTGAATCCGCAGCGAGCGGGGCGCCATTGGAGGCTGCCGGGACCAAATTGAGAGGCACGTCTTCAAAGCAGCACCGCACGTCGGAGTTGTTCCAAGAGGCGGGTGCCGGCGGCGGCGCAGTCCCACTGGCGGGGGGCCCGACGTCGACAGCCGCCCACTGCGAGTCAAGTTTGCGGATTTGGGGATTTCAGGGGCGGTGCCCAACAGGCGATTCGGCAGGCGGGTAGCCTTTAGGTGGATTCTAGGCCGAATCCCGAGCCAGCGGGGAAACGAAAGGGACACTCGCCTGTTTAATGGCAACATCGCCAGATAGGTGGTATGGTGTTTGCTGAGGAAAGCCCACGGCATTGATGTCGCTGCTGCTTTCCTCGTAAGGAGCTTCGACGCTCTGAGGCGGGTGATATGCCGCATAACTGTTAAGGGTAGTTGACGAACTCGCCTCCACCACGGCAGGTTGTAGCAAGCTGAGGTCTGCATCCGGTTTGTGAACAATTGAGGTGGAAGGCGCTTCTGAGTTGCTCCGTGCGGCGCAGAGGACTGCAGCTACATCTGTGTCCTCCTGGTTTGAATTATCAACCCGCGGAAAGTCCAGGGACATATCTGCAGCTGCCGTAGGGGCCGTTCCGCCTAGGGTGTTTATGGCAGAGTCAGGGGTTCTGAAATCGGCCTCCGTGCTGGGAGCGTGGGGATCGGCTGTTGCTATCCCCGATGTGTCCCCGTCCAGCAACTGCAGTGTTTGCCCAACCGATTCGGCGTTTAGGGAGCTGAGGTGTTGGGACAAGGCCGCTGTACGTGCAGCAGCTGCTGCCGCTGCCGCGGCGGCATCCCTCGCTGAATGCGACGCGCTTCTGGTGTAAGCTGCGACACGATCCAAGGGAACCTCGTCCTCGCTATCGTCCCTGCCGCTTTGCAGAACTGCTTCCGGTTCAGACAGGGATGCAGGGGGAGCACTGCTTGAATCGTCTCGGACGCGTGTGCTGACGCCGTCGCCCATGGTGTATTCCTGAGCTCCATTTGAAGGATCAGCTACTGGACCATCCAGCTTGTACACAGAATTGTACCGGTTTTTGTACGCAAGCGGTTCATCAGCGTCGTTCAATTCGACAGCATGGGGATAGCGCGGCGCATATCCCAGCTCAGAGTCATCTGCCCTAGATGGCAAGTGCAAGCTATCGGTAGGCGACTCCATTTTGAGTTAAACTTGAGTTAAAAGCCTAGTTAGCTACCTCGACCCCCTGCCTCCCAAAGCCGTTTCCTAAAAAAAGAAGAAACCCCCAGCTCAATCTGCGACTGAAACTTGTACAAATGGCCTTTATGTACCAGAAAATGGCGTTCACAGAGAATGCACGTGTTCTAGCACTTTCGTGGAGTCGGCAAGCAAAACATTTGGACAGTAGAAGCATTACAAGAACTGAACTATTTAACCGATAGCCAAGCGCTACACTTTGGAGACGTCCTGTACCGTTATCTGTAGCTCGTACGCTCAACTCTCCTCATAACACTTAGCCGCTAGCCGCAATAGCACTGCAGCTTATATATCGCAAAGTAAACACTTGTACATACAAGAATAGTTTCGTCCTAATAGATGCACAAAGGCGCGACGGAAAGAGCAACGTGATGTAAGAGGATAATACAGAGGGTGATGAGTATACAATTGAAAAAGAGCACTCCGCACAAGTTCACGCAAACAAAAGAGTATTCGGAGCTCGTGGAGCTTCCCCACGTAAATACGAAAAAAACACCACGCTGACTGCTGCGCACAGCATGATCTGCACTCCGCTCGCGACATTTTGCAATTTCACGCAGCGTGAAATCACAGCTTGCCAGCGCATTCCATATTACATATGGCATAGAAAAAATCAATAAATAATCACATTCTATCTGTACTTTGCCGTTCACTTGTCCTCAATAAGGAGCGTCATCCCTGGCAATATCTTCCGGTTGCCCATCGTCTTGGGATCCTTCGCGCGAATGTTGCTCGCGAGGTCGTCGTGAAGGGGACCGAAGCCCAAATCCTTTGCGGGCACCCAGCTGAAAAACCAAACCAATATGGGGGGTGAGGTGGGGCAAAGCATGTAAAAGTGCAAGGAAAGGTTAGCTGCCACAAAAAGCATCGACAGACGATTTCCTCATCAAGGGATAGTAAATGTTTGGGGTGCTCATCCCGTTATCCCTGCCAAATTTGCAAGGCGCATTCTAAGCCCTATTCAGACCTCTGGTGTATTCACCAGCATTTGCTCCGTACCCTATACGTGCAAGCACTAAACGGATATTAAATAACGCTTTGCAAGTTAACATGCGCCACCCTTTCCAGCCCCCTCCCCCTGGGCTCACCTCTCTGGAACGCCAAAGGCGCACTCCGTCTCAATCCCCAAGTTATATAGCTCGCCATTACCGCCCTTGTAGGCTGATGTGACCAGCTTCATGAAGCCTGCCTCGCCCCAAGGCTCGCCCCAACTGCACAACGGGGCCGGCAAAAAGGTCCTTCGCACAGGCCATGGTGCCACAAAGAAGTCACACCAAACGATGCTGCCCCTATGAAATCAATGCTCAAAGAACTTGGTATCACGACTGCAAGCAGGGCAATGATCACGGTACTCCACACCGTGTTCAGGGTTCCCAGGGCCCAGCGTCCTCTTCCGCCATGTCCACCTGCCGCTCTCTGGCATATCAGCTCCTCCAAAACCACATCAGGGACCCCCGTTCCCTCCACCAACCTGTTGCGCACGATCCAGTACTCGACACCGTCCTCGTCGACGCTCCAGCCCACGACGCTTACCACGTGGTTGATTTGCGACTTCTCCTTGTACTCCGCATAAACCCCACCTGCGCATTTCATACACGAGCAGGGAATCAGCCTGCTGCCAGTAAAGACCTTCCCAATACCCTCTCCGGCGTGAGGAGGGAGAGGCCGTTGGAAATAGCCATACAGATGGATTGTTAAGTTGTGACAGCCTCGTAACAGCGTGTGCGAGCTGCACCATCAGGTAGGGAACAGACGTACATACTGACGGCGCGTCTTGGAGTTGGAGAATCCACGAGCAAACACACATACATTCTGATGCTGCTCGCGACCCCTGTAACAAGCATGAGCCGTTTCCCCGTCTCGCTTTATCCGCCTTGGGTTCCGCCTTGAGATCCACCTCGGCAGTCACTTCGCTAATCAGTGCGCTTTGCCGTACTTCCATCGGTGAGCAGTCGTTAAGACGGCTCACAACCCATCAGCCGGGATCTTTTGTTCCCACCACACTTGTGGAGAGGTTCTAATTAGGCTCGTGACGTAACAACCCCAAGGCAGCGGAGCACACCATACCGCGCCGCACCGCAGCGATGCCCGCGTGGGAACGAGAAATGCCTCATCCTTAGATTGCACACCAGGATCGCAGTAACCAGGTGACAGGTAATCCCACTTGCTAATGTAGACACAACGAGGACACAGAGCCGTATAGCCTCACCCGTATAGCTGTCCATGTTGTCAGTCGCGTCCACACCACAGCTAATGGGACCCCGTCGGAAAATCTCCGCCTTCATCTGGTGGGCGCCCTGCATAGCGCACCAACACGCACGCAGGCACGAGAACATAGTTGCACCCACGCAAGCCTCCAACACCATCCCACGTTCCGTATGCGCTATAATGCTGGGCCCAATGTGTTGTTTACGCCCGCTACTAGTCCGTCTCCAAGTTCACGGATAAAAGACATTTTCGCGAGGTTACCTTGCTACCTTGCTGGGCCGCCGCTGCCCTGTCGATCCCTGAACCCAGCTGTGGCACACAAATTTCTGCACCAAACCGAAACAGGACCTGTACGCTGGCCGCCGCTACAATCGAATGCAGCCGTACCTTCAACCTGCCATACTCCGACACCGTGAGGCGCTTGTATTCGTACACGGGGATGCAGCCTTCGTCTGGCCAGCAGGTGTAGCATTGCTCCTTGTCATGGCACTTCGGGTGGCCACGCAAGACGGACGGACAGGCAGCAGCAGAAGCACTATGTCAGGACGCAGCTGAGATGCCATTGACCAGTTGAAGCGCGACGAGAATGCCAGCGCACAAAGCATTGACAAAGCCAGAATGTCGAATGGATGGTACTATACTGAGAGGTATGGATTATGAGCTATGAGGTATGAGGCACAAACGGCATGCTAAGTGCAGCCTCGCACCCAACCCGTTCCAGCTCTCTCCACCAAGCTGGTCCAGAAAGCCCCCATACCTGCTGGTTATGGGCGACGTAGAGGTTGCAGGTGTCCGGAGGGATACCTGCGGGCGACAAGGTTGGCAATTAGAAAGTAAAGAGCCTTTCCAGCCTATCAAGAATCTATCAAAGATCGATTAAGGTGAAAATATGTCGGGTACGTTCGTTCAAAATTCTTTTGAGTACGTCAAGGACACAGGGCGCGGATCGCGTTAATAACAGAGGACATTTGCATGGCTCCCATCCTCACCGTGCTTGTTGGCATAGACGTACACCATTCGGTCGTCGCCGCCGTTACAGCTACCAGCATGACCGCAATCAATGATGTTCTGGACTGAAAGGAAGACGCCGGGCCATGCACCCTGGGGACAACAAAGGCACACGGCCAGGCTTGCGTTTTGTTCATACGGACGAACCATCCCTCTTCCATTATTTAATGGCTGGGTAGCCCTACTACGTCGGGGGCGATAATAACCCCCGATGATTGGCAGGAGGCATGCCTGACCATTAACCCCAAATCCACCTGGTGAAACAGAAAACCTCAACATATGCACTGCGTACAAGTACCTGATTTTATTGTTTTAAAAATGCCTTCCTTATCCAATAAGCGTTTCTTTGCCACAAGGCAGGTATGCAGCGGGTGCACGTGAGCTGGTGAAAACCCCTATATGGTGGGGAGACACGACCACGGTAAAAGATCGACTGACTTTTCCGTAATGTTAATACCTTTTGCTTGATGTTCATCCGGTCTGCCAAAGAACTACTCGCCGCATGGGCCCAGCAAGAACCGCTGCGAAAACCAGGCAACCAAGAGAAGCGCAATCGACGTTAGTATTAGAGATAAATCATAATGCTGGTTGGAATTGATCGAGCCGTCAGCCAAGGTTTTTTCATTCCATATCTGAAGGTTGGGATTCCTTACCAATACTCAGGTATGTGTTGATTGCGCACAATGCTCAGGAAGTTGCGCACACCATTGTTCGGCCCACTGATGTTGCGCCTGCGTTTTTATTGAGCGATGGTTAGACTGGAATCATAGACCGAACTAATGAGGACTAGGGTTTGTCAGCAAATCCGCACCAGTCCCAAGTCGCCGGCAATTCTTCTGGTTTAAGAAGGTCATGCGGACGCGGAGTAGAACTGCAGGGCAAAGGTTAGGTCATTGGGCAAATATGCAACCTTCGTGCTCACAGCATTTGCGATCTCCACTTACATAAGATCAGGAACGTCAGCACGCCGTGAAATCCCTGAAGCGAAGCGTGACGGCCGCCCTGTGGATGTGAAAGTAATGACCCTGGCTTGAGCCATTGCGGCACAGGCCAGCGTGACCAGAAAAACCAGTGCAACGTATGTCCCCATTTCGATTTACAGTTAAAAAGTAAAGGAATTAATAAATGTACACGCACAAGGCATGCTTAGAACCAAAATCGTCGCCGCCCTACGTGTCGCCGTACTGTACGGTGACAACCTGGACTCGTTGGCTGGCACTAGCCGCGATGCGTTACTGATTGACTAAAGAGGTAGTTCAGGTAGCCGTGCGTACATTTCCGCCGTTACTCCGTTTTTCAGATAATGCATGGAAAGCTTGCAAGTTCAATGCGATTTTATGACCTCGGCCTGTTCATGAGTAAGCATCGCACTAGCGATGCGCCGACTTCTTAAGACGTACTACTGGCATTCAGCCAATGGGAGTACGAGTGAATAACAGGTCTGCGATTCCATTTGGTTATGGCTGCTATCCTTGTAACGTGTGTCAGCTTTATCCGTTATCGCTTCCAAGATGGCTGGTGACTCTCGATTATCCGTCATCCTGATAATCTCTCACCTGCTTCTGATTCGAGCAGGGGTCAGGAGCACAAATGCTCGCTGTACACACATGTGTAATACACTTCATTTCGAACTGCACACGCTGACGATTCGTCTTGACGTTGAAACAAAGCGAGATGCGGCCTTTTCCTGACCGCTACTTGACCTGATTTCCCGCTACATTCCTTACTCGCTAAGGCAACTTCCCAAAACTTTTGAGGTTACCAGCCGGTTTTGGGAGAGTGAGCTGCAGATTTGTACTGCAAATTCAGTTGCAGTTGTTCTGGTGTTTGTGCAGCGATGTGTTATCAGCTGAAAACCAAATTGTTGCAAAGCGGCGCGTGCGTATTACATTCCCGCGGGATGGAGACGCTAAACACTAGGCCGACCAAGGGGGTCATCCAGCTGAACGTTACATTCGATCCCAAGCTGGGGCCCTCACACACCCGCCCCTCCTCTTGACCGCGGACTTAGGAGGACTCGGCGACCGGGAACTCAAAGCTCACGTCCTTGCCTGCAGCGTAATGCGTAAAAGGAACATTCCTCGGCATAATTGGCAAGCAGCGTCTTACAGCATCTAACCAGCCAACGACGTTGTTCCACCGACCACCTAAGCAACCCTTATTTGATACAGGAAGGCTAGCGTTGGGGCAGCCATGAAGGAGCCCACAGCGGTGGCCATGGTCAAATCGCTTCCGAATGGGGACATGCCATGTATACCCATTCAGGTGGCGGCCCCACACAGCTCACCTGTAAGGCGCTTGTAGACGCTGGCAAAAGTCTCCAGCTTGTACTCGGTGGTGTTGCGGTCCTTAGGGTCCAGATGCACCTACCAATGGACCCCAGAAAATGCACATTAAGGCATGCCATCCACGACATTCGCCAGGTAGATGTCATACGAAATATGATGTCAAGTCCCGGCTGGAGTTTGCAAACTCACAGAACCAGGACGGCGATACCCGCTTTGTTCTGCACTGCATGCACTGCTACCATGATGGATAAGCCATGGACAGCTGTGTATGGCAATCCAAACGGTATCATGCACAAGCTTCATCATTTTCCTGCTCGGTGCTCCAGGCAAGTGGGCTCTTCTCTTGCTACTGGGCTACTAGTTTTCCAAATGAGTACACGCCGTGATCAGCAACGCCACAATCACACAAAAATGGACAACCAGACCTCTGCTCGAAAGCGTTTCGACTTCACCGCACTGCTCCCAACTATTTCCTCATTAGAGCCTAGGTCAAGATGTCAGGTCCTAGAAAGGATTGCATGGTTTGGGCAATTACCAAATACCGGCTCAGAACAAACTCTGCCAGATGGAACGCCTAGCGTGCGGTTAAATAAAAGACAGGTAATCTCCGTCCGCCCCCGAGCAGTGCATACAGTGGCCCCTTGCCGTCCAGCGACAGGTGATTCAAAACAGTCGCACCTTGAGGACCTTAGACCCATCCAGCCGGTAGCGAATCCGCTTGCCGACAATTTCCGTTGGGTACACGAGGTCGTCCAAGACGGCGTCGTGCACCTGTTCACGAGCATGGTTTGAAAGGACGTAATTACTAAGCGGGGACAACCTCGCCTACAGATGTTCCGAAGTGACTGGAAATATATCGGTACCCCTGAAAAGGGTCTATCGCATCCCTTTAAAAGCAGTCCGTACAGCATACCCACCGCTGTCAGAGTGCGGCTGCGTGGGCGGGCGTTCGTCTTGCCGTTGCGGGGCGGTGGCAAAATCCGCCGGTTTGCAACAATAACCACGTCCCGGCCGCTGAACTTCTTCTCCAGCTCGCGCACCAAGCGCTGCTGGATCTTGTGGAAGGCCTTAAGCAAGCGGTAGGGCACCTACGACCCAAACGTGCAGGGGTCCCCAAGCTCAGCTTTGTGAAAGGCGACTGTCAGCTTGCAACCCATGCCGTAGTAATATAAGGGCGCTGGACGGCTGTGTGCGTTCTTACGTGGATGATAATCGCCTTCCTGGCACCGTTGGCGACATCGACCTCCTTAGCGGAGGTGATATAAAGGTCACGCAGGTCGCTCTTCAGCTCAGCATTGGTTGCCTCCAGATCGAACAGAGCCTGTGAAGCATAACATGGACTATCACTGCTGGTTGCTCATAGAGCTGAAACAACAATGGCGCCGGCGGCTGCTCCCCTGTAAGCAGCACCTGCCCGCCGCAGTTGGTTGCCCTCGCTAATATTAAGAACAAACACTCCAATTCGTCGTGCTCTGGCATGAATGGTCGGCGCCCTGGTGGCACACCTGAGCAACCTGCTCCTCGAACTCATCGGGCTCCAGCCCCCTCTCCTTCACAATCTTCTTGCTGCGAGCGGAGACCATTGTGGTGCTCGCACTGCGAATGCAAAAACAGCTGGTACTGAGTTCGTGCCAAAGTCGGCGTCAAATAGACTCAGGCCTAAAGGGCACTTATACTTATATTACTTGCCTAGGCCTGTGCAGCGCCACCCACTACAAGGAAAGAGAAGGAACGAAGGTATGGCACAGCACTTCTCAGTTCCGAACTGGGACCGCTCCAGGAGGGTGCCAGAACGTCGGTACATGAACTAGTCCATGCTTTCAAAGGTTTAAGTATTACATTTGGAATATACTGACTTGAAAGGAGTTAATATACATAAGACATATGACAAAGACACACTTAAAATGTCTCACAATGAACTGCTAGCGCTGGGTTCGCTGTCCCAACAAGAAGTACTGTCCGTGGCCTGTTATCGTTGATCTATTATTAAAGGAATCCTCACGCCCCATAACGTCGTTCTACGTTGGATGGTGTGGCATCACTCACATCACGCAGGCGTCGACTTTGCAACCAGAGGCTACTTTCGAGCAAAACCTAGTGGCGCGTGTGTTCGGTGTCTTCCCCGGGGTCGCCCTTACGCGCTACCTATACTTATGCCGATGGCTCTCTGCACCATCGTTGGACTGCTGAGCTCTATGACGTGCCCGCCACTGGAAACTTGGCTCACGAGATATTACAGAAGGCTTGGGTTTTCGCCTTTCCCAGCTCAACGCTTGTGTCGTGTGCAACGGCGGCGAACACCGCAGATTGAAGGATAAGTCTATCACCCCGTAGACGTTTCGACGTCCAGGGGTGTGGCGCAACCAAGACCCGTTCCGGCGCATAATTCCAACAGAAACATACCTTTGTGACCCATTGAGCACAGAGCAAAATACACATACACAAATGAAAACATAAGAACGCCCCGCGATACAGGTACAAAAGGAATAACTGTCTGGCGCTGGCCCTGCTTGCATGGGCACCCTGCGGACATCAAGTTGCTAATGACCTCCTAAACCATACCCAACCACGGGAATCCCCATACACCATGCATACCCTGCCACATGCCCTGCCGCCAGCATTCAGTACATAATGCGTATCCTGTTTGACATGCACAAGTGAAATTAGAACCACTGTCCCCTTGCTGTTGTGGACCCGCTCAATCTTTGTAAAAAGATAAATTGCAGACCTGATCCAGAACAGACTGAAAAAACGAGCGCTATGCAGATGACTAATTCAAATGATTACTTGCGACGGTCTTTCTTTGCCTTAATCTCCTTCGCGATTAATGGCGCCGCAATGCCGGCAACCGCAACGAGCACCAGCGGGAGGATAAAGTTTCTACAGGCATCAAAACACGGGAGCACATGCCGTAAGGGTAGGGGCAAACAGGATGTGTAGAGGGTAGCCGGATTGGGCATGAAACGGACACTACTCCTGAAACTGTATACCGCGGAGTGCGATTGTTCTATCATCCCACCGAACATAAGTTAATACCGTTCCCCGCCTCCGGCATATATCACCTGTCTGACCCCTCCCCTGACTACAGAACTGAACTTACTTTTTGCCACCAACCACGGTTGACTTAACCGGTCCCGGTGCCTCAGGCTCCGTGCCCATCGTGGTAACCCGCTTGGCGACCTCGTCCACTGTCTCTGGCGACACAACGCCGGTCAGCCGCCCTGCACACGGCATAGCGCGGGATAACGGTGTAGTCATAACGATACCTGGCCTGGAGACAATACTGCAATGTGCGGTTTAAGGTCCTGGGTTCGATTCCTGGGTAAACCCTCGACATTGTCGGGAGCGTGAAATTACGGCTAGCTGCTGAGATTTATAACTGAGGTCACAGTTGATGGACCGAGACTTGGGCGCTGGATTGGTGGCGATTGTGAACCCTCTGAACCCTCTGTCTCTGCGGGTGTTCGGGTGACTGTTTGAGGAGGGATCCTAAAAGGCAGGATCGACCGCCTTAGACTTGCAGTACGTATGGCGTACAGTGTGATAAGGGTGGATGATGCAGTGTGGTGATAAATCGTAGAAATGACATGTCCAATTGGCCCAGAAGCCTCCCTCTGTAACAACAACAATAACGATACCCCAGCCGTAACCCCAAAACAACAATGAAGTTTTCCCTTAGGACGCTCAAACGCTCACCTACGGCATCTTTCGTGTTTGGCGGCTGCTGCCCAAATGCGACGTTCGGCTGGAGGCACCCATCTGCAGACAGGAAGCCGAGGCATAGGCGGCGGTGATGCTGATGACTGTCGCTGGCACCCGCAACACCCAACCCTGCATAAGTTGCAAGGCATGCCCCCACAATATCAGGTCAGTGATTCCTAGTATGTGTGCCTTGCGAGTACGTGCTCATGTAAAACCTATCGCCCCCTCATCCACCTGGTCGCGTGTTGTCCAGCTCCGCCAGATCCTTCACAAAGTTCATTCGGATACGAATGTAGCCGCCTTCTCCACCAGCGTTGGGCTTAAATAATTCGAAATATTTGTCAATTGGCACGGCTTCGAGGATATCGTTCACGTAGATACCTTCGGGGAAGTCAGAGGGGGATAGTGCGCAGCTTGGTACTAAACTCCAGGGCCGGCGCGTGTCTATGCCGTAGAGGACGGAACGCCTTTGACGTGTTAAGGACCGTTCAAATCCCCGGGGTTCCACCATGTTATAACAGAACCATTACCATAAGCTTGCACCGGATTTCCCCACCCAACCCCTCTAGCATCCGGCACGAGCGCTCACCACAAGCCGCCACCACAGAGGTACCCCTCTTGTTGCCTTGAAACTTCTCACGACACAACATGAGCCGCAGCTCGCTGGAGCCTTCAAGCAACTCCCTGAAGAGGCACAAACAGTGGCCACCGCCCACTTAAGTTACTGTCAATCACGTAGGCTTCGTAATAAAAACCCTTCAACCCCAACCGCTGTCTCTGCTGCCGCTTGAAGCTTCAGTGCCAATTCAGCCAACTAAAAACAGTGCAGGCGCGAGCTCGAATGTTATGGTGTATTTGACTGGTATGCATTATATGTATTTATAGGAAAGCACTTACATGCGCAACTCCTCGCGCCAGGTTATGGTATCCCCAATCAGGGGAGCTTTTCGAGTTTGTGCCTACAAGAAGATGTACGCTGGAACTTCATGCAAATCCGTATAACATTTACCACAGAGACCAGGTTCACACGCTGAACGCGCTTTGCAAAGCAAACCTTGATGTTCCTCAGCCCTCCTCGGATTTCCACTGTGAACAAGGAAACAATAAACAACGAAGAGCTGATCTTGTAAGCAGTCTTCAACAGAGAAAGCTTAGCGTACCAAACGCGCCAAGCGGTCTCTCAGCTGTCCTGTCAACTTGCCTTTGACAAACGCCTCGAACGCTCCAGCATTCGTGTCCCATGTGAACTGATCCCGCTGTGTCTTTCCCGTTGCCTCTTCCACAACAATAGATATATAACCCTTCGGAACTTCCGCCATATCCGGACAGGACTTGGGTCAAGTGTAATAGATTCAAAACAGGGTTGAATTTGGTGTTGATGTAACTATTATCCTAACAAGCACAATAAAACAACGTCATCTCGACGATCGTGTGCATAGAGTTTGCTGCTTGCAGAAAAAATATTTCACGTACAACAAGCAGTACGGCTGACCTTTTTCGCTCCGCCAGCGATGTTCCACTTTTGACCCCCACCGCAACGATATTCAGGACCTGTGTGATATCTTGCCTTTGCGTTCACTTATAAACATTGTAAACAGCTTTACAGTTAGCTCGTGTCCTGACCAGAAGATGGCAGTCGAAGCTGAAACCCATGAATGGGTTCCAGCGCAATACCCTAAAGACGTCGACAGCGTGGATCTTAGGCGGTTAATAGGCGTGCAGCCTAAGGGATATAAAGAGCGTTCTGTTGGCAAGCGGAAACGGGATGCCGCGGAGCAAGCAGAAGACGAGCATCCAATGGCAATGCAAGAGGATATGGAGCAGCAGGACGCAACACAGGCACCAAAGCGTCAAAAGGCCGATGAGACGATGTACCGACCCGTAAGTGGATAGGCGGCGCGGGTCTCAAACCCTGTTGCTGTCCTGGACTGGTGCATAACTTTGCCAACCATGGTAATTGTGGTTCCAGGTTTCCGGGAAGTCCTGGAAGCCGCCGGGACAACGGGCGAGCACTGTAATGCGGCCTGCTAGTTTGGGAAAGAAAAGCTGGGGCAAGAAAATGACGGAAAAAGCTTCACGCAAGCACCTTCTTGATTTGAAGGCCGAGGCAGTGGCCGCAACAAAAGCTAAGCGCAAGGTGTGTTCCAAAACCGCCGTACCTCTGACGGCTTGGGCGTCCGGCGCCTTGCACTCCTTTTTTGAACTTTTCCTATGCCCATCTTGCTGGGACCGCGTACAGGCTGCCGCAGAACAGCGCAAAAGAGCAAAAGAGCTGAAAGCCTCGAACCAGCAAAAGAGCGCCGTGGTGCAAAAGGTGCGTGTTCTGGGTCCAGGGGAGCGGGTACTGTGTTCTGGAGAGCCTGGGGCCAGGCTGAAGACATGTGAGAAGGAAGCCATCATGCGCTCGGTGCCCGTAGCATTTCAAAGCTTGTTGACGGCAAACGTTCCCATGGCGACAGGAAGACCTTCTCACAGTCCTAATACGGCTGCCGCTGGCCAGTTTAGTTCTGCTCCACAAGAAGACTAGCACGCACCGGGGGCGCACGTTCCACGTATAATTCGCTAAGAGCCATTATTACTTGGGGTTTGCGCTGGGGCATGTGTGCGACCTTAAAAAGTTGCTGAGAGCAGTGCCAAATGTACTTTCCGTCTGTATTACCTGTCTTTTCCTGACAACCTTCGGTTAGCCTTGGAGCCGCTGTTATGGGCCCATTACATCTTTGGACGGTAGCGCGACTTTAAGATGCGACACACACACGTTCGGACGTCTGACCTTTTACCTTACCGGTATGGCATTGCAGATCACGAACAGCGCCACCGTAAAGAAGATGATGAAGGACAAGAAGCAGCGCAAGCTGCTGCGAACAGCGGACACTAACTAGCGAGGGACCTGGCAGAACGGATGTGTTGAACTATGTAACGAGCATCGCTGCAGAGGAGTTGCGGCGCCTGCCTGAGGACACTACATGTGCACTGAGTCACGAGAAGGCCCAGATGTTTGCACATGGATGTCAATGCGGGGATCAGGAGCCTGCAACATGGCAATCAGCTGCCAGGCGGTGCTCCGTAGGTGCTGTCATTGGCGTCATCAAAACAGTAGACGTTGCGTGAAAAGAGGCTACCCAAGGTGTCTGGATGAGAAGTTCGGTGGTTAAGTGCAATAGATGCAGGATGTCCAATGCAAGTGACTACAGTACACGGGAACTGCACCGATTATGTCTGAAAGGCTGCAGGTTTACGCGACGATTGGGTTTAGGGTCTTACGTACTGCGCGTAGGTAGGTTGAATTTCGCTTGCGGAAGGCCACATTGGCATGGCGCAACCTCACGTTAGGCATGGCCGTGGAAACGTCGGGTTTACTGTGCACGTGGTGTTATTAGTCATAGGAGCTGCCGTGTCCAGTCCGTCGGGGAACACGATTGTTAGTGGGGTTCTGTGTGGATTTGCCTCGTTTTACATGGGTGTGGGCGAGGGGACTTGCATGGCATTATCGTACTGCACAGATCAGAACGCCGCCATTGATATGTCGCGTCAGATAACCTGTGGGTGTTGTACAATTGTCTTCTGCGGTCGCAGTAAGCTTATTAGTTTCGTTTCCAATTGGATGATTGATGTGTCCAATCCTTGTGTCGTTTGATTCTCTGCCTTGTCTCAACTTGCTGGTTATTAGCAACATCAACCTGCCTTCTGGCAAAATTTTGAGCGATTTATAGCTAGGTCAGCCGCTCATCACCGTGACGTGCGCAACATCTCTTTTTATACTTGAGACAGGACTTTACGCACTGGTTGACGCTTTGGAGGTTGTGACTGCATTCATCTTTCTGCAACGGGGACCCCAGGAATTAGAGCAGCTACACAGAGCAGTTACACCACGTCCATGGTCAGGATTGCCTCGGTGCTCGTTGCTGATGCATAATAGCTGAAAGGCTAATGGAGTGCTTGGCAATGTGAGGTTATTTCTCGTATGTGCCGTGTTTCGATGTTCAACATCTATTCAGTACCATACAGTACGGAAGATCGACGGGGAGTGAGCGGGCCCCAGAGGATGCTACTCATGCCATACACGGTTTTGTAAAATGTGCCAAGGGGTCAATGGTCTTCCCAAAAGGTTCTTAATGTCACGACAAAATACGGAATTGGACAAGGCGAACGGCAACGGACTGCTAACCATGATCAAGGCTGCTCATTACCTCATCATGCGACGTCACGACCGGCGAAGCAGCTTAGGCAGTACGCGATTTGCAGTAGCGGACCCCAATGCATCAGCACAACACTGTGGGCACTATAGCTTAGGCAGGAGTTTGATGAATCAGCTTAGGTGGCAATCGGCAGAAGCTTAAAACCGTCGCAAACGACCTGGACGCATCTATTGCCCTGCGCAGGTGCATTGAACAAATCGGATGCTGCCGTACACAGCCGGTGAAGATCCGCATGCAGCGACAGAAATGTCATAGGTTCTTGGGGCATTGAGAGCTCACTGAATCTTTTAGCTGCATGTAATTTCTGATGCTTATTTAGTCATCCATGCAACTCCAAAGGCTGACCACTGAAGCGCTGGAAGGCCGTTATTTCCGTTAAAGCTCTGTGACGTACGTCAAGCCCGATTGCCCCTGCTTGCAGCACCTACTTGCCTACCTTACAACATCCCTTTAATTGGTTAGCACCAGAGCTTTCAATTCCTCGAAACGCTTTAGGCATCTACTTAGTCTTTAAGTTACGCAAGCTCCCTACTGTCAATTTAAGGTTAAAGGAGATTCTTGACACTTAGTTGATACCTGATTTAGTCTGATCGATTCCTTTAAAATACTCCAATTCCGCCGCTGTCGGCATGGAGGCTCCAGTGATTCAAATAGACACCACGTTGGGAAGCTTCACGGTTGAGCTTTACTATAAGCATGCTCCTAGGACATGTAAAAATTTCGAGGAGTTGAGCAAGAGGGGCTACTATGATGGAACCATTGTGAGTGCGGCATGAGATTTCATTTGTTTCCCAGGACTTCATTTGCTGGGCGTTACCTAGAGCTTTACCTGAGCGTTACCATCCTCATATTTGCTAAGCAAGGGTGGCTAATGAACGACATGGGGAAACTCGTACCCGAACCCCGGTGGCCTGGACAGTTTCATCGCATCATCCGGGATTTCATGTGCCAAGGTGGAGATCCAACTGGGACAGGGCGAGGTGGCGAGTCTATATATGGCGGGAAGTTTGATGACGAGATAACGCGCGAGTTGAAGCACACGGGAGCCGGCATCTTGTCGATGGCGAACGCAGGCCCAAACACAAATGGGAGTCAGGTATGTCTGTTGTCGAATCGAGTGCGAATAGGGTGCCGGGCATAACCATGGTGTCAACTGCACGGATGCCTATACATCCTCGTGTCCTTGTCACCATGGTATCCAACGCGCGCCCACGCACGGCAAGGCATGGGACGATCAGACATTCCCGCGGGACAGCCATCACGGACCGTTAATGTTCTGACTCGAGATGCTCACCTTGAGAGTTCCTTTGGATCAGCCAGTGGGCGCTGCCACGTCCTTTTCCCTTGTGCATTCCTCGGCCTGTTCCCTTATCCTGCCTGGCGACCTTGGCTGCTGAATGCAGTACCGGTACTCGAGATGCTTGCTTGGTGTAGCCTTTTATATACCCATGATAGACAGGCTAATCTCTGGAATTAGGCACAATGTACGCTTGAGCATTAGCGCTGGGCTGGCCTTGTTATAAGCAGGCTGTTGGCTTGCGCCAGTGTTAACCGTAGTGGTTTGTCGGCTAGGGTGCTAGGATTTCTGTAGCGTCGCACTCGTGAATTCTTGTTGCAAGCCTTTGTACAGCTGCAGGCAATGGCCTTGGCCACCAACAACGCTCGTAACCCCGGCATCGGTCAGGCATTGAAACCCCTGCACGCCGAACTGCAGTTCTTCATCACGTTGGCCCCAACGCCTTGGCTGGACGGGAAGCACACTATCTTCGGCCGCGTCGCGACGGGCATGGGCATTATCAAACGCCTGGGGAACTTACAAACGGACAATATGGACCGCCCTATAACCGAGGTCAAGATTGTTCGCGCCCGGCCAGTCTGATGGCCACGCAGGTTGATGATGATGTCCTCAAGGTGACTCCCTCGTTGACTGCCAGCTCAGGTGGTCGGGGCATTATTATAAGACCATGTTGAGACCCGGTTTCTGATTCCTTGACCGTGTGGCCTAGGCCAGGATTCCTGAGTTCGGCCGTAGATGCATGGGAATTGTGAGGCTATCGCCTGTGGGGCTGTCTTTGGATGGTCACTCTTGGACGAAAACTTCTTTACCTTTGATTTCTTTGGGTGCACGGTGGGAATATTGGGCCACTGCGACCGTTTTCGCAGGGCTGAAGTAGGAAACGGCTTGGAGGTGCTTCAGATGGTTCATTTTGCAGGAGCGAGCACGTCGAACCTTAAAAATTATTTTGCGGCCGCCCCTTGGCATCGTTGCATGGTGGCGTAATTGCTCCCCTTCCAGCGTGCGATTGGTCTGCTGACCATGAGGTTCTAAGAAGTCATCGTCTATCCAGAATTTCAGACAGATCGTTGTACAACCCGCTGCATAACTTCCTCGCTTCCTATTAGTAAGCTATGTGTTTTTAACGCACATGTTTACAGTGATTGCTTTCAGCATTAATCGAGACAGTGTGAAGGCTTTAGGAAAGCCCTGACCGAATTACTGTCACACAATGCAGACAGCATTAGCGCTGCCCTTGCCCCAACTCAGGGGAGTAATTCGAGCTTTGTCTAGCGCTTCACATGTTACACAGATACTGACGAGCTCTGCGACGGAGCGACAGCTATCCTCGCGAGCAGCCTCGACTTCAGGTTATAGCTCTGCAAGGAATTGGGGTTTACTTGCTGTCCCGCTGCTGGGTGTCCTGGCGGCTGGCAGTGCGTGGACTTTATCAAAAGACAATTTCAGGAAAGATGAGTTCTACTTGCTACCTTTGGATGTGCGCCAGCGGATTTTTTTCAAGTATGAAAAGCGTATACGAGACCAAAGTTCTTTAGGAAAAATTTTCGAATACTTCAGCTCTCAGGAGAAAGACGGGCAGGAGTTCCTGACGCCCGTTGACATGCTGTGCGCTGTGGTGCCCACGTATCCCCCCAGCGCGTCGACTCTGGATCGTTTGGGAAATCTAGATGGTGAGTAACCGCGAAATATCTTGTGCATTCTCAGGACGCGTTGCCACGCTTCTTTGGTTTCTCCTGCTGGACAGGGGAGCGGCGAAATGGGACAGCCCGTTCCAGTTGGAGCAAAAGTCAAGCGAGCTTTCTGCAGGAGGTGAGCCTACATTCATGGTATCTTGCTGCAAGGGTTCCTTCCTTCGACTCCGGAAGATGGCGGAGGGAGGGGTAGGCTGCCTGCCTTACACATGGCCTGGCACAGACCGCTATTGAAGCAACGGGTTACAGCCTTCCGAACTGAAAGCAACGGGACCGGCTTGCCAAGTCCACCTTTACGACATTTCTGTCTGCAAATAGCCTTTCAGCTTCAAGGGTCAACGTGCCGCGCCCCATGGGTCCCCACCCTGCCCAGTTGGCACCTCGTCGTTTGATCTTCACAAGCATACCCACCACCTACCACCATTCCCCATTCACGAATCCAGTTCGATGTCGATGGCGATGGCCTCATCTCCTATCCGGAGTTCCTGCTGCTGCTAATCCTGCTCTCGATACCCGGAAAGGACGTCAAAACCATTTTCGACGTGGTTGACTTGGACGGCAACGGTGCGTGGTCGGGGAGGCGGGGTGTTGCTGCGACAGGATTGTCGCGAACAAACATCGTCTACTTGCTGCGCCGTCCATATCCGCGGAGACCACACAACAGCGCAGGCTTCTGCTTGGGTAAACAGTCTTGAGCCATTACTTGTATGGCCGCAGCAGGCTCTTGGCCCGGTGGCCTGGGGGAAAAAACGCACAGTAATAGCTGTCCGCTCCTACGCAAACCAGGTGCCGGGCACAGACAGACAACATGTTACATGCTGCCGTTCCTGGGCCAACGCTCCAGCACCCGAATGCATTGGACCCGCGGATAGCAACGTATGCGTATGGTTGTGTGTGTTGTACGCTCTGAAGGCGCACCTAAGGTTCACACACCCACCGGCGCTCTACTGTATGATTGCACCACATCCAGGGCAAATTGACCGGGACGAGTTCAAGTCGGTAATGGAGCTGCTGGGAAGCATGGCCAATGTGCATACATCCCCGGTGGGCCGCTCCAAGAAGCTATCGCTGTGAGTGCTGAGTCGTCGCGCTGCTCATCCTTGCCGGCTGCCTACATACAGCACGTGCCTCACTGGCAGAGACGGCGTTCCATTCCTCCCTTGGACACGTCCAGAGAAAGCCCCATGTAAACCATGAAAACTATTATAAAGACCGATTCGAGCTCAACCCGAAGGATTCTCACGCGGCGTTCCCCTGGGTTCTGGTGTTCCCTCCCGCTGCTGCTCTACTTCCATTATCCCCCGACGCTGCGCAGTAGTGACAGTGCGAACTCGGGCCTCTTCATGAAGTTCTTCGGCAAGGACGGCGGCAAGAAGCTCCTGCTGCCGGAGTTTCGTGACTTCCTGGACAAGCTGCACGCAGAGTTAGTCACCCTGGAGTTCAAGCACTACGACTACAGCGGCAGTGGGTCCATTCCGGCAGTGGATTTTGGGCGGAGCCTCGTCGCAACGGCCGACATCCGTCGCGTCGACCAGCTGCTTGATAAGGTCAACAGTTGCGCGCAGCAGAGGGGCAGGATGGGGCCTAGGGGTGCCGGTTCGTCCTGCCGACACTGCTGCCCTTCGTTCTGTAGCACACGGCACGGGATCTTCGAGTCCCGCAGGGCACGTGCTTTTGTTGGCCTCCAACCAACTAGCCTTCCCTGCAGAACCATTTTGTAGGATCTGATGGGGTCTGCTGTGGACCATAGCGTTGTGAGCTTGTGACGAATGCGGCTTTGGGGACACGTGCCGTCTGCAGCGCCTTTGGCTTTGACTTTGCAAATGCTGGCATTGTCTTGCAACACTATTGCATTTGGAGATCCGTTGTTGGTTGTAAACGCCCTCCCTGAACGCGCGGCCGCCCAACTCCCGCCCGTTGGCCAGGTTGACGCTATGGGCCCCGAGCTGACCCGGCAGCGCATCAGTCTGGAGGAGTTCCAGACCGTGCACTTCGACATGCGGCGCAATTTACACACTCTGGTGGTGGCGCTGGACTTCTATCGGCAGGTGCGGGCTCGAGGATACGGTGATGGTGGTGGTGGTACTGGTGGTGATAATGTCAAGGGGCTGATGGTATACGCACGCTCAGCATGAATCCAGCCAAGCGTCCGTCTTAACGTCGGCATCTGGGTTGGTCGCGGCAGTTCAGTCTTCCTGCATGGCGGGACTTAGGTGTTCACACGGCGGTGCACGTGTTTCCGGCAAGACTGTTGCTCGCGACGCATGTGATGCGTGATGCATGCGGCCGATAACTTTGCTTGGATGCGGTGGTATGTCCTGCTGTCGGACACCTTCACCCCATGAGGGTTCTGCTGCCGCGTAATTGTACCGCGCAGTTGGGGCGGCCTCTCCTCAAGGACGATTTTACGAAGCTGCTGACCAAGCTGATGGGCGTGTCGTTGAGCAGCCGCGTCATGGAAATCATCTTTGCCGTGTTCGATGATGGGCAAGGCGGGCTGGATGTGCAGGCATTTCTGGAGACCATGCAGCGCCGGGAGGTCATGTATGCACGGCGAGTAAGTAATTGAGGAACGCAAGCTGACACTTATGTGACCAAACGTCCTGGCTGTTGTGTCCATCTTCACTCCGTTTGCTCGCGCCTCCAGTGAAGCCTAGATTAAGCCAATCATACAGATGTGGGGAGCTCTCCACATCTAAGCCTATTACTAATTTTTACAGATATGGCGAGGTCTCCACATCTAACCACGTGCGCGGGGCATCGCTCTAACCCGAGCCCATGGGTCCTGCACAGTTTGCAGCTTGCTGGCGGGGCATGCCAACATCTGCCCAGCGAATGCTTTATCTGCCCTCCTGCCCCTATCACTTTCTCTGTTCTGCAGAGAAATATTGAGCCTGACGGACCAACCCCCGGTGCGCTTTCCAAGCCGCTTTCCGCCGTCTGGAGCTGGGTTTCGCAGGGAGCCCGCTTCGTCGTAAGCAACTTATAGCAGACGACGATGTGTGCGGCATCCTTGCTTACTACTACTGTGCATATGAACCACGCCATCACCATCATGATTTCGTATATATCCCATATGCATATCTACGCGAGGATCATCAGCGGCCTGCAACATCCTCGACATACATTGTTTGGCGGACTGTTTCAAGCAATCTACCACATGCTCCTAAAACTACGTTTCTGGGATGCGCCCATGACGGAGCGCTGTAGCCTGTTTTTTGTACTATTTCTGTAGAAAAAAATTGAAGACGCAATTCTTAGAGCACCACATGGAAAAAGGAGCGACCAATCAACCGTGCAATCCCGCATGCAACAAATGCACGACCTCGGCGTGTCTAGCCGCAACCGATGTAAGCGGTTTTATTCTGACGACTTGGTGACTCATCCAGATACGTCCTTTGAGGACTGTGTGCAATCTGTAAATCTACGCAGCCTTGCAAAAACACGCCTCCTCCACGGCTGCCACGCCGTACGACTCCCGCACACTAATTTCATCGCCTGTTCAGAGCGGCGCCGCCGGGGCCCTCGCCGCCGCCCATCGCGTCCCGCAGCACCGCATTCAGCAGCTGCTGCACCAGCCCCATGCCCCGCATCTCCAGCTCGTCATCACCCGGCCCGCCGACCTGAAGCAGACCAGGTAGGTCCATGGGAGGAGGTGCCAGGCCCATCCCGCCTCCAGCACCTCCAACGCCCAGAGTGATACCGCCCAGCATCATGCCGCGTGCGGGCATCAGTGGCGGCATGGTCGTGCCTGTAGACCCCAGCACCAAGTCGTGGCCATCCGGGCCACGCGTCACAGCCATAGCGGGAGTAGTCGCCCCGACGCCATGGGGCGCGCCGCCGTACAGCGTAAAGGGGCCCTCGAAGGCGGCCATGGCCGCCATGGGGTCATCCGGCCCCAAGCCACCGGCGCCGCGCAGCGGCATTTGGAGGACAGTGGCAAGGCTACCACCTGTCATCAGCAAGGGGCCAACAAGCGATCTTTTTATGGATCTTTTTCTAGGATCAATGAGAACGCCACCGCGCGCAGCCGACGGCCCACAAAGGTCCAAGGTGCTTTCCAACTGACTACACGACGAAAAAACTTGTGGTAGTTTGCTCTATCGGCAATCCCCGCACCACAAAGTTCCCAACCCAGTGTAGGCCTGAACATTGGTTCCAGACAGCTGTGTGTCGGCCCCCCTTTTACCTCCGCCTTGTCCCATCGCCAGCTGCTCAATCATGCTAGGTCGGTTATCCCCTGTTAATTTAGGAGGGAAAGGCGATATGCCCCAATTATGTCAAGATGAGAAGCCCTTTGCGGGATGCTTGAGCGATTCAACCAATGCCATGTTAGGAGCAGTCAGTACCCCAGAACCTGGGGAAGCGCATCCAAAGCCCTTGCAGCGCACCGTGCATTGTGGCACCCGCACGAGAGCTCACCAGTGAAATCGTCGTCGTCGTCGTCGTCCTCGTCATCGTCGTCGTCATCGTCATGATGGCGATGATTATCGCCATCATCATCGCCATCATCGTCATCATCGTCGTCCTCATCCATATCGTCGTCCTCTTCGGCGTCGCCACGCTGCTCGTCGTCTGCGCCATCTACGGCCATGTCCTGCGCATAGGCCATCGTGTCGCCGCCGCGATGCTGTCCGCTTCCTCCAGCCTGGCCGCGCTCCGCAGCGCCTTCATCAGCCCGCTGAGCCTCCCCTGCTTCCGCAATATTCCGTCCGCTGCGGCCGCCTGCCAGGAAGTTCCACGGAGGCTCAGTTCTTGACATCCATTCGTTTTGTAGTTCTCACACTTACAATTCATGTGGTCATTCCTTGCAAGAAAACTACATGACAGGCTGCAGCTCGCCGCAAGGAACGCCCAAAGGAAGCTGCTGTAGGCGCATGCACAACCGCAGGAGCTGGAGAACCCGAAGCTGTAAGTTCTGCTGCCCCGTCGCGACTGTCGCGCGACTAGCATGGAAGCCCCAGTAACTACCAAATTGCACAGCGTAAAGTAAAGAACGGGGGCTGCACTGTGCTTACTGAAACGTGAACAATGAACACAGTGGCGCCCTCATTGCGATACTCAGGGGAGATACCGCTGAGTGCTTAGGACGCATACGGCCTCGAACTCACACCAACGCAAATAAAATGTATGGCCGAATCAGAATGTGAGAAATGCCGATGTATCACGCGTGCGCCCGCCCTCCCCATCTCTCACTTAGCAGCATGTCCACATTGTTGTCGTCGCCTTCTGACATGGCCATCTCCGGGATGTCAACTGACTCGCCCCCCTCTGAGCCGCGGACTCCCCCGACCTGGCCACCACGCGTCTGTATAGTTTCACCGCTTCCCTCCTCCGTTGCCATGACTGCTGTTGCAGCCACCGCAGGTTGTGCGCCCTGATCATCACCCAGCGATACGCCACCCGTTTCAGGGCCAGCCGACTGCTGCGCGCTCGCCACTGCTGCTGCGCCCACGCCTCCCTCTGCCGCGGCCCCAGGCTGCTGCTGGTCGCCGCCCTCGTCTGCTGCACGAAGCAGGTACGCCAGTGCCATGTCCATGTTCCGAAAGCGGCGTAGCGCTGCCGTGGACTGATTGCGGTCAAAGCCCATAGCCACCAACTGCTCCACTAGCTCAGGCTCCGAAGGTGGCCCACGGGGCCCACGGCTGTAAATCTGTAGCGGAGGACAGCGCAGCCGTCATGCGCACTCTGGTTTCGTCCCTACCTTCCGCCATATCATGCCTCGCACCCACACATTCCTGCCTCATTGCTTTGACTCCCCAAACCTACCTGGCGCAGCTGCTCCTCTGTCAGAGGTTCCGCTGCCGCCGGGTCCTCTCCGTGCTGCAGCAGCCAGTTGAGCGCTGCCTCCATCTCATTGCGGTGAAGCAGCAGGGCCTTGCGCACCACGGCCTCGCCAAAGCCCATCTCGCCTAGCTGTGAAGCTGCCTGGGCGTCAGGCTCAGGGATGGCAGAAGGCGGCGGCGCTGCAGGGGGCGGGGCGGGAGCCGCAGCCGCTTGGGCTGCCGGTGGCGTCCCGCCGAAGAGCATCATGCCAGGTGCGAGCATACCCATCTGCACGCCACCGTGAAGGGGGCCCGCCGGCTGCACATTGACGGGAAAACAGCCAAACATCATCACTTAAGTATTGCAACCTACCAGCATAATGTGGAAGGAGTGCAGAGCGCACCCATAGGTGTAATGGGTTAGCTAATTGTGTATCCACCGAGTTTCTGGTCCATGTCGCCCTAAGCTGTCCCTATTCCCCACCTTCGGGATACCGTGGACCCAAATTGCACTGCATCGCTCAAAACCCATCACACTGGAAAGCGTATAGTAAGATGCACCAGCAGGCGTGCAGGTCTCCTGCCTTCCCGGCTATCTAGCAACACGGCCCGGAGGCACCAAATCGCGTAGCTCCTGCTTGCAGGTCAAGCGCCGCCAACGCTCGCCCGAGCGAGATAGCATCGTTATGTTATGCATCCGCAACCGGAGTCCTCGAATCGTACCAATCTGACCTCCATGTAAAGGGTCAGAGTACATTGTACGAATCTGACCTCCATGTAAAGGGTAAAAGTACAAGTCTTTTGAGACCGTCTAGTGTCCAGCAGCTGGATGGACGTGAGCGACGGCTGGACATGGCCAAAAAGACTGGATGCGTTCTTGGAGAGAAAGACGAGCTCGAACTCCTACCTGCATGTACCGCCGGCCTCCGCCGACGGGAGCCTCTGCAGGCTGCTGTTGCGGCTGCCCGGCAGCCGCTGCTCCTCCGTCCCCCGCGCCATCGGCCTGTCGCGGCTGACCAGCGCGGACCTCCATGGCCGCTGGCCTTCCCCGCAACGTCTGAATGAGCTGGAGCAGCTGCTGGTCGACATCCATGGGCACGCCACCGTAGTGACGGACTGTGGGATTCAAGGCGGAGCAGCATGCGAGCGCGGTAAACATTTCGATGGCGTACCTATGACGTTATTAGTACCCTGAGCCTGTGCTGAGGAGGATAAGGGAATAGCAATATGAATGCACAAAACTCATGTGCACAGATGTGCATCTTGGGGGCCCTGCGTTGGCCGTAGAACGATGAAGGCGATGGTGATTGTGAGAAGCCTCCAGCAACCAGGTGGTTTCGCAGGTTTCAAGCTGCGCCCGATCCAGCGCGAGAATACTCCTCAACACTAACTGACCCGTTATATTTCACAATTTCAGGCGTTGGCCCTAATTCTTGCAGTCCAAACAGGACTGCACCAAGCAGGCTGCCTTACACGGCCGTGACGGTTCCTCCGTAATGGTGTTTTCAATACCACGGCGTCTCGCTTCTGCTATGATGGCACTTCGAATTGTAGATGCCGTGGGTACCGGCGTTGTGTCCACAGGTCTTGCAGATGTGCTTGCTTGAGGCCGATGTAGCAGCAGCACCAAGTGGTCCCCTGAGCACAGTCCAGCATTCTTCAGACTGCCCGATGTAAGGATATTGCCCTTGAATACCTGGCGTTATAGAAGAAAAAATTTCGTTCTCTTCGCTGAAGGTGCCTTGGAGAAAACCAACCCCTCAAAAACTCTATCGCGACAGGCATAAGGAACGCACCAAGCGTTGCTTAGATGCAGTTGGAACAGGGATGTGCTCTCGCAAACCCCGCTCATGAAGCAGATTCTTTAGTTCCGAGATTTCACAGTTGCCATCTACGCCGTTGAAGATAAGCGTTTTGTAAAGGGTTCGAACAACAAGGTCCATTGGGGGCTTTGGAGGCTACTCTGCCGCGGACAACCCTTATGTTAAAATTCAACTTTGGATATGACAGGGTTACCAAAGAGCTTTGATCAAATTTACAATTATGACGCTGTCAAGTAGAAAACCGAAGACAAGCTTTCTTATGCATCACAAGAATGATCCAGGAGTACGGTAACGTACGGCATTGTCCTCAACAGTTTGTCCCATGCATATGCGCATTGGTTAGTCCGCATCCTCATCATCGCTGCCATATGCTGCGCCGAGGAGGGATAGACCATCAGTATTAGGATTTCCATCGCCATCTGCCCCTGGCTGTATCCCATTGACTCCTCTGCTTGTCCCTTTCGCCGTCTCATCAACCTCCGCCGCTCCTTCCTCTTCCGCGTTGCCTTGTCCATATACTTGTTCCACCGAGCTCCCCGCCTGCCCATGTTCCTCTGTCGTTCCGTCCCTCCCGAATGATCCCAAATGCGCTCCATACCCCGTGGGCGAGGTACTTTCAGTCGCCAGCTCCCCAGCCCCGGCCTCACCCGCAGCTCCAGCTACCCCCTGCTGATATCCGTACCAGCCATGATAATAATCATAACCCTGCCAGGAATACCCAGTCCCCTGCTCCTGGTACTGCTGTTGTGCCACGAATTCCTGCTCTTGCTGCCCTGACTGCTCCTGTTCTGTGTGATGCCCGTAGCTGTTGGCATAGGCCGAGTAGTGGGCCCGGTATGCTGACCAGTAGACCTCCTCATTACGAGCGCGGCGCATGCGTTCTCGCAGCTCGGGGTTGTTGCGCATTTGTTCGCGGAGCTCAGGGTCACACCATGCGCGCTCCCATTCAGGCGCCTCACCGACTGCCCCTGCACCAGCCCCTTCTGCGGCTGCGGAGGCAGCTGCGGCCCCGTGGAAGTCCCCAGCAGCCCCGCCCGATGCTGTGACCATCGCGTCGTTGTAATCCCAAGGTTCTGGTACCGCCCGATGAGCTGACGCCATAGCCGCGTCTGCGGCCTCCTTTGCCCGCGGCGCCCCCTCTGAGCCTGAAAGCCCTCCGGCTTCCTTCCGCTGCACGATGAGCCGCTGCTGCTCCTCGTAAATGTCGGTGGAAACGTACGGGGTGTCATCGTCTCCTCCATTCCCGCCACCAGCCGCTGCTGTGTCCTCCTGTTGCTGGCGGAGGAGCTTGAGTTCGCGCTGCTGGCGCTCGCGTTCCTCAAACTGCGCGTCGGTGCTCGGGTAGGCGCCGATGGAGGTTCCACGCTGCAGTGCGGACTGCAGCTGGAGCTCCATGACACGTGCATGCTTCTGATCGGGCGGCAGCGCGTCGAAGGACGACATAACTGCAAGACCAAACGCCTCCTGCGGTCCGAAGAGGCGGGGTACCCTCGTGGGCGGAGCGGGGCAAAGCCGACCGGAGGGAAATGACAGGGCCCAGAAAAGGGCCAGCCATCCACACGAAACGCGCAACGCGAAAGTCTACGCAATACCCACCTCGCACGCACGCTTCTGCGCCAGCACCGCCACGGGGTTCGGATCCTCGTTGGCCCAGCGCGCGGTGACAACCTCACCTAGCGTTGATCCCACTAGGCTCTGCTTGTGCATGGCCTCCTTGGCGAACTCCGCACTGCTGCGCCAGTCGTACCTGCCATACGCGTATGAGCCGCACACAACCCACCCACACCCATGCAACCCAACCACAAGGCTCGACAACTGGTCAGTCAGGCTCGGGTTGACCTCGTGGCTAATTGGGTGGTGGGGCCCCTCTTGTAAGCATACCTACCTACCTACCTACCTACCTACCTACCTAAGTGCAAGATACCTCGTTTTCGTACTTTATGATAGACGTTGAAGACCAGGCGGAAGGGTTTTAATTTTAGTCACCCCATTTGGTGTCATGCAGATGCGTACGACGTGAGTTTGACGCTTTGTTAATACGTTGTAATTTCCATGGCTACAGAAATGATCTAGATATATACCCATCCGCCCACCCACGTATCTGGGGTTGAACGGGCCCCGAGAAATAAGGGACCCGAGGGGACCTGACCCATTGCTGCCCCAGAGGGATGGACCCCGCCCGCGAACTCACCGGACGAAGGCAATGGTCTTGTTGTGTACAATGTAAATGTTATTAACCGGACCGAACATGCTGAAGTTCGCGTCCAGTAGCTGCCGTAATTTGGGCAGCTCGTACGCCCCGGCACCCTCGTAGTTGATGTACAACGTGCGGTTGTCACGGTCAAGTGTGCCTGCACGAGTGGTCAGCAGTAGTAGCAACATCAGTAGCAGCAGCAACAACAGTCACATGCCAGCGGGAGAATCTTACAGGGCTTAGAGGATCTCAGGAAAGAGGGAGAAAAGGGAGGAAACGACGTGGTTTCACAATTCGCAGCCAACCCAGCTGCTACTGAAGGCTTGCAACCTTGTGCACTAAGAATCGCGGCGGGGCGGGATAACATGGACTGCACGTGAGGGGCCGCAGAGCCCCTGCGGGGTGGAGAGTTCCGCTGCCCATTCGGCTGCTACCTGCCCTAATCTTCGTACGCGAACGAGGGCGACGTCGCCACAGTTGCCGCCCTCTAGGCCTACCCTTGGCCACCCTCCCTAACCACGTCGACGTCTGACCGCCCGAAGCCACCCGTCTGGCAGTGCCGTCACCGCTGGAGTGCCTGTGCCGCCAGATCCGAGTCCTCTCCCCAGACACCTGGTTCCATCCGAGCTTCACCTGCACCGCTGCGGTAGCCCTCGCTCTCTGCCCGTTTCTCCCGACCAAAGATGTCCGCGGATAGGTCCCTCACGGCGTACGCCTCGTCCTCGGCTGTCGGCAGTCGGTGAAGATAGGTACAGGCTGAGCCCTGACTACAGCAGCCCCTGCGCGGGCCGGGAGGTGCTCAGGTGGGCGATGGAGTGCGGGAACTGCAACGGCTCGTGTTGCAGCCTTATGGCTGAAGCAAGCGGGAGCCTGACCTTGAGCAGGCATCATGTGCAAGACCACCTCTCCCTACTCTTTGACTCAACTCGGTAGCTACCAGCAAACTTTTGGAACAACCCTGTCATGCAAGAGTGATATCGTGTCCGGAATGAGCTAGTTGAATTAGTTAGTTCTACAATGGGGAGAAGAGCACACAATGCGTCTCGCAGGCAGCAAGCCTCTACCTTTTGCCGGCTGGCTGGCCGTTCCTTTGCGCCACAAGCCAAACCGTCCACTTGTGGAGCTGCACGGACTAGGCTATTGTAACACCCGCCGCCCTTCTCAAGCAATTCCTCTGTTCTCCCCCCCCCCAACGACTGCCTTAGCCCATTCTCAAGACCCGCCTCGCACCATCAACCTCCGCCCTCCGCCTAGCAACCCCTGCCCCTGGCACTTTCCCCTCACTTCGCGAAGTACAAGCAGAACACATGCTGCTTTGCGTCGCTGCCTCGTGTGCGTCCAACGTCCAGTTCCAATACACAGCGGTACTTGGATGTTTCCTTTACACGCTGCCCGCCAGGCCCCCCACGCTTGCCATCACGGCCGGGCGCGCCGACCGAAGGCCCTATGCGGCGCCCAGACCAGAGGTTCCGCTCCCCCAGGCCCCCACGTGCCTGAATTTCCCTTTGTAGTGTGGCATCATCGACCTGGGATATGGAGATGGGGTTGTCGGGGGGTGAGGTGTAAGGAAGGGTCTCCCGTCCCCAGGAGACGAGGGACGGGTAGGTCCGATTGCCATTGACACAGTACAGCTATGGCATTTTCTTTGCAGTATAGAGTTTTTCTTAATGGGGAATAGGGCGGGGATGTGATTGGGGCTTGGATGGCATGGCACCCGCAAGCTCTGAACGAATGCGATCCCGTAGCTCCGGGTGCGTGGATTAAGCTGATAAACACAAATGTTGCCTGGCTTGTGCAGTGACCACAGTGGGGTTAAGGTTGTAAGGGAGAGCCCTCAGGCGGGCGATGGGGTCAAACATGGCAGGCCTACGAGCAAACAAGCTGCGACCCCGACTCAGCAGTTGTCGCTCACCTGCTTCCGCGCCGGCCTTGTTAGCCATTCCGCACGGTTAGGATAGTGGGGATCACGCGGTTTCATTTGCTCGTCACTCCAAATTATGTTGAATTAGGATAACCCTAAGTACGTGTAAGGCTCAACGTTTCAGTACTGTACGAATTTGCCAAATAACCTCGCAAATCGAGCAACGTCGCGTAGCGATGGAGGCGAATTTGGGCCCCGGTACGGCAACGTCCACTTTCCTTCTGTTACTGCATCCAACCACTTTACGCACCGTGCGCCTCCAACACCCACCAAGCGGGAAAGTCACTATTACTATCGAATTGGGCCGTTTCTTTGACCTGTAAATTGTGACGGCATATGACCAAAACTGCCTATTCGAAACGGAGGAGTCCACCCAAATTGTTGCGTCTGAGCCCAGAGCTCTGTCTTTAGGTTGCCCCGAAAGGGGCCTTAGGTGTCAGCAATGCAGAAAGGGCAACCAGGACGGCCTGAGCCCCTCGCTGGGCATCCACGCTATGAGAAGGTGCCTGCTTTTGGAGACAATGTGGCGGCGCGATTTCTAGCTCTCTTCATGAAGGAATGCAACGGTTGTCCATGTGGTCTTTTGGGTGTGTCTGTGCAGATCAAGGACCTAAACAGCGGCACGTTTGGCTTCGTCCAGCTTGCTCGCGATAAAACCACAGGGGAAACATGGGCTGTAAAGTTTATCGAGCGGGGTGATAAGGTAAGGACTTCTGGGCGAGGGTCGTTCCGGGGCTTGACCATTGGCTTACGCATGGCCATCTTGCCTTCTGCAGATAACCAAGTATGTTGAGCGCGAAATCATCAACCACCGATGCCTTCTGCATCCCCACATCGTGCAGTTCCGAGAGGTATGCTTAAGGACAGTTGCGGAAGTAACTGTGAACTACAAAGTGTGTTTCGATAACGCCTGCCTTACCCGCTGGTTACGCCCATCAAAGGTTTTTCTTACCCCGACGCATTTGTGCATCGTCATGGAGTACGCACCCGGCGGGGATATGTTTGAATACGTAGTCAAGAAGAACGGCTTGAGAGAAGACGAGGCCCGCTGGTTCTTCCAGCAGCTCATTGTGGGGCTGGACTACTGCCACCGCATGGTACGTCAGCTGCGAAGTATTCACGATTAGTTGGCCGCCTTATGCTTAACGGTATGCCGGGACCTGCTTGGCCACTCGCAGGGCGTGGTGAACCGCGACATTAAGCTGGAGAACACCCTCCTGGATTCCAGCCCGCGGCCGCTTGTCAAACTCTGCGACTTTGGGTATTCGAAGGTCCGGGGTGTTCTGGAGGTTCTAGACAGGATTCAGCATGTCGTCCATGTCTTACGGCCCGACGGTCGATGCAGTTTTTGCAGTACATGCCAAGCATCTTGCTGCATGGTATTGGAACAAACCCACGCATGGGGCTGGCTAAAGATGGAGTCCTTAAGCGTGATGCTTTTTACTTCTTCACACGCAGACGTGCTAGGGGGTGTCACATGCCTTTTCCAACCCCGCTAGCACGTGTGACAACCAGTGCAAGCGACTTAACGTGTTACTACGTCTCAGTCAGGCTACCGTTTTCCGTCCCATCCCTATGGTCCTGACTCTTGCCAGTCTTTCCCCCGTCGCAGCACGAAACCTTGCACTCTGCACCTATCTCCAAGGTTGGCACCGCATACTACACCGCCCCTGAAGTTTTCCTCAGCGAGAACGAGTATGACGGCAAGGTAAATGCTTGCCCCCAACCTTGTCGGTAACCTCAATGCCCTGTTGCCCCCGCCGCTCGTCCCTCCGCCCATGGTGCCGTCGTCCCCGCCCGGCTGTGCCCCGCCCCGCCTGCACCGACTGCGTGCCTGCACGGCTGCGTGCTTTGGACCTCCAGCACGAAAAGTTCCAGTCCGCACCCGGGTCGCGTGTGGGTACCCCGGCGTACCTGGCTCCCGAGGTTATCCTTACCACCAAGGGCAAGACTTATGACGGAAAGGTACTGTGCGAACTGGTTGACGACAGCTGGCAAAAAAGTGCCGCGTAGAGGCTGCGGAACCGGGAGTGCAAGGGCTGGCATTCGGGGAAACCCGCCCACGTTCTGGGCATTGGTTGCAGGCCATCCGTGACTAGCCATAGCATGCGTGTTGCCCTTTGCTATGACGCAATGGCCGGAGTGTTCCTGCGCCGCTCCATAAGAGCTGCATCATACCTGGGAAGTTGATTGCCACCGTGAAGGCAGGCGCGGGAAGGATGGCGAACCCGGTTGGCGAACCCGGTTTGGCGGATTGCTGCCTTCTAAGCAGTGGCCATGGCGGGCTCACGCCACCGCCCGCTGCATATGGTGCCTTGCTTAGGTGGTTGAAGCCCGGTCGTTCGCATGCTGAGGACGAGCGCGGCTTAGTCGAAATCGGCACGATGCGACACGGCACCGGGATGGTGCCACATACCAACGGGAGCCAGACACACTCTGTGTGCAGCTGACGGAATTTGATTGGCTCCCTGCAATCCCAGGAGGAGAGCCCTTGCGCCCACCTAGGGCTTACAAGCACAGTGTACAAGCGCAGTGGTTATAGCTTCCGCAGCAGCGAGGGAGCGGGCATGGCGGGTGTATTGCCGGTGTGAAGTGAGGGCGGTCAAGTTATCAATTAGACCGGCACGCGGCGGGGCAGCGACAGCCGTGCAGGCGCTTTTCGGTTTCCATTGGTTGTTTGTGTTTCCAATTCTGAATGATTGTTCCGTATGTCGTTCCAACGTGCGTCGTGGTCGTAATTCTTTCGCTGGCCTACATTACTGCAACGGTGCATGGCCTTGTAACGCAAGTGCATTAGGCAGCTGACCGCGCTGTATGACCCGTTTTACCCGCCTCCCCGTGCTCGGCCCACCTACCAGATCGCTGACATTTGGTCCTGCGGTGTGATGCTGTACGTGATGCTGGTCGGTGCCTACCCGTTTGAACGCCCGGAGGATAAGCACGATAACCAGAAGCTGCAGAAGATGATCCAGGTGCGTGGGTGGAGGGCAGACGCGATGCCGCGGAATCATGTAACCGACGCTCTGCGTCGATGTAACGGTGCTTGATGTTGTAGCGTGCCATGGGGGCTGCATTCATGACCCCTGATGCCTAGGCCCAAGTGCTAAGGCCTCACTCTTGAGGTAAGCTTCGCTGGCATTTTGGAGGCCCTTGGCTTTATCCCCCAAGGACACGACGTGAATGGTACCTGCTTTGGCGCCGTCCGTGCTCTGGTTATGACACTGCACCTTGCCCCGCTGGGCTTCGCGCTGTTCGCCCTCCAGCGCATCTTGCAAGTGGACTACCACATCCCGCCCAGCGTTCGCGCTTCTGAGGACTGCCGGGACCTGCTTTCGAAGATTCTGGTGGCCGACCCGTTAAAGCGCATCACGATCGACGGGATCTACAATCACCGTTGGTACCAGAAGGGTCTGCCTCCAGGCGTGCGTGAGATGAACGAGCGCGCGCAGCCGCCGCCCGAGGGTCTTCAGGTGGGGTACCATTGGGGTTGAAGGCTTTGGCACTTGCGGATTGATCCTAGGTGCATAGAAGTTGTTGAATCTTAAATGTGCAAAGGTTATGGCGAGGAGTTAGGGTTGGCAACAGCATCTGGGACAAGTGGGCATGCCGAGTGTATCACTGCTCAGACCATTCGATGGTCCAGGATCTAGCGGAACGGAATTACCTACTGTAACGGTTGTGGAATGGGTAGCTTTGATGCCACTGGAAGAAGACCATGTATTTGGGTTTTACCAGAGGACACGGGTTAGTGTGTTGGAAACCGTCTCTGGGGATGAATGTTTTGGCTGCCCCTGGGTGGTCTACTTGCACACAGAGCGTGGAGGAGATCAAGCGGTTGGTAGAGGAGGCCCGGCACGTGGGCGTCGGCGCTCCTGGCTACGTGAACCCCGTGGAGACGGACGAGTACATTGACGACGCCATGGACAACATGTGAGAGGAATTGGGTCGGAGTTGCGCGCCCAGTTGACGCGCTCGAAAAGTGTCCCACGTCCTCCGAGCAACATGTGCATTACCTGTTTAGCAACCGGGTCTGCTCTTAGGACGGTGCACGGTTAATTCATGATTCGGTTGACATAATCATCGTCGTCATGCCAATGGTCTGTTTCCTTGAACGCATGGCGCCGCTGGCGCCAAAGACGGCTTCGCGCCGGAAGCGCGTCTGCGTTTGAGATACCGTCGCACACCCTCGCTGAGCCAATGTGTCCTCGCCCGCTTTCATTCTGACCTGGTCTTAACACGCAGGTACGACGAGGGCAGTCTAGACTACAACGATTGACACCAACCGTACTGCAGTGGTCGATTTCTGTATGGGCTCGCCCGCTTGCCTCCGATGGAGCTTTATTTTTGCTGCTTGCCGACCTCGCAGCACTAGAACAACGGCACATGAAAATCGACTTTTATCCTAGGCATACGCACGCTCACGTTTGATGTCTTTGTTTTGGAGGGGAGCCTGGCCCAGAGCCCTGCAGTGCACGCAGGCTGGTTCGTTGGTCTTCTGCGATTTCATACGGCAGGGCGGGCAGGTAGGGCTGTCGGAGCATTGTTAGTCGGCAGCACTGGAAGCGGACAGGAGGCGACATAGTAGTGCGGTGCTTTGTTACCGCAGTTTTTTGGCTGATGCTGTTTGCCGCTACACATTGCGGTTGAGCTGTTCCAGCTGGAGGGCCGTAGTGACCGAGTTGAGTGCAGAGGTCCGGTCCTGCGCTGACGCTGAGGTTGGGTGTCACTAATACCTAGTTAGGCAATATCGGGTTGGCGGGCGAGCTGGGGATGGGGGGTTTGAAAGCACATGCGAAAGCAGTGTTGAGCTTGGGGCCGCAGGGGCCCATACGGCGTACGTTGCTCATAGCAGCTGACTGGTTAGGACTACATTTTGTGCAAAATATCTATGACCATTCTCACATGTTGCAAGTTGAATTTGCGTTCTTGCTGCCGGTGGCTTTCCGTCTATCTAGAGCATCAGGTCAGGATTGAAAAAACCTGAGTTGATTATCCCTAAACAAATGAGACCAGGTCACCGTCGAGCTTCCTTGCAGGGTTCCCATCAGAAGTCCTGTGCTAGCCTGGTAGGCCAACAATGGATGCTAGAGAGAGGGGCTGCAGTGACTGGCGGCAGCGTTGCGTGTGAGGTGGAGTGGGTTTGGGATCAGGCTGCGTTGTGTTACTCTGCTGGGCAATAGCCAAGGCTGGCTCATATCGGATGCGCCTCTGCATTTCTGTTAATTTTGTGCATAGATGTCATATGTACTGCGTCCCAAACCCGCTCGAAATTTGTTAATGCGCGGAGCGTTCTTGAACTGAGAAGGCTGATCACAAGGCTGCGGCAGGCGGACGTGGCTTGGAGGTCATGTTGAGGTGTCACAGGTGTACAGGGGCTTCGGATGTAATCTGACTGCATCCCAATTTCCATGGTGTAAGGCCTCCGAAAAAATCCTGCATCCATGTCATCATTGAGCACACTTTAGCCTAGTTCCGAAAGGACCTTGATTGGCAGATGTGATCCCGTGAACCTATTGCAAAATGCGCTAAGCTGGGGAAAGGTGGTGGCAAGATGCTAGGACTGCCAGGTAACGGTCAACGGCGCCAACGGTAACCACCTGGTATCCTGGTCGTTGAATGAGGGAGTAGAATTGAGCAGTTGAGCACGCCACCGCAGGACACAGCAAGGGCACTACATCAGCTAGCAGTGTAACCGTGCAGCGCTGCCTACGGAAATTATAAGTCCCTTCCAGGGAAGCAGCTCACGCGGGAATCGCCGAACTAGCTAAGATCACGACCCAAATGTTCCCCACCGTTGCAGACTACCAACGTGCCCCCGAACAGTTTCGATTAATTCCACTTGCGAGAAGATGAGTTCCATTAGGGAGAAGATGCTAGCGTCGCGTTTATGGAAAATACGGGAGGTTCGTATTGGAGTCGCATAAGCAGCACCCGAATTTCGAGCCCCTGCACAAAGCCGTGTCCTTGTACCAACCACGTAACACGAACCTCCTTTACCTCTCTTTTCAAACAGGTGCCAAGGCGCGTTATCTCTGCGATCGCGGAGTACTTAACTCGCAACTACGCCCAGTTAGGCGCTGGGTACAGCCGAAGCCAGCGAGCCGCCAAGCTGGTTGCGGACGCGCATTCGTGGCTGGAGATATTCATGGATACCCGAGGCCATGTGAAGGTGCGAGGCCAGGGCTTACTAATGCCCGGCCCCACCTCAGGGTGCAGGGTCCTCGCCGGTCGCAGCTGCCGCCCCTTTTGCAGCGCTTGCTTGGCGCCACTCACGGCGCCCTCTTTGCTGCGAGCCCTCTTAGTTACATTCCTGTCCACAGCCAAGTGTATTTACCGATTTCCCCCTAGGCCTGCCGCCAAGTTTGACCAGCGAAGCCGCCAGCCGCCGGCAGCCTTGATCGGCATTTCAATTTCCACTCCGCTGAGCGAATCTGCAAAAATTCTGCGCAAGAGTTTGGCAGTCGTCATGCAGTCATGCATGTGAAGGAGAGGCGCGTATCTACGGGCTGTGAGCCGCCCCAGGTCGCAATCCGGCACCATAAACACCCAACCCATCACAATCCACCTCGTCCGTGCAAAACACGATCACTCGCTCCCACAGAGCCCTGCAACCTCGTAAAACGCACAGGCGAGCCTACCCGGACCCCAACAAAGTGTCACCTTCATAGGCACTTAGCCATCCCACCTCCGAGTCCCCTCTCCCACCTGGATGTCGGCATTTGTTGTTCCCGTGACCCTTGTACGTGTTTCCGCCCTGTCCCCTCCAGGAGGCGCCTCGTGAGTCCCTGTTGGGCCCTTGGCTGACCCTAGCCAGCCGCACCGGGTGCCAAGTGCAATGGCGGCGTGTGGATTGACGCAGCGGCGCCTCCCCGCTGGGGCAGCTGGAGGCCCTGCTGGTGCTGACCCACGTGTCCAACCTGCTGGGTGAGGCGGTGAGGTGTCAAGGCGGGCTTGGCGGCACTAGTGATAAGGGAGGAGTTTGGGAAAAGGAGACCGGAGACCCGCAGCGCTGAAGAATGGCGGGGCTTACGGGAGGTTGGAAATGTGAGCTCTGGACCGGGATGTTTCTACGTATGCATGTCCGTGAGCATGCTGTCCGCTGCAACCTCCAGGGGAAGTCCTGGATCTGGCAGCGGTAATCGAGGTAGTACGACACAGGGCCCCCGAGGCGCAGGTGTTTGTGGATGGCATTGCGTATTTGACGCACAGCACCGGTACGAGAGTTGTACATGACTGTGCGGGTGGCTGGAAGCTAGCCCACGAGAGGTGGTGATAGAGGGGATATGCAAAGAGCAAGAAGTCATTTGCCGCAGTGGGGAAGAGGAAGGAATGGGCTCAGGATTTAGGAGGTTGCGGGCCTAGGAGGTCCACACAACTGTTTAGCAGTGGGCTGCTTCAAAGGAAGGGGCTCTGTGTTTCAGCACCTGGCCCCGAAGTCCACCTCTGTCTTGAGGGGAAAGGAGGGGAGGGGAAAGGAGGGGAGGGGAGGGGAGGTTAAGGGGGGGAGGGAGGGGAAAGGAGAGGAGGGGAGGGGAGGGGCCCTGGAGGCCCTCTGGGCCCGTAGGCGGCCCTCCTGAGGGAGCCCGGGGCCGTTAGGGCCCGGGGGCCCGGGGGGTCCTTGTGGAGCCCATGGGGGGCCTAGCTGCCCTAGGTGCGCCAGGGCTGCGGCCATCAGGGGAAATACCTCATGTAAGTGTACGGCGTTTCGGTGTCCATTGCTGGGTCCTTCATCGAATGATTGATGTACTGTGCACGACTGCTCTACTGTGTCGTACCGTCGAGGCATAGTTGCACGGCTTGACACGGTACTTGACGCATCATACGCCGATTTGCCCAAACACGCGTGCAAATACACACACACACGGCCTTCCTGCTTGTTTTTCGTTATTTTCCCGCATCAACCGCAGGGTGGCTGCAATTTAAAGAGATACCCGCGGTTGTCGTGCTGCTACTGCTGCTGCTACTGCCGGAGGTGAGTACCTTCAAGAGCTGAGAGCATTACTAGGACATGTGTACGGTAGGCATCTTGGAAACTTGTGTACGGCATGGGCCCGGCGGTGCTGCAAAAGGAATGCTCCCCGTACGGTTGTGGGTGCGGCGGAGGTGAAGCCAGTGCGGCATCGGCCGCTCCGGTCATCTTGAACCGGTGGCGGTGGTGGTGGTGGTGGATGTGCTGTGCATGGAATGGGTGGTGGTGGTATTTTCGACCCGGCCCCTGAGGGCTATTGGCTGTGGGTTCGAGACCCACAAGGATCGAGGGGTAATGATCCACTGCTTTAGCTTTGCGCAGTATTGTCAATGCAAGCATCATCGCGCGTTGGAGCGCCTGTAACGAGTTTTCAGCTAAAACTACGTTTTTTTGGATTTTCGCTGAGCATATAAGGCCCAGAGGCTCCACCGTCGCTTATAATGTCTTGCAGATGCGCCCGATGCGCCGGTGCACAGCTCAGCTCAGTCAGGTCCCTGACCTCGCGTAATCTGCTCGTGAGACAATTGTTTAGGCTTCAAAGCCGTTTACAAGCAACGGGCTTTCCACAAATGGCGCCATTGCCGTGAAAAACCTGCCTTGGCTGCTTCACATTATTAGCTTGGTTTGACAACGCTTTATGGTGCCCTTGGAGGCCTACCTTAATTCTCGCAGGGCCATGGACGTATCCAGTTGGGACGTGGACTGGTAGGTGTGAGGTGCCTCAGGGTGTATGGCCCGCATGTGGGGTGATGTACGGCAAGCAGCGGGCGTACGGGTCCCAAACAGACTACCTGCTTAGGGTTTAAACCCTTAACCCTAAGTTACTAAAACCCTTACACTAACCCTGGAACCCTAGGACTACCTGCAGCAGCTGCTTGGATCCCGGGTGCACAACAGCAGCAGGGCCAACATCAACAGCAGCAGCAACAGGCGGACAAGTCAGGGAACCCAGGCGACCACCCCGGCAATTAACACACCCACCCGGCGGGTTCTTGAGGAGTGCAGTCCCGCCATCAACGCCGGCGGTGTCGTGCGCGGCGGAGTCCACGACAGCAGGGCACAAGTGGAGGCGGCCTTCACGATGATGACCGCCATGGAACAGCCGATGCAGGAGCAGCTACTGTCGTACTTGTCATCTCACGCTGCTGGTGTGGGTTCACCGAACACGGACCTTGCCGTACGCGTGCCAATCATCAGCTTCGTACACCGGGTTAAGAGCTCCCAGCGCGGAAATGGCCGGGGAGCTGCAGTGCAGGTGAGTCGACCGGAACCCGGGCCCTCGGATTGCGGATCAAAGTTCTTCTGGATTGTACTTGGGTAAACTCAATGTTGGCAGTTCAAACCTCTCTCATGGAGGAGGGGCATCCTTCAGAAAACTTGTATAAAGGTGGTGTGCACCCAGTTCATTAACTCCTGGGGGGCCTGACGTGTCCTGGTTGAGGCTGCTGTCCGCCAAGTATCCGACCATGCACGTTACATCCTACCTGGTGCTCAGTCGCATGGCCGCAATTTCAGGCGTCTGGCTTTGCGGTACGGTACATATGTACGCACGGCAGCTGGTAGAAGCTCTAATGGAGGAAGGGGGACTGCTCGCAGCAGAGGAAGTCGCGCAACGACAGGCCGACGGCGATGCTGCCGCAACTGGCGTTTCAGTGGCGCCGGCACTGGCGAGGAAAAAGAGAATGCAGCCGGCAGCAGCAGTAGCAGCAGCAGCAGCAGCAAACGGCGGGCCGTTTGATATACAGAGGGCGGTCAACAAGGGCGTAGTCCGCTTGTCCCTGCTCCATTACAATGCGCCAGAGGAGGTTTCGCGACTGATTGCCGCCCTGAGGGCTCCTGTGCGGCTGCGAGACTGCGGAATAAGGAGAGCAGCTAGCTGGCTAGGGCTCGGCCGGGTAGTGGCGGTGGGTTTCTGCCCTACACTCCTGGAGACTGCCAGGTGGTGCTTGGGGAGAGCCTGGTGCAGGGGGGAAAAGAGGTATTGTGAGAGCCGCAACGGACGCCGTGTCCAGAAGTTCACCTAGTTAAGGGAGGTGATTGCCACGTCTTCAGCGGGCTTTCTTATCGCCACGGCCGTCTTTGTGAGGAGCGGTCACCTCGCAGTTGGAAGCGAGGAATATAGGACTGTATGGAGGGGAAGGGGACGGGAAGTTTTGAAGCCCTCCGAAAATTAAGCCATAGACCGTAACCGTAAGGTATGGGTTGCCCTCGCAGCGTTATCAACGCCAAACGCGTCGCTGTCGCTTAAATCGTCCTTCCATTCTCTCCCAATCTTAATTCCGCGCCTGCTAATTGTTAATTATCCAATTAACGACAAACACGACACTTGTTCCCTACGCAGCAATCTTGCAAGGATGGTGTTAAAGGTCAGTACCCGGATGGGGACCTCTGGGGAGGTGGTAACCTTGAGCAGCAAGATTTGCTGACGTCCGCCCACGGCCACTTGGCCCCAACCCAGCCCTCAACCCGTTTTTTCAACGGTTTACCTCTGAGAGTTCTCACTAGCGAGCAAAAATCATGTACCAAGTTCACGGACTCCTCGCCTGCGCACCAGACAGCAACTAGACGCCCCAAAACGCTCAACAGTAACCCTGCCTAATGCAGAACAAGTCAATATGCGTCTATGTTGGAAAGCGACAGACACTCATAGCCTCTTAAAATCAGCAAAGTGTCGAAACCCCTCTCTTTGTTAGACACAGCAAAGCGCCAGACCCCGGTATATGAGTGTCGGTCCCTTTCCAACAGTCTGCAATCCTCTTGTCCGCGCGCTTAAACATAGAATTTAATATTCTCACATGTTCCGCTCTTCTTACTCATCACGTTGGTCCTTATATGCGCGCGATGGGGCCGCTGCTAGTAAGCACCGCAGGCTCCCACCAATCCCTAACAACGCTGGCTACTCTAACTAGACATCCGCTCACGGTGCAATAATCGCCTGCTGGTCCTGCTCACCCTCTGCGCTCACTTGGCCCTCGTCAGTGTAGTCGTCACTTCGCTGCAGTTCCTTTCCCTCGACAGCCCTGCCCAAGGCCAACGTCTCGCACACTTGCCAACGCTTCTCCCGCGACTCACCGTGTGACTCACCACGCCCGCTTAAATATCACATGCCATGGCTCGACTTTGCGACGACGCTCACTCACCCATTTACCCACCATCACCCTGCAGCCCCAGTCTAGGCCGCGGCCGCAGCAGTCTGATCGTCGGACGGGCACGTCAGCGGCGCGACGTGGCGCACATAGCGCCCGTTGAGTGCTAGCGCCAACAGGTCCTGTTCCTCTATGAACCACACCTCCCCAAACTGCGCCCGCAGACCGCACAGCGTCGCGCTCAGCGCATCGACCGCAGCTACAACTGCCTCGCTCCGAAGCTCCGTCACGTTGTACGACCCGCCGCTGCTACTGGAAGTCGTTTCCAGACCTTCCGCCGCAAAAAGCCGCCGGCCGCTGCCACTGCCACCGCCGCCCCCACCGCCGCTGTCACCTCCAGAACCAGCGCCAGAGTCGCCGATGGAGGTAAGCGATCGAAGCTCCCGACCGCTTCCCACGATGCTGGCAACCTCGAGGTGCTGCGTGGAGCTCGTGGTGGTGGTGGTGGTGGTGGTGTCGGTAATGACGGCGGTGATGGAACCCGGAGACGCCGACGCAAACCTGGGTGGGGGCTTGAGTAGTCGTGCCACAGTGGTATGCAGCATGGCGGGCTCCTTGACCATCTGGGCCTCCCGCGGGGGCGCGTTGGGCAGAGCGGCACCCAGCGCGGCGCGTAGCAACGCGGGCTCGCCGCCCTCCGGCAGCACCTGCCAGCACGCCACCACCACACCTGCGTGAGCGGACAAACACCGGCCAGTTAGTGCAGTGCAGCACCCACAGCTGCCGCTGCTGCTGCAGCAGGAGCGGCGCGGGAGGTGTGCTTGGATGTGAATGCCGCGCATGGTCGCATACCCTGCATGATTTGATCCGATACGGCCGCTGTTAAGGAAAGAGTAAAAACATGTCCGGCCACTGATTCCCACCTGTGCTTGTGATCACCACCCGATCCAGTACTGCATTGATGGGGCAGGTGGACCCGCACACCGCCCGAATACTGCGCTCTTCCTCTGCGACCACTTCAGCGCTGGCGTGGATGGGTTTCTGATACGGAGGTCGAGCAGACGGCGGGGTGGGAGAATCAGGCGTGGTGCATTTTGGGGAGTTGGGTCGGGGGCTGTACGTGCCTTCTGCCGTGCGTGTGTTTGGTTGACGAGCCATAATCGGATAAGACTAAAGGGCGGATTTTGCGGAGCGCAGCCGGGACATGCACTATTGCCTCCCTGCATCAAGCCCCGTGCACCAGCACGCAATAAGCGGCCAGCAAAAGCAGCAGCAGCAGCAGCAGCAGCAGCATGCAGTAAGGGGCGAGTAAAGCAGAACTCGAGCACGTTGCTAACGGAACCCGCCCATCCCCCCCAAAACCCCCACCCACCACCCACCACGTGGGAGGAGGCGTGGTAGAGGGTCGCATGATACAGCGCATCGTCCTGGAGCCAGATGCTACCCTCCGGCAGCACCGGCAGCAGAAACTGCCGCACAGCATCACGGATCTTGCCCGCCGCAACATTGTCCCGCAGCGGCAGGATCATGGCCCGCACCGGCACCTCCAGGGGGTGCAAGATGGGCGTGATGAGGATGCGGTTGGACCGGGAGTCTGGTGTGACTTTGAACAGGTCAGCCTGAGTGAGGCCTTGCGTGATGACGCCCCCCAATTCCAGACCCTTGCGCCTGGAACCCGCGCCCATGGCCTCGTACACACGCCGGCGGTCCATGGAGTACTTGCTGACGGAGAGGCGCATGGACCCCGTCTCACCTGCGGTCGGTGGTGGAATGAGGGACAATGGGTTGCGTGTGTGTGCAGAGAGGCAGGATGGAGAGGATGGCCACGGAACCTGCAAGCCAAGTGCACACCTAATGTCGGCTCGGCAAGGAAATGAGACGGAATTTATGCAAAGCTGCCCTCAGCTGCCGCTGAGGGGGACCGAAGACTGAGAAGGTTCGTGCCAAAACCTAGAACCCCCCACAGCAGCACTTGTGCCCTACACGATCTCCCCCGGGCCCCAAGTGCGGTAATAGATTATCCCCGGCCAAGTTTTCGACTTACCAAAGTCCATCCCCAATGCTGCCAGTCGCTCGCTGCAAGTGTGCAGGTCCATAACGCTGTCTGGCAACTTGGCATGGTGAGAGTGTCGCTTGATTGCACCACGCAAGCCCCTCGCAACTGATGGGATTTTGCTATGAGTCAGTATTTTTGCCGCTGACCTTCACAAAAATCCTCAATGGTTTTAAAGATGCCTTACCAAAGTACATCAATGGCACTGCCAGCACCATTGCCAAAGCAAGTCCATAATCCTGAAGTCCTTGCAGTAATCGTTTCTCCGCTAAAGGAGCGCGACGGCGACCAACAACTGCTCCATCGGTGTTTCCAACGACGTCTACCGAGTGGTGGTGGGTGCGATGCATTTCTTTAATATATTACTTATGTCCGCATTCTTCCAGATATCCTGAAAACATAGATTAATTGGGAAAGGAGCTGGACCGTAGCGCAACTCGACGCTAAGTTTGAGATTGTTAAAGCAGAATCACACCAACTGAGCTAAGTTTAATCATAGATATCAGCTGTACACCGAATTTGCGCACAGCACGGAAAACTTCCTGCAGAGCTGCTGTTTTATCTGTTGCTTCCGTTGCTCCGGAGCCAGGATAACTAACACGAATGCAACTACCACGGCATCTGCAACTCTGCACTCCGCAAAGACATTAAGGCAGAAGCCGCCTGGACAGGAGTCATTTAACAACAGAAAGACTCGAGGTTCCTTCCCAGGTTAGTGTCAATACCCGTTGCAAACCCACGGCACCGCCGAAGGATGCTGAAGCGGACGCCGTCACGTCGGCCCCAACAGCGTGACCACACAATCGGCATACTTTTTACCAATTGAAACTATTGTAAAATTATAACGACACCACGAAAACACGTCCGCCTGCCGGTCCAGTAGTGTCCAGACTTACGTCCTCCGTACGCCTCACGTACGCTGTTTCTTCATCCGCTCCCCTCCTCCTTCCGCCCCTCCCCCCCCTTCCTTCCCTCTCAGAGCCAAACCCGCTAGCGAACCGAATACGGCAGCCGGTACAGCCTTCTGCGCCACGTCCATATCAGCCGCAGCGCCACCATCGTCGTCGTCCGCGTCGAGGTCGATCTCCTCAGGGTTGGCTGCACCAAGCACACAGTTAAGACAACTTTAATTGCAGCAGAGCACAGCTAATTTCCGTGTAGCAAACGTTCCAGCGCAGGTCAGATCAACTGCGCTACTTCATAACAACCATAATTCCCAGCAGCTATTGACACACACCACAGGCGAAACGCACCTGCAGCTGGCGCCTTGCGTTGGGGCTGAGCTCCGTCCGCAGCGGTGCCATCCTTTTCGCCACCCTGTTGGATGACCCCGGCAGACACGAAGCCCGAAAGGGCCGTCCGTCCCGACGACCCAGCGCCCCCTGCGGCTGCGCCCAGTCCCATCGCCGCCACTGCTTCCGCCTCGAGCTCTGCCATGGCGTCGACACCCTCACGGGCCCGCTTGGCGCCTGCCCCAACACCCGCCTCCGCCTCGGCTCGAGATGTGATGCGCGCGGCATCTACAATTGAGTTGATCTGCATATGGCTGAAGCTCACCTTGACGGACCTGTTCATCAAAAACATGGACAAGAAAAACATCTTAGTGGGTTGGCCACATGAAAACGGCTAGCGTGGCCCCTTGCTTACCTGAGCTGCTAATTGTACATATGAAAAGCAAAGAAGGCCGACAGTACGATTTGCAGCGAAAAGGCAGGAATGCAATGTGCTGATGTTCCGGCAATGCCTTAGCGGGTCATCACAATAATCTCCGCCACAGGTGCCCGCGTTGCATGCCGCTTCGATAGCGAGCGCCGTCGGGAGCTCAGACATGCCAGAAGCCTCGCCTCCGCTCTTACCTGAGTATCCGCATCATTTCCTTGAACGTGTCTTCGTTGCCATGCCGCACCTCGAATGCGCGCCACGCCGCCCAGTAGTCGGCCGCGCGGTCGGGGTGGCTGACGGCTGAGCCGTGCACGTAGATGGCACGCGCGCGATCGATCTCACCCAGCTTGGTCTCCAGCGCGGCGTAGCGCATGCAAAGCTCGCGAACGTCATCGTCGGAAAGGTCGTTAGGCGGCTCGGCCTCAATGGCCGACTCGTAAATCTCACGCACCTACGGCAGGGAACGCACAAGGGATATACCAGCGACATATTTCGCTACAGGCACCTCGCGGGCACACCTGCTCTAGTCCTGCTGCATCCTCTCTCCGCTGTCTGACCCGGAACAGAGAAAGTACCAGGGCAGGAGTAGTTGCGGCCAGGTAGCGGAATGAGCGTGTGGATTTTACGTTGTCAGGCACAACGACAATCACAAGGAAGCGGGGCCAAGCTTGCCTTGGCGATGCCGAAAAAGTCCGAAGCGCGGCTGACGTAGATGTCGATAATGGCCTTGCGCTGGTCCTTGGGCACCGCCTGCAGCGCCCGCGCGTAGATGTCCATGGCGTGCCGGGCCAGGCCGTGTGTCTCCTCCAGCTTGGCGTAGTCCAAGTAAAGCGACTTGCAGTCCTGCAGCACGGGTCAGGACCACAAGTGTTTAGGATTATTAGCTCGTTACCCGTAGGTTACAGCGCACCGCGGAACTACAGTTCTTGCCCACACCCTTTTTGCAGGTCATATAGCTCACAAATGGAAGTGGTTACGCACGCTGGGTAGGATAGTGCGCGCGGGGCAGCCAAAACATAGAATGCGTGCATGTCGCCATGGCGGTCAAAACAACTGTCGCCAACCGTCAGCTCACGGCTGTTGGCACCATAGTTATTTCAAGTCCCATGTGCACCCAAGTCCCATGGGGCCTCCTCTTACCTGGGCCGGCGCGTCCTTAATGGCCTGCTCGTAAAGGTCCCGAGCACGCTCTAGCTTCTTGCCGCCGTAACGATCCACGAAAGCCGCCAGATAGGCTGACCAGATGTCCTTGACGTGTGGGTACTTGAACAATGCAATGCCCCGTTCATATACCTGTGGATGGAATGCAGTCCATGCAGACATTTCTCTACAACAGGATGAAGGCTGTGACGCCTATAGAACGTGGCCAGCGCCTCAACCAGCAGCGCAGCATTTGCCTTGCGCTCACGTGCAGGCAAAGCTTTGCCGCCGCCTGAATCCCGCGATGCGTATCTCCCTGAAGCTTCGCCTGTCCTATCGTCGCGTGTGGCGTCTTGCAAATGGACCGCGCCTGTGCACCACTCGAGCCTAACGTACGTCCCACTTCCTGCACTTATGCCAGCCTCGCCCCTGCACACCGTCCTGCCATCCCCCACCTTGAAGGCGTCCTCAAAGGCCTTTTGCTCCGTGAGAAACAACGCGTAGTTAAGGATGACCTGCGGCGTGGCAATGCGCAGCTCCAGGATGCGGTCATAGGCCTCGCATGTGGACTCGCGTGTCCCCAGGCTCTCCTCCAGATCCGTGTGCATCAGGTGCAGCTTTAGATTCCTGTGCACACATGTCGCCCCACGGCATGGGAACAGTAGGGCAATGGAGCAACAGACAAGGGCAACCAAGCGCCGGCGTTAGCTATAGGTGCGGACACGAGGACATCCTGCGCAAAGGGTGAGGAGTATATGCATACATGTGCGGTTCAAAGGGCTGACGCGTCGCCTCCAAACCGCATCCGGCTCGGCACCTTCGCGCATGCGCCTCTTAATTTGAATTGCCGCCGTCAAGTCGGCGCCAAAATGGATTTAAAGACGAACCAATGGCGCTGCTCCCAGGACGCTCCTCCCCATCGCCAAGCCTGTAAGCTCAACCTCACCTGTAAACGCGGTCCTGCACAGGTAGCGCACGTTCCTCCTCCTGCGTCATGCGAGCTGGTCGCGGCGGTGGCGTGAGCACCCGCTTGACCAGGTCCAGGGCACGCTTAAAGTTGCTGTGCCGAAGCTCCATTTCCACCCACTCGCACCACACCTGCGCCAGATCGTCCACGTACTTGTAGCGCGCCTGCGACCAACGGGTGGCATAGCGCAGAAAGGGCCATCGGGTGCAGCTAGTAACGCAGGCAAAGGGAAGGTGTGGCCAACTGGCGGTTGCGCAATGCTCGTCATCACTCCGACAAGGCAATTGACATGAATGGCCCAGCTAGGCATCCAGGAGAGTCTTGCTTCCTTCTGCGATTAGCATCCAGAGCCGGACCGGCACTCGACCATTAAAACAGGATTCCTCGGTTCTATATGCATGGCCCCGGCAAGGTCTACATGACTTGCAATGCTCCTAGCCATTGTTTTCGGGGGTACACACCGCACCTCAGTCGCTTTCTGGAAGATGATTCTGGCGTTGGGCACATCACCATGACGCTCGTAAAATTTGGCGAAAGCGCACCACAGGGAATGCGGCTTCCCAGTCGCCTTGTCCGGGTCAACGGTGCGAACCTGGCGGCAACAGCGACAACAGCAGATCAGCATGTACCCGACAGGAAAAACCACAGCCACTCCCTGATCACGCCACGCGTAGCGGAACCCGAGGCAAGGAGTCTTCCTAAGATCGCGCCAAGACGCCAATGCCCAAAATGAAGTGGAAACCACTTTGTTATGCCATACATTAACACATCAGCAGAAAACCGCCCCGTGCGAATCAGCAGAAGGGGACAACAAGCTTGCACTGCTACATGCCCTCGTCTCACATCCTGTGTCCCCCATGCCCACGCCTTGCATACCGCTTCCGTGTACGTGAGGATCTGCTTCGTTGGCTTCCCCTCGAACAGTTTCACTCGTTTGTGCCACTCCGCCACGTTGTGAGGGTTCTGCCGGAGGATGACGGAGGACAGCAGCTCCGGGCGGCGATTCATGAGGTGCTCCAACCGAGCCAGGCTGCGAACACAGACGCCGGTGTAAGAACAGGCCCAACAACAGATACATGCGTCGGACCATCCACCCAGTCCTTTCATAAAGCGCCAATTGTGCAGACGCGTGCATTACATACCCGATAAGCCCACGCACTACAAGGCGGCGAGGCAGAAAGGCGGCACCGGGCGAATACTATGCCAGACGGAAAGCAAGATGCATCGTCTCATGATATGCAGTGGACAAAGCTGCAATCCCTCAAGGCCGGTGGAGGCTGATTGCATCCGTACGCGGCGCCCTAGGAGAACCATGTCGAGAAACGACATTGTCGAAGGAAATCGATATCGCTTCCCAATTTGAAACGTCTGCTGCATCCCATGCACTGATGCGTGCAGCGCAATCCTGGAAGGCTGTGGGATATGTATGTAGCACACACGGGTACATCGGGTACGCCAGGGAGCGTAGCAAATGCGGCGGCATTTCGTTGCTCTGCGGTTTTGCACGTGGCGGCTCAGCGGGCATGCTCAGCGCCCAGGAAATTTGTCGTCAGACTTTGGTGTCCGATATCGCTTTTCATTTGGTAATCATAGCCGTGCTGCATTCGCAGTCCCGTGCCGTGCCGTGCATTGCCGGCGGGGTTACGGTGCGAACAAAAGTACACTGTATGAGGCAATGGCCACGGCGTTCCCTTGCCCAGGGGAGTCGAACGGGTTTAGGCGCAGAGCGGCTCAGCGGGCATGCTCAGCGCCCAGGAAATTTGTCGTCAGACTTTGATGTCCGATATCGCTTTTCATTTGGATAATCATAGCCGCCTGCTGGCCCTACAGCGCTCTACAGCGGCTGCACTGCAGAGTTCAATTTGCCAGGCAGCAGCCGACCCGGCCTTACCGCAAGTCTACGTCGTTGCCATCATCCTTCAGCAGAAAGTCCGCCCCGTCGTCATCGTCAACAGCCATGCCGTCCTCATCATCTTCTGCCAGCTGCTCCATGCTGGCTGACAGGAGGCTCTCCTCAAACTGCAGGTCCAGGGGCTCAGTCAAAGGCTGCGCTATGTACGGCCGTCACAACCATGCAGGGGTCCCTATGCCGTGGGAGCTGCACGAGGCAGTCGGAAATGCGCGGAGCTGCACCAACTAGGGGACGTTGCAACACCAACAAGTCCACCTGTTGCACTGACAGGGGCTTACATTACCCGGCTTCCATGAAAAATGCAACGAAGCGCCACACTAGCTTGGTTCCAAACCCGTGAACAGCACTGGCCAGCTCCCAAGCGCATCCGCCGGGCTCACCTGTGTATACGCGTCGTAGATGAGGGAGAAGTCGTGGACGGTCAGCACCGAGCAGAGGCCCTCTTCGTAGACGTCCCGCGCCTTCTCGAACATGCTGCGCCGAATGTAAAAGTCCGCCAGCGACGTCCACAGCCGACCCACCTGCGAACACCCAAGGAGAGATGCCGGGTTCCTAACTTCGCAGCAAAGCGAGAGAGGCGCCAGCCGTTAGCGACGTACGAGAAAGCACGCAGTCGCAATAGTCGTTGCATGCTAACGCGCTTCCGACGCGCCAGTTCGCCATCCCTGAGTTCAATTGATATCAATATTGGACCCATGGGAATCTCGACCTTGCCCTGATCACAGACCTTCGCAAGCCGCAAAATACACAAGTATGCATGGAGATAGGGGGATGCCACACCGCAACCCGTTCCCCCAAGTCCCATCGCAACGCACAACCTTACCTCGTCCGTGAAGCGGCGAATGCCGCCGCGCAGGATGGCGTCCACCCGCATCCCCGAAACGTCCTTGGGGTGCTTTGTGATGATGTCGCATAGCTCTAGCCATAGAGCATGCTTGCTCTTGCCCTCCAATGACCGGAACGTATCGTCGTTCAGCAGCTCCGCCAGTTTCTGGGCAGCCTCCTCCCAGCGTCCCTAAACATGCCGCCAGCCAGGAGGACCAACGTAGGCAACGGAAGATGGGTAAAGGAGGGTTCGGCCTAAACAGTACGGTGTATCGAGACGCTAAGCTGCATGTGTCCGTGATGTGTCATCTCATATGGATTAGCAGGTTAGGGGGTTAGCAGGCTATAAATTAACATGCTTGTGAAATCTGCTGGCCACCCCGTATGCATCCAATAGCCGTGAGGCTTGGCAACTGCGTTACTACGTCCCCGAAGAACCCGGCGACCGCTCAGTTTTTGGCACTCTATTTTCACCTCCGTCGACGGACAATTGGTTCGCCGTTTCTTGATGCATCATTTCCTGAAAGCCTGAGACAGCATGCCACTGATGCTACCACATAAACGGACCCCATGGCCCCCATGGCCCCATGGCCCCCATGGCCCCATGGACCCCATGGCCTTGTGTAAAGCAGACAAGCACCTTGGGGAGATGTGGGAACCTTTCTTCTTAGTTGGGATTCACAAGCAGCAAAATGCCTTAAGACTCCTGCCCACATGTGCGCTTGTGTAATGCATGACTTGCCTTAGCTTTAAGATACGCTATGTACTCCTCTGCGTGGGTGGGCTCCAGCTTCAGATATCGCCGGTACAGCCGCACGGCGGTTTCGACAGGGATACCAGACGAATGGATGAATTTCTGCGAGGGAGAACGAGTCACAAAGGAGCCCACGAGTCAGCTCAGGTCTGTGACCGCAGTGTTGGACGCACTACAATTACAGTGAATTCCCCGACGCCTAGCCTTACTCGTCGTGTAATTGACCCCGGCATCCTGGATCCTGGGGGGCAGATACACTCCAAGGCGCTCCGTACCCTCCAAGCAGGCATATGCTGGTGGCCCGGCTCGCTACCTCTGTACCAGCATGTCCCTTCCCGTGACTCGGGCACATCACGTATGGGTTAATAAGGCATTGCTGTGAGCCATGCTGATGGCTTGTGTTCCGCCATTTTTGGGGTGGTGGCAACCTGCACAAGGCCAGTTCCCCCACCGACTCACCAGGTACAACTGCCAGACGCGGTCATGCTGCGTAATGGGGAGCGAGGCAAGGGCCCGGTCAAATGTCCGCCGAGTTCGCGTCACAAGCCGTTGCTCCATTAATAGCTGCAAGTACTGAAGCCAAATCCGTGGCATTTTGTGCATAGTGACAAGGGCCCGTTCATACGTGTTGTTGAGGGCCTCGAAGGCCACATCGTCCGGTCGCAAGCCGCGGACAGCCAGCTGCCGCGCCGAAAGGTACGCATGCCATAGCTGCACATGGGGAAAAGCATCGTGCGATTAGGAAAGCCAGGCGCTGCTCGGAGGTCCGGACAGTTGTCGCGTCCCGTGGAGGTGTGTCGTTGAACACACGGCCGCCATAGGGGTCCATTTCATCCGGGCAGACCTACTGCAACACGGCACGGTCCCTAGGTATCCCCACCCAGGCCGCAATAGAGCATCACGTGGCATCTCGGCCTTACTGGTACCTTACGACCCCCGCGAGAGCCTACCCTCCCCTTGTATGTAAAGGGGGTTAAAACCAAGGATAGCTGGCAATCTGATCCTCGGGTTCCCCAAACTGTTCATAGCATGGCACAGAAGCGTTCTACTACATAGGAACAATAGTGTGCTGCGCAGCCCACATTGGCCGGAACATTGAGATCTCTGCTTTCGCACTGCGGCGCCCCACACCTTGTAGCTACCAGGAAGAGCTCGCAATGCCCTCTCATATAGAAGGTATCTTCGCTTTGGGCTGGCTTCCGTTCTGGCTTGTATGTACCGAATCCACATTTTCAAGTTGTAGGGATTACGAGCAAGCTCCTCTTCATACAAGAGATCCTCTTGTTGAGGCAGGAGGTCCTCCATCGCCCTCAGCTGCGCGCCTGAAGCCACGACGGCCATCCTGGACGTGTGCGGCGGCCGAAGCCGCCCCTTCCGTTACGCGGCTATGAGGACCGGCGGAATACTTAAGCGTGCCCGTGGGGCTCGAGATGAAGCACCAAAACCTACTTCTATTCGAGTGAAATTCTAGTTAGCGCTTATGCAGAGACAAGACTTTGTTTACAATACGAACTGTACACATTGTAACATGTTAGCGGCTCTTATGAAACGAAACAGCAGAAGAACTTGCGGTAACCCTTTTCCTTTCAACCAACATCGTTATGATTTCGTTAACCATAACCTTGTGCTCCAAGCGTTTCAGGAGAAATTGATATGATTTTTGAGCTTGCGGTCAGATAAGTCTTATTTTATGGCAATCCACATAAGAAGGCCGCTCAATGTCGATGAATGAGCTCGCAATGGCGAGGTTGCCACGTAGCTCCAACATGGAAACATAGTTGTTGACTTAAGGGCGATGCCAATAATAACTCTGCAAGTAAGAGGAAGGGGCATCGGTATGGAGCTGTAGAACAAGTTCGACGGCACTCGGCACTTGTCCACGTCCCCGTTCCCCGCTCCATAGCAACCAAGCCCCATAGCCCCCAGCCCACCCAATATAGCCCAATTCCCTCCACAATCCTCCTCTAATCCCTGCCCTTAGGTCGGCCAATGCGGCAACCAGGTCGGTCAGGTGCTGTTCGAGCGGCTTGCGGCCCAGTCGGCGGCTACTGCCGACCGCGCTGCTGATACAGAGATGTTCCGCTGGGGTCCCGACGGCCGCCGCCGCGCACGCTGCCTGCTCGTGGACACTGAGCCCAAGGTGGTCAACGCGGTGCTCGCTGCAGATCGCGAGGGGCTCTTCAGCAGGCAGCAGTGCTACATGGGCCAGGTGAGGCGTCAGGGCGGCACAAGAGCGGGCAATAGGCTTTGGGGGGAAGCCCGCCCTCTGTGTGGGGACCCGCAACCTGGGCGCCGCTGCGAACACCGCCTCGTACAGCGCACGGTGCGCACCCCACGGCCCGATGAATGCGGGTGCAAGCTATGGCCAGCAGGCACGAGGGATGACGTCTAGGGACTCCTGAAAACGTCCAGGCGGGTCTGGAGAATCCCAAGGAGCCTGTGGGTCCGGGGTGGGCTCAACCGCAAGGCCACGAATGCTCCTGACGGGAATGTTCCTATTGATGAGGAGAGATCAAGGTATCAAGCGAGGGAGGGAGGCAAAGAGGGATAGTGCTGCATATGGAAGCGCAGGCACCGGATGAGAGGCTCCTGCATAGCTGTGTGGATTTCCGTGTTCCGTTAACGTAGCCTCCTCCCATGCGCCTCCCTACCTGCACGGCTCCCTTGCCGCCCTGCTGCCATGCCGCAGTCTGGTCGCGGAAACAACTGGGCCTTCGGTTACAACCAGCTCAACGTCGGCAGCCAGACCAGCGGCTACAGCACCGCCACCGCCGCCGCCAGGCCCGTTTCCCAGCCGGTCCGCCCGGCCTCCGGTCCCACCGCTCTGGGCCCCGCCTGGGTATCCTCCACCGCCACGGAAGACCCCTCCCAGCTCGAGTTTCGGATCCTGGATCAGCTGTACGACGGCATACGGCGCGAGGCAGAGGAGGCCGACGGCTGCCCCAACTTCCTGTTGATCCACTCCTTGGCGGGCGGCTCGGGGTCGGGCATGGGCAGCCGGGTGCTGGAGCACCTGCGTGCGCAGTTCCCCCTGAGCTACATTGCGGCTGCGTCCGTGGCGCCCCGTGCCGCCGGTGACACACCCGTGCAGAGCCTCAACTCCGTGATGGCGCTGTCGTTCCTGCAGGCCTACGCGGACATGGTGCTGCTGTTCAGCAACCAGGTGGGGACGCATAGGTAGGTAGGCAGGTAGGTAGGTAGGTAAGTAGGTAGGTAGGTAGGCAGGTAGGCAGGTGTGGTGAGAGAAATGGGGAAATATCGCCTTTTTTTATCTCGCATGTATACGCGCCTGATGAAGTGCGCCGCAGGATTAAGAAAGGCAGGCAGGCAGGTAGGTAGGTGGGTGCCCATAGGACAGGCCGGGCGAGGACACAGCGGGGCCGGGATGGGAGGGGATGGGCTGCAGCTCTGCAACGACTGTGAGATCAGCCGGGCAGCTTTTCACCCGACTCGCAAGGCTGACCTCTCCTCTATAATTTACCAATTCTACCTTGTTGGGTCGTAGCTCGGTCCGGTCTTTGCTTCCCTACACTTCCCCCCCCCCATGACTGTCCCTTCCCTCCTGCCTTGCAGGACCTGATGGATGCGTGTCAGCGGGCCTCCGTAGCGGCACTACTGCCCGGGGGCGCCCCGGGGGGCCCTGGAGGCGCGGGCAGTGGACTGTCCGACATCAACCGGCTGGTGGCACACAACCTGACCGGGCTCCTATGGCCCCTCCACGGCTCGGACGCGCTGGGCGGCGTGGGCCGCATACGGGACGCGGTGGGGAGATGCGGATTGGGAACCACAACCCAATCCCGGTTGGGTGATGGGATGGAGCGGGATATGTTAGCATGGGCCGGATCAGTTAGAAGCTGGCAAGGCACACCGAGCAGTGGAAGGACGGGTTTCCTCCGTCAGTGATCCCTTCCGGAACCCCGATTGCTGCGAGCTGATACGTGCGGAACGGAAGCAGGAACAGGAATAGCTCTGAACTTTGGGACCCAATATGTGCACGGCTAGCCCCTTCTGGGCGCTTGCTACCCCGCAGAGGCCCCGCATCCCCGCATGACCGGCATGCCTGGTCAGGGCCTCGTTTGTATCGTCCTACCTGCCATTCCCATTTCCCGGTTTAGTAGTGGGGCCTGTGGCTGTCGCAGCATGTTTGTGCAACGCTCTACATGCGCGTCATACCTGACGGTATCGCTATCAAGATCTGGAAATGAAGGATTGTTCAGCTGGCACTCGCCTGGCCAGCACACAGCACGGACCGGTCCGCGGCTTACACCTCACTGCAACGCGGTATCGCGGGACGGTAGCCGGGAGGCCAGGGGGGGCTGGGCCTAGAGAGGACTCGAATGGCAAGACCGGGCCAGCCGCTCACCCGCTCGCCCCTCCCTCACGCGCAGGTATCCACAGTGGCCGCCGACCCCTGCACCAAGCTGCTGGAGACGTGGACGGTGCACAGCCACCCCAACGCAGCGGTCAGCGGCATGTGGGCGGACTCGTTGCGGTCGCTGGGTTCCATCATGCCGCGGGCGGACCCGCTGCGCAGCAACGCACCCATCACTACCTCGGGTGGGTGCGGCCACTAGCACTGGGGGATGGGGTGAGGTGCGGGGTAGGGAGGGTTTCGGGAGGTGGGGAAGGGGTAGGTAAGCGCAGCTAGGCCGTTGGAAGCCGTTGGGAGGTAGGGAGGAGCTGGCAGAGAAAGGTGTGGTGCGGGTGGAACCAGGAGGTGGTTGTAAAAGGTGGATTGGGAGGCTAGGGAGTCATGTCAGGTGGGTGAGCTGTTGGCCCCCGGGTAAATCATGCGCACGTGTGGTTGCGCGCAGAGGTCTCAGTGCGCGTCTCACGACATTCATGCACTCTGGCTGGATATGTACGGCAACCACGGTATGTACGGTAGTCTACTCTGTCGTAGCTGTCTGGCGGGATGCCATTCGCCCTGCCTGTCTGCCTGTCTGCCTGTCTGCCTGCCTGCCTGCCTGCCTGCCTGTCTGTGCGTAAAGCACACCACCACCGCAGCCGGCTACCATCCGCGACGATGGATCCTGCCGCTTGACGTGGATGTAGACCCTCAGCCTGCCTTCCCGCTGCCGGCGGCCCTTCGCGCGGAGTGCGTGCCTGCACTTTAAAAACTTCTCCACATACTGCCCAGTCCTGGGTCACATGCTCCCCACCTATCAGGCGCAATGCTGCTGGCGCGTGGCTACCCGGCCGCAGCGGTGCCGCCCAGCAGCACCGGAGGCAGCGCCCATTCCGCCTTGCTGGGCGCGTACGTCAAGTCTCTGGGCCCACACGGTGCTGCGCCTGCGTTACTCCCGGAGGTTAATCTGGTGCTGCGTTGTGGACAGCCAGGTATCGCACGGGGGATGTGTAAAATCGGGAAAGCTGCGCCCTCGGCATCCTCGTCCCCGTCGTCATTATCAACAGCTGGAGCGACATCCGCGAATAAGGCTTCAAGTGGGTGGCCTGCTTGGGGCTGAAGCCGCGTTGGTTGCGAGGGGATGAGGACGCGATGGATAAGGTGGAGAATAGGATGTGGGGTTGCATTACGTGGGTTCAAGGGAGTAGGAAACACTGGCTTCCCAAAGCAGCGAAGAATGAGGGGAGTAGCTGGGGGGCCCCGGGACCAAGAGCTGGAGCGGCGGCGGAGAGTCCGGAGGGCGAATGCTGGCTAGAGATGTGCGGCATCTCCAGCGAGTCCTAAGCCCAGATAATTTGAGCTTGTTGCCGAAACCCCAAGCAGGTAGTTGCTGTTGTCCCTCCGCTGGCTGGTTTAGGGTTTAGGAGGACGTATCAAGCCTGGATGAACTTGGCCTCGGGCCCACGGCTCGGGGCTAAGTGCGCGGTCCTGGCAAGGAGCAGGTATTGCATTGCCCCAAGCAAGTCCATGCGCTCTCCGCATTCATGCAAAACCGCCACTCACGTCCCATACGAGTGCGTCCCTAGGCGTCCCGTATTCCTTCCCTTCGCCCCCTTCCTGGCGTACTCACCACCGCATTCACCACCATCATTCCGTGCTTGAATGGCGGGGCCGGCGGCGGGCCCGCTCACACATCACACCGCCACTCGCCGCGTGCAGGTGCGACGAGCCCCAGTCTGACGATACTCAGCAACCGCTCCAACGTCATCGGACTGCTGGAGTGCACCGTACAGCGGGCGCTGGCGCTGTGCGACGCCAAGGCCTACTTGCACTGGTGCGCTCTCACCGGGGTGGTTGCAGGTTTGTTATTAGAGTTGTAGGGGGGCCACGGGGCCATCGATGTAAGTAAAGCCGGGCAGCCGGGGGCCTCTCTATTTCTTGTGTTCGCGGCTGCATATGACCTAAAGGGGTCCATTATATAACCAATCGGTGAGGAGGCCTCGTGTGGATGCGTACATTTCCACAAAGTCCCTCACAGCCCCTCGGCGTTGCACTCTCCCCGCGCCCACCGTCCATTCCCTCATAGCCCCACATAGTCCCTCACAACCCCTCGTGGCTGGCTGGCGGCCGTCTTCTCGTTGCATTATTCCGCACACAGGTACGCGCGCCATGGCTGCAGTGTGGAGGCTGTTCGGGAGGCGGCTCACAGGTTGATGGATGTGGCGGGCTGCTACCGGCAGGTGCACAGGCTGCCGTATGATACCTAGCGAACGAGAGGCCGAACTGAAAGATGGACGGATGGATGCTGATGCATGTGCGCATGAACGCGTCGGGTCGTGCCGACAGCTTGTGTATTCCACCAAAGGGAATGCACAGACAGGCAGATTTGCCGAGCAAGGCCCAAGATCAATGATAATGGATGGTTGTTCGAATCAGCTGTACAGCGGATCTGAAAGGGTCGTCAGTACATGACCGTCCTCCACGCCATACGAGCTGAAGCCGAGCGGCTCGGATCTGATTAGCGACCAGGTAGGAGTACGCGTGTGTGTATCACTGCAGCGGGGCGCTACTGGGGGAGTGGAGACGCCAGGGATGCCTGCGCGCACCGAGAGCGACTTACGAACGAAAACGCAACGAGGGCTACCCCAATTCGAGCAATGTGGTCGTCTTGCCCGACCATCCCGAGCTCTTCGAGCCAATGTGTAGTGCAAAAACTGGTCAGCCGTACCGCCTTGCAGCCTGGCCCGTGTTGATCAGCCGAGGCTCCCTTGACGTCGTACCGGTCACTAGTGGGTAGTGAACTCCGCGAGCCGATAGGCCGACAACTTATGGATGGTTGTGGGTTGGGTTGGGAAAGCGGGGAAGCCGAGGGAGGGAAGGCGATAAGTGTAGACCACTTCCCCCTGAAGTGCCTGGGGCGGGAAGATGACGGTACCAGAGACGGAACTATGTGTGTGTGAGCATGAATGTGCGAGAGTGTGTGTATGAGAGTGTGTCCACATCCATCTGCATACGCTTTACAAGGTCTGTATGTCTGTCATACTAGTTAATATGTGTTGTTGCGTTTACCCTCCAAAGGTGTAACGGGCCCATGCAGAGCCATGGGGGGACCCCAGGGACCAGCGCTGGCCCTACGTCCGGGGCATATTCACGTTCAGGCCCCAGGATGAATGCTCAGGTTGATGAATGAATACCTGAATCTTTAACAAATCCGCCATCCCACCGAAGAGAATTACGTTAAAGGGTGCATTGAACACGCACCCAGACATTATGTGCACATACAATGTGTCAGGTTGAAGCATGACACACTGCTCGCATACGTTGCCAGGGTGCCTTGAACACGACGGCTGCCCCAGCGGATTAACCACATGCCTCTCATCAAAAGAAAGACATCTGCAGCGTACTCCAGTGCTGATGTCGCTGCCAACGGGTAACTGCTATATACCCGTTGGCAGTAGATAGCATACATACATACATACACATACAGCATACATGCATATAAGCAAAGGCACGCAAGCAGTGCGCATTAGTGCAAACCAACTAAATGGCAAAGCCGTCCTTGCGCAAGTCAGCACAAGGCCAGAACTTTAGCGCACAGTGCGCACCCCTCTCCCATTCTTCTTTCCTAATCCTTTCCTTCCCGTAGTCAATGAAGTTGCGAGCTTATTGAGGAGTGCTACTTGCAATGCCGGTCTCTACAGAAACATTTTCCCAACAATCGTTATTGTAGAGCTCGCTTTCATTCACTGGGTCCCCCCTAGTTGTTGGAAAATGGTACACGACGGCGCAAGACTAGGCACACGATCATTTCTACGACAGCTAGACAAAGCGACGCAGCGGATTATTAGCCTACAAGAACAGTTCATTGCGACACCTGTCTTGTTTGTTGCTTGGGGGTTGGAACCCCTGCCGGGCAGCAGCATTTCTACACATGTTAATCCAACTAACGTAGCTCCACCTTCAACGTCTCCGGGCTCGTTCATTATGACAGCTTGACAGCTCACCCTTCCAAGCGAGTTTCGTAGAGCTTTTTGAACGCCTTTATTTCACCGTTACTTCTCCAGAATTCCTACCCTACCCATGCCAGTCCACGTCGAAGTAGTTAGCTCATACACTGCCGGAGTAGGCGCCCGCAAACAGCGCCCATTCGATCAATCACCTCACCCTCGCTGCTTATCTAGCCCTGTGTAGTGGCCGCCGGCGCCTTTCTGCTGGCAATCCAATACAGTTGCACCGATTTTGGGTGGGCAGCCCAGGCGCCATAGAACGTCGTCTGGCTGGTGATGGTGCTCCAAGCAGCGTCAGGGTTCAGCACTGCCCGCGCCATGGCCGGAAACTGCAGCCAGGCCGGGCTCAGCTGGCTGACTAGCTGGCTGACAGCCACGGGGTAGGACTCAGCCACCCAGTTGGCGCGGAGCAGCACCTCAGAGATGGGTGTGAAAGGAATGTACTGAATACCGTGGATTTGGGCAGGGTTGTTGCCAAACCATGTTGCATAATCTACCTTGCCATTCCACAAGATGCCCACCACCTTGTTGTCGCGGAAGGGGGATGGGTAGACAGGGGAGGAGGAGGGAATCTGCCAGTAGTGCTGCGCGCCGGATACTTCAATGGCCGTCAGCAGCTGGCCCCAGCGAGTCAGATCGGGGTCGCCCAGGACTCGCCCCAGCAGCGATACAGCATAGTACGAGTTTACGGCCTCAGAGGTTGACTCCTGTAAGCAATTAGGCCCACCCGGCGGGACAACAACGGGGGTTTTAGGGTTTTAGGGTTTTAGCAATTGGGCCCACCCGGCGGGACAGCAACGGCCCGCGAGGCATGAGGCCCTACCTGGTTCTTGGAGTCTCCAAATGCCAGTATGCCGCTCGCCCAGCTGTGACCGCCCCACCAGTCCATCATGCGAGCAAGTGGGAAACACGGGTCGTCTCGTCGTGGGTTGGCGTAGTCCCGCACCAAAGCCAGCAGCGACTCCCGCTTGCTTGTCAGCCAGCTAGGGTTGCCTTTGCCTAGCGCCGCGGCCGCATACAGCAGATAGCCGTAGTGATAGTGGTGGTCGTTGTACTCGCTGTTGCCAAAGTAAAGGCTCTTGTGCTCGGTGGCGTCACGGTATGTGATCAGGCCACCCCAAGTGGTGTCGTACACCAACGATGCCTCCGCCGCCGGGTTCGTGGTGATCCGCGCATTGACGTGGGTTGTCAGCAGCGACCGCAGCGATGACGCGGCATTGCGCAAGGCACTGGCGTCCGCCAGCGGCGTCGAGCTGTAGGCCGCCAGCTCATCAGCGATGACAGCCATGCGGCCCAGCGCCGCTAGATCACTGCTGCCAAAGTACGGGTCAGCGGCGGGTGCTCTTCCCTGCCAGCTCGCTGCATCGGCCTTGAGGGCTGCGATGACGCCGCTGAGCATGGTTGCGTTTGAAATGCCGCTTGGCGCATTCCAGCCAATGTCAGACAAATTGTAGCCCAGGTACCAGTCGCTGCCGAGCACGGGTGTCAGCGGGCCGCGCAGGTCGTCCATCGTGACGCTGCCGGCAGCAGAAACGGGCTGAGCTGAGGGGTAGAGCAGTTGTGTGCGGTGGTGCGGCATGGCCAGCATGAGTAGCTGGCCCTGGTTGGTACCGGACATGGAGGCGGTGGTGAAGGTCATGCGCAGGATACCCCTCTCCCCCGGGCCGCCGCTTTCGGTGGCGCTCTGGTAACCGAAACTGGCGGTGGCGCCGGTGGGATAGATGTCTGCAAGAAGGCACGGGGTGGGTGGCCGGGTGGCAGCGTTAAAGCACACGCTTTACTTTCTAAATTTATATTTAGGGGGAAAAAGGGTTCGGGACTCTAAAATAAGGAAGGAAGGAAAAAGGAGAGACTACGGGAGAGAAGACGCCAGCAGTCCTCAAGAGCGTCCTGCTCAACTATCGCCTGTTTCACGGCGATGATTTTCCCTCGACCAGGGTAACTTGCTTCTTATCAGGGCTGGGGGGAGGAAATCTTCAGGGCGGGTTCCGGAAGGCACGGAGAGCCCGACTGAATGCGGCCACCCACCCGCGTTCGCATCGTACAGTCGCTCCGCGTCGCCGGCGCTAGTAGCCGCCATCAGCGGCAGGCGGGAGCTGTACAGTACTGCGATCCGCATGACCCCGGTGAAAGGCGCTGACAGGCGAAGTGACGTTGCGTTGATGGATGCAGTCACCGAGCTGCTGAAATAGTACTTGAAGCGCAGGCCCGCGTTGTTCGCAACCTGGCAGAAGGATATACAAATCAGCTATCAGCAGAAGCCACCGGAGACAAGACAAGAAGTGCTCAACTTCTCTCGTCTCAAACTCAAAACTTGCGTCAACCCATTTCGGCATTTCAGCTGCCCACGCACAATCACGGTTTAAGGGCGACGGGACTAGGAGGATAGCGAGGACCGCAGTGTCCGTTCATGTCGTGCTCTGTTGTAACCACCAGGCGTCTTGACGTGTACCTACCTACCTACCTACCTACCTGCGGGGAAAGACAGATCCAACCCAGCACTCACCTTGAAGGTCCTGCCCGTGAAGGTGCCCAGACCCTCCACCAGCGGCGCATTGGCAAACTGCTCCACAAGCGGAGTCAGGCTGTTGTAGCGGATTGTAAGGAAGGGACAGCCCTGCAACATGGTGGCCCGCATGCTGCCTGGCCCGCCGCCGCTGACACCCCCCTGGCGCAGCCACTCGAACGTGACGCCCATCTCGTTGCCGTCCGCCACACTGCGCCCAGCCAGCCCCTCAGCCACCGAGATCCCCAGGTACAGGTCGTAGGCCGGCACGATGGCATTGGCCGCGATGCCCCACTGCACGCCGGGCGGCACCACCACCATGCGGTCGGACAGCGCCTTGAGGCGCCAAGGGTGCATCGCCACCTGGGCGCGAACAGTACGGAGGAGGCGCCGCCAGGAAACCGGGTGGCCGCGCAACGTGGAGCCGGCAGGAAGCTAGTTAGTTAGGAGGTTAGCTGGGTTAGTTTGGCCTTGTTGTTGAGTATCGAACGTGGAGCCGGCAGGAAGCTAGTTAGTTAGTTAGGACATTAGTTGGGTTAGTTTGGCCTTGGTTGAGCATGCATGCGTCCGCATTGGAGGAGGGCCGTATGGTTCCTGGGGACGCAGGGAATGAGCCCCTAGGTCCCTTTCATTCACCGCCGATGTGAAAGCCTGAACACCTCTTCAGTGGCGCAATGAGGTACGGTAGCACACAGACCTCGTGTGGTACATACACACCGTACTGCATGCGGCACACAGGGCTCAGTTGTTTCAAAGCATACGCACACAAACACACACACACACACGCACGCACCGGCTCCTCTCCCATCCTGAGGGAGTATTGCGACACATGCGTCCACGTGGACCACCAGCTGTTGGTGGGGAAGGGGAAGAAGCGGCCGGGGAGAGAGGGAACCCGGTCCAGACGTACTTCCGTCGTACCCATCCTGTAGGGGTAGCAGCACATAGGAGCGGCGGCAGCGGAGCACCCAGAGACGATAGACATGGGTTGGAGGACAAGGTGTTCGTTTCACTCGGTGAGCTGACAGGGGGATCAATGGCTGCAGCTCAGGCAGCGGGGACGAAACCCAGTCAGCAGTCCCCAAGAGCCCCAGGAGCTCCTAGAGATAAGCGGCGCTTTAGTGGCGAAAGGCGACCAGGTGGTGGGCGGCCAGGATTATCTATAGCGCAGAGTGTGCGTGCGTATGTGTGTGCGCATGTGTGTTTGCGTGCGGTTGCATTGGTCCCTCCCCAGCCACCCGCAATCTGCCGGTGGCACATCTAAAGCTGGAATACTGGAGTTCTGTGTACTGCTGTGCGTTGCGAGTGCAGTTAGGCCAGTGCACTGTCGGCCGGCCTGCCACCTGTTTTCCAAACATGTTACTGCTCCGGCAGCCCCCTAAATTTTGCAAATCAGCACAGGCAGTTGAATTAAACCCCTACGACAGCAAACTGATGTAACCTGCACGGGCCCCTCTTGGGGGTTTAGGGGTATGTCGCTCGACACCTACATGTACGTGTGGTAGGTGTTGGTGAAGTTGGTCAAGCCTGGTGGCGCGGCAATGCCAACCGCGGGATTCAGGGCTCTGTAAGCAATGTACGTTGACACGGGCGGAGGCGACGGCGGTGATGACGGCGGTGGTCGCGGCGATGTTGCCACCGGCGGCGGTGGCGATGCCGGCACTGGCGATGGTGGCCGGGGAGGCGGGGGCGGCGGTGGCCGGGAAGGCGGGGACGGCGGTCGCGATGCCGGCGTGGGCGGCGGGGGCCGGAAAGGCGGCGTGGGCGGCGGGGGCCGGAAAGGCGGCGTGGGCGGGGGCGATGCTGGTGGGCGCGGTGGAGGGGATGGCGGGGGAGACGGCGGTGGCCGGAAAGGCGGCGGGGGCGACAGCTGCGGTGGCGGGGACGGCAGCGGTGGCGGTGGTGGGGACGGCAGCGGCGGCGGTGGTGGGGACGGCAGCGGTGGCGGTGGTGGGGACGGCAGCGGTGGCGGTGGTGGTGGCGGGCGAGGGCTGGGCGGTAATGGACTCGGAGATAGGGGCGGCGGGGAGTTAGTGGGCGATGATCCTGACTCACGGGTCGCAATCCAGTACAGAATAGACGTCTTGCTGTGTCGCAATCCCTGACTGTCGGTCGCATCCACGGCATACGGTGGGCCGTTGGGCACTGCGTTCATCGCCACGTCCCAGGCACCAGCCCGGTCGCCGGCGGCTCCTCGCGCCATGGCACGAAATGCCTCCCAGGCCACCGTATTGGACGGACTGAGGGTGGCGTTGGCGACGGCCGCGTAGGCCTCAGCCATCCAGCCCTGCTGCTGTAGGAAGTCCGAAGCGCCCGGGAGGAAGGGCGCCCACTGCAGCCCGTACAAAACTAGCGGCTCCGGAAAAACGAGGCCGACCTCGGTCATGAAGGCAATGCGCGCCTGGTACACTTTACCCGGCACGCGCTTGCCGTCGTTGCCGTACCCATTGTACAGACGATCAATGCCGCCAGCGTCAGCGGCGACGAAGGTGCCCAAAGGGTAGGCGTCAGATCCGGCGGCGGGGATTTGCCAATACGTGCGCACAGAGCCAGCTTCTATGGCCGCCAGCACCTGGCCCCAGCGCTGAAGACTCGGGTCGCCTGTGGCTGCACCGAACAAGGCGATGCTGTAGTACGCGGTCACTGCGGTTCCAGAGCACTGCGCGGCGGGTTGGGAGAGGGGGCATGGCTCAACCGGGCTTCACAAGGCAGAATAGAGCGAGTGCTCGACGTTACGGCATCTTACGACAGGGCGCAGCTTGCGGGGGCGGGAGAGCAGATGAGTAAACGTAGTAAGAGCAAAGGAGGGTTGGCCAGGGGCTGTTAAGGTTACGGAACAGCGACAGCAGGCTGCTTATGCATGCTCCACATGAGGAAAAGGCTCTGAAGTTACGGCTGCAGCGGCTGGATCCAGATCCAAGATCTAGAAGCAGGTCGGACAAGGCGCAACGCAAGTAGCAGAAGGATTGTGTGCCGCAATGCGGTCGCAGTTTGGCTGTTCCGCGCACGTGAACGAATGCACAACACAGCGCTGGACGTCGCAAGCTGTAAGGCAAGTAGGCCACCGCAGCCAGGTACCGTACCTCTTGCCACTTTCCCCACGTCCAAACAGCACCGTCGATCTGAGCGTTAGCCAGGCCCGTCGCCCAAGCGTGGCCTGCCCACCAGTCCATGTAGCGTGCGAAGGGGAAGTATGGGTCACTCCTGTCGCTGCGGGGGTTGGCCACATCGCGCACCAGAGCCAGCACCGCATCGCGATTGGCAGCAGCCCAGACCGGATCCCCTTTGGCGACCACCGCGGCAGCGTAGATGAAGGGCCCATAGTGCGCCAGGTGGTGCCAGTAGACATTGTTCTTGTCCTCCTCGTTGCGGCCCGCAGCGGGGTTCACGGTATTTATCCAAATGGGGTATGCTGAAACGATACCGCCCCACTTAGCGTCGTACACAAGGCCCATGCTATTGGGGTTGGACGGCGCTAGCCAGACAGCCAGGTGGCTTGCAATGCGCTGCCGCAATGCCCAGGCGGCGTTGACCAGACGACTGTCGTACGGCACCAACTCAGCAGCGATTTCTGCGATGCGGCCCTGCGAGCAGGAAGCAGGGCGGTGCAAGGGGAACGGATAAGGCCCTTCCCCAGCCTTCTAGGCAGGGTTTTCGTATCCCTACCCCCCAACACGGCTCGCGTGTACCCTAATGTCCCAACTGAACGTCATCACAACCTCCTCGAAAAGCACGCGCAACAGACACTATTTGCAAAACTTGCGTCGGGAGGAATGTCGCAACTCTGGTAAAAATGCGTATTACAGGACTTCGAAGGACACTCAGGACGTGCGGATTGTGTGTCCATGCTTACATGCAAATATTATATCAGCCAGGGTATGCACAGCGAGAGCACAGCCAGCGGGTAAACACGGCCAGGCACGCAGGGCGTGCACGCATTTCCTCTGTGCACGCACCATATCGGCAAGAGCCTGAGAGACCTTGAACACCTGAGCACCATACAGGTTGCTGTTGATGTCGGTCTGCAGCAGCTGGTCGATGATGGGCGCAACGTAGGCTGGATCCTTGATGCCGCCAGGGGCAGACCATGTTATGTCGGGCATGGGGTAGGCCAAAGTCCAGGTGCTGCCCTCCACCGCAATCAGGTTGCCGCGAATGCCCTTGCAGGTTAGCTGCCCGGTGTCACTGGTTGCGGGGGGCTGAGGGCTTTCCAGGTAGCGGCGATGGTGGGGCATCGAGTACCTGTGCAAGGTGGAGAGGATAGCGGCCGCAGGATGCCGCAGCGAGGGCATAGGATTTGACATAGCCTAGGAGCCCAGCATACCTTGCTCTCCCACAAGCACATACTCCAACACAGACGTACGCACATACATACGCACTCACATACGCACAAGGACACGAAGGACTAGCTGAAAGGGAAAACAACACGACATCCCCCAATGCGTCACAGCCACAACTAAATGATAATGACTAACTGAGCACTACCTGGCAGGTCGCGACCTACTAAACGGACACGACCTCGCGGGATATGACCGAACAGGACATGATTGAGTAGGACATGAACGAGCAGGGCATGAACGAGCAGGGCATGAACGAGCAGGGCATGATGAACGGGGTATGAATGAACATCAGGACACGACTAACAAGGACATCAAGGGAGGACATGAACACGACCACACAGTACAACAGCGGGACGCCAATGATGAATGGGACACAATCCAGTGGTTACGACCGGACAGGGCACAATCAAATGGGACAGCGATAAGAGACAAACCGACGGTAAAAAGGACGCGACTAGTGTCCAACAACGGCAAGGGCTACTCAGCGCCTAGGGATGGGACGTGATAGCACAGAAATCGTGGAAGCAGGGAAAATAACCGACTTCAAACGCCAACCAGGTTTAGTTCAGACAGCTAGGCATGCAGGTGGTGCCGAGGCCTGGCGTTGGATTGGGCAGGTGCATCCAAAGAAGGAAACTTGCGCCGCTGGCTCAGATAGCCTTCAGCAGCCTTGCTACAGCACGCTGCAACTCCCAATCTGCCACATCCCAATAACCCGCCCGCAGCCCCTCCGTCCCCACAATCCCTTCCCAAAGCTATACCCACATGAGCAGTCCGGTGGCCGCGGGACCCCACATCGTACTTGTGTTGAACAAGTGCTGCAGAATGGCCCGGGGCTGGGCCACCCCGGTTTCCACACCCAGCTGCACCTGGCCACCTGCATCCATGCCAGAAGCCATTTGGAACCCAGGAGGAGCCACCGGACAGGCAGGCATACATGAACAACGTGGGTGTGCGTACAGTACGTTGGGCGGCTAGGTGCAAAGTGAAGCTTTAGGGATTGAGATGATGGACACGGCGATAATGCAACAGGCGGTGCCCGGTGCCTGTTATTGGCAAGGCCATTTGAAGTCAAGCGTGCAGGATCAACACGCTGGAAGCTTCTTTTGCGTTCACTTGACGAGACCAGAACTGCCATGCTACACAGCAAAGACATCGGCGCGAAAATGCCAAAGCCCGAAAACGTTATTGAGTACATGCGTGCGCTTACATTACCTGTGGCGTAAACGTTTGCATACTTGTCGAGCTGCGCCTCGAATGCAGCACTGCTGCCGTCCAAGGAGGCGCGGGTCCAGCCGTACGGTATGGCGAAGCGCGGCAGCAGCATGGCCACGCGCCACCTGCCCGAAAACACGGGGCCGGTGGCGCTGAAGTCCGTGAGCGTGGCGGTGATGGAGAGTGCCTGGGCGCTGGTGCTGTAGATCAGCCAGGTGAGCCCGCTGCCACAGGGCAGCTGGGAAGGGAAACGGGTACAACCGGGTAAATGCAAAGCAAGGGAGTGATGTCGACGAAGAGATGAAAAGAAGCACGTGACGTCAGACACGCCGAGGCCTGCATCTTCCTGGGGCTGCCACTGCCACCACCTACCACCGCCTCTGACTGCATCATTTCCGCATCCACTGCACAGGCCTTGGCTGGGTACTACATACCTTGAACTTGTTGTAGCTGTCCCCCGTGATGCTGGAGGGGGCTGGGCCCAGCCAGGGGTCGGTAGACGTCCGGAAAACTGGTGCAGAGGAGAGGAACTCCACTGTGACGTATGGGGAGCCTTGCAACAGCGTCGCACGCATGGCCACGGCGGCACCGCTGGCAGGGCGCCAGCGGAAAGTGACGGACAGCTCATCAAACGACTCCACCTCAACTACAGTAAGGCCACTGCCAGTGGTGATGATCACGTAGCGCTTGTATTCGTTCTTAATGCATCTTGAACCGGAACATTCCGGATCCCACGTCTATAGACAGCAGCAAGGGGCAGCAAGGGAAAAGCCTTGTCACCGGGGTACAATTCCCCTCTCCTTGCGATTGTGACTGTACAGTACAGTGTAACGGCAGCCGCATGGTGGCGACGTGGGTCGCTCCTTGCATTGGGACACTTTAGAACGAAATGCCCAACAGTGTGGAGTCGTTGCGACCCAAAACACGCACGTTCACATGCAATACCTGAACCCCCGCCATCCCGCGCCCTCCCCCGCGGTGAGAGGCGCTGCGCGCCGTTACCTCACCATGTCGTGCGGGGCCGCCATGCTCAAGCCCGATGACGTCACTTTTACAAGGTAGGGCTGCATATCAATCTGTTGAGGCGCACACAGTCATAGGGGCTGGTAAGCACGCGTGTCCTCATGCGGCAGATCTGAAGCACCGTGTGAGAGTACGTTTTGAGGATTTGGGGGGTTCACACGGCCTTCACTTGGCTCGAAACCAGGTTAGGCGGGTGGGGTAACAAGCAAACTGTGGGCCGTGGGCGGCTGTGCGGCCGCGATGCTCGAGTCCTAGTGGCCCAACGTTGACTCATCGAGATTGCGGACTTTTCGCACGCTAACAGAATGCATGCGCATTCACAACACTTAGCCTATTTATGTTGAACGGAGGGCAACACCCGAGGTAACCCTGTTGGATAACCATAGGGCCGTGGACTCTGTAGGTACACCTGCGGGACCAGCACGTGCTATAGATGCGGCCGCAATCAGACAAATAACTCACGGCGGTGGTGTCGCCGTCGTAGCCGTTCGCCTGGACCCAACTGGCCCACCATGCATTGGTGGGCGGGGCCGGCTGGCCCACTGGAAACATCCGGCTCACGTTCTCAACAGCAGGGTTGACCTTGAACGTTTGTGGGGGGGCTCCATTTGGGGAAAAGGTTGTATTTAGGGGCAGAAAGCTGAGGGAAGTCGCTAAACTGCTGAAGGCTAGCACAGCAAGCACTGACACAAGCACGTTCTGTGCCGTCTGACGTTCCCAAATTGCTGCGTTGGAGCGAACCTGCATCGTGCTAACTAGGACTGCACTCGATGAGCTCGTGGCGAGTTGTTCCGAAGCTAAGGTGCAAATTGTGTAGGATTTTGGCCGGATGCGGCGGCACACGCATGCGATAAACGCTCAGCTTTTCAACTGTCGACATATACTATATAGCCCGCTCAAGGCATTTCACTCCAGAATTTATACGTGAATCTTGGTATACAAACACTTTACAGCTACCTTACGGAAAGGACCTGCCTGACGGGTTCGAGTTGGCTTCTTAACCTCAGGAACCACTTTACGACGCAATGTTATTTACTCAGTACTTATTATTCTGGGTTATGCCGTCACTCGCCATCTCACTTTTTATCTACGATGTGTGTTCGCGGTACGGGTTCGCGAGAGCATTAGTCTTGCCAGGAGCGCCTATGAAGGTGGCTTTAAATATTATTAACCATTTGCAAAGCTTTAAAATCACTTGAAATTGTTCGCTTCACGTTTGTATTAGTCAGGTCTACCTTCCGGAGCGGGAAAAGAGGACCGTACAGCGTTTTACAGTAATAGGTTGAGGAAAGAACGTATACGTAATTTACTTCCATATACGCCTGTTAATTTGTGAGACTTAAGCGACGGTGTGACACTTCAGATGGTTTTGTACGATGAACAAGCTCTACCCATACTGATCCTGATGTGTGTGTGGCCGTTGGCAGTGAATCGACTGCATGGTCAAGAAGCTAGGTCGCGTCGGGTTTGCGGTGACCGCCGGGCACTGTAGGACGAACGTCGTGTACTGCTAGAATGCCCTGTGTATGCGGATATCCTGCAGGCCACCTTTGGAAGAGGGGAGCTGATCCAGTTGGCTGTATATAGGCGATTGTGGGCATTGAGAACCAACGCTGGCTAGCCCACGCACTGGACGGCATTCTAAGACGCATGATTAAGATTTTATTTTTTGATACTTATTTCTCGTTTTACCTTGCAGGTGTCTTGTTTTTGTTCATTTCAATTTTCAGCTCGTCGGCTATCGAGCCTCTTGCCACGGCCTCGTTTGGGCCGCACAAGCTCGTGAAGCTTGTATAATATAAAGATATCGCCCATTGAATTGGGTTTGTAAATTTATCACGCCAAGCGATGTAGTTTTAGCTGTTCGTTCTGTATTGGTTCTTCGTCCACAAAGCACTTGCGGGGAGGTAGCGGCTGGAAAAAACCAGGTAGGAAAACGGATATAACGAGCTATATGGTAGATGCGAAACAGTCTCCGCGTGTGCGGCTTTTGCTGGTCATCTGATTCGCGTTTCTCGACCGGAAACTTCTCAGCAAGTCTTGACAGTTAGGAAAGCGTCCAGACTGTTGCACGTGCGACATGGGCGGGAAAAGCGCGTGCATATCAGTAGTGCCACCGCACTACGCGACTAGAGTAAACATGCAATCCTACGTGACACATGCATAAACGTAACTTGAAGTGAACATGGCCTAAGACTAAGACGCTCTTAACGCACACATATCCGCCGCCGCCCTGAATCGTAGACACCCAACAAGAACATAAGGGCCGTGGTCACAGGCATCCACGCACGCATTGGAATTCACCGTCCATCCTTCGTTCCGGCCTCTCGTTCGCTAAATGTTGTACGGCAGCCTGTGCACCTGCCGGTTGCAGCCCGCCACATCCATCAACCTGTGAGCCGCCTCCCGAACAGCCTCCACACTGCAGCCATGGCGCGCGTACCTGTGTGCGGAATAATGCAACGAGAAGAAAGCCGCCAGCCAGCTACGAGGGGCTGTGAGGGACTATGTGGGGCTATGAGGGAGTGGACGGTGGGCGCGGGGAGAATGCAACGCCGCACCCGGCAGTTTTGGATTGGTGCAACAGCACCCACCAACCGCAATAGGCGCTGTGCCATTGGGCCACCGGTGATTGGCAAGCGTCCTTCACCCTGATAACGATATGCTGCTGGTCGGCTTATGAGTTGCACAATTATATGGTGTCGGCGCATGAGTGCGCAATTATCTCGTGCCCACCAGCGGTATGCCTATGGCCGTAGCCAGTTCTAGCCACGCCGTCGAACAGCCACGGCTTTTATGTCTATTATTTATGAACTGTGTTTGCAGCTAGAACTGTGTTTGCAGCCACGTCCACAGGTTATTGGAAGTGCAAGACAGGTGCAACGTACAGAGATGGTGGCCTTGGGATATGGGGAGATATGGGCCATACATTGGACGCGGCAAGCACGCACCAAACACAGTACAACAACGCAAACAGAGCTGACTGGGAATAAATTCTGTTACAGCAATTGGCGCCTCAGATTCTCAGGCAGTAGGATTAGTTCGCCAGGGGCTCTGTACCACAATGGATTCAGACCTTTCAAGGCACGCACAGCACGGTTACAATACAATGTCAGAGAATTGCAGCCTATCTCCCTATGACATCTACTATACAGCATACAGTTATATCATACTGTTAACTGGTGACAGCTCTGTTATAACAATTCCCTCCCGGACGTGATTATCCCTTACCTCAAAGCACATGGGCTCCAAACTGCGTCTCAGCGGAAAAGGAACACGAGGAACAACGGCAAGTATACTATAGGCCTGAAGAAGAAGTGCTGCTTCAACCCTGCCTCCATTTACTTATGTAATGGACGAACTTGCTCGCTGTAGAGATTGAGCGAGAAGGAGCAGATTGACTTGGCCATTAAACTCTCCTTGCAGCAACAAAATCATGAGCAGCAGCCGACTATTGAGCAGCAGCCCGCTGGTGGCTTACGCGCGGATGCCATTGTCAACGAGCAACCTGCCGTTGCGCCTGGACCCTCGAACACTTCGGCAGCGCAGCCAGTCGATGAACCAAGGAAAAGGCGTGCTGTGACAACTCGAAGGATGTATTCTATAGAGGTGTGCTTTCTCAGCGGGCTCGGTTTGTGACCCGACAGCGACCTAGGTATCTCTCACCCGCGCTGCAGCAGGCGACCGACGACGAAAGCTCGCAGGGCTCAGGCGACAATTGTCAGCAAGTGGCAGATGCCTATGAGCCCGACTCGAGCGACTCAGACTTGACAGACTCGGAGGACGACAGCGACTTTACCGGGGAGGAGAGCGACGATGACGGCCCCCGAAAGAAACGGAAATGCGAGGCAAGAACGCGTAGTGTGTTAACCAGCCCCAGAGAAGACACATAGCCACACGCGTCCCTCTCCTCTTTGATTTCCCAGTGTAGGCACCAAAGGGCAAGAGGCCAGCTGCCAAAGGACCAGCAGCAGGCAAGAAAGCAGGGACCGGGACCAAGGCAAGTCGATCTGCAACTGCCCGTGGTAGCAAGGCGCCCAGCTCGACCAAGACAAGTGCTGGATCCAATGCTCGGGGGCGAAAGGCGGATACAGCGCCTGCACCCACGCCAGCAGCACCTATCGTCCACACACCTGTCGGAAAGCCTGCCACTGCGCCAAGCCCTGCGCTTTACACCACAGGGGAAGGGGCGGCCTGCAGGCCTGCGCAGCAGGAGGATGCACCGCGCGACCTTCGTAATCGCAGCAACCTTGTGAACGTGGCGGGTATTATTTCAGATCACGACACTGGGGGCGGCCCTATGGTTGTGGAGGCCGGTAGCCCTGCAACCCGGCAAACTGATGGAGATGCCTGCCTAAACGGTCAGTATCCATGTGGAGAACCGGGTCTTGAAATGGCCATGGAAGCAAAGACAGCTGTTTTTAAGCCTATGCAGCCAAAGGTCATGGAACCCAGGGCGAAAGGCGTAACAGCAGCGCCACAGGCTGCTTCCACAAAACCACCGCCACTTGGAAAGCCACCTTGCGCCAGAGGTTCGGTCCAGGTAGGCAGGAGTGATTCATGCTGATGTGTGCGCTACGTTGGACTGGGGACAATGGCGACGGAACGGAGGGCCAAGAAATTGCCGCCGTCCATTTGGCAGATCCTTGCCTTTGTTCAACTCGCACGCAATATTTGCTCTTATCTGGATTACACACATGGTGATTAAGGTTGACTGGCACTGCGTCTGTACGCAGGCCTCGCCCACAGGGGGAAAGCAGGCACCAAAGCCGCTGACTCTCATCAACCGTGCAACCCCTGGCAGCGCGCTGGCGTCCGCGCCATTCAAGCCCCCGATTGGCGCATCAGGTGGGCCACATGCACCCACGTAGGTCTAAGCACTATGCAGTCGAGCAGGATCGACGCAGTGCTGTCCTTGAAATTGTCAGGTGCTGTGCTACTATAGATTACTGCGCGGCGCAAGATGCATACCTTCTGGGTAGAGCGTGCGCTGTGTGGGGCCTGAATGTGGGCTCCGCAGGTCATTCGCTATCGTTGGAAAGCCCCGCCGCTGGGTGCTTCATAATGTGCAGTCGAAAAAACGCATTATGATGTGAATTGTGTTATCGTATTGGCACCATTGATCCTTTGCTAGCAGGTGGTGCTTCCGGTATTAAAGCATCTACGCCGCTGTCGGCCGGAGCCTTGCCATACCGAGTTCCCGGGCTGCGCCGCCCGGGTGGTACCAGCACCACCAAGAAGCCCCCATCTACGACAAGCTGACGGCAATGGGAGCAGTTGACTTACCGGGTGCTCATGCTGTTCGTTAGCGAAATCGAAGAATTTGCTGCTTGGTTTATGTGGATAGAGTGAAGAGCATCACATACTGAGCAAGGTTTTAGAAATATTGTTAACAATGACTGCCTGAAATGATGGCAAGTGTGCGTGGTCGTGTCATTTGTCTTGAGTATTCGGTTTTGCTGTGCATGTAATGCTGGTACGGCGTGTCGACTTCCGAAGCTTCTGTGGTTCCGAGTCACGCGTGAAAGTTCTAATCCGTCCGTCTTCGGCTGCTTCATTTGTTGACTTCGTTACAGTGTCACAAGCTTGAAATGAGCAGCGATCTAGTCGCGCGAGGCGACCGCCTCTTTGTTGAGGAGGATTATGCTGGGGCAGTGGAAGCCTACAGCGAGGTATGCTATGAGTTTAGTGCAAAGTCTCCTTGGGACCTGTGTAATAATTCTAGCTATTTGCTGGGGCAGGCTCTTCGTGAGGATCCTACAAATGCGCGAATCTATGAAGCTCGAGCCAACGCTTACATTAAGCTTGAGCAGTTTCCTGATGCTAACGCGGATGCGACAAAGGCTCTGGAACTATCGCCAGGCCTAGCGAAGGCATACCTTCGTAAAGGGTACGTGAAGGGGGATGGGCCTTGTGCACGCTTAACTGCCAAGGTAAATCCAAATTTCCATGTCCAGAGTCGCGCTCTTCAGTATGGAGGAGTATGAGGCAGCTAAGGAGGCTTTTGAGGCAGGGTGTCAGCTTGCGCCCGACAACACTTTCAAAACTTGGATACGCAAGTGCGATGCTGAACTGGAGGGTGGGTATGGTTGCTAAGCGTGGCCTTTAGGAACCAGTGGACGGCGACAAGGACCGTTGGGGGAAGGATATAGGTATGGGGAGAAGGGGCTCAGCGCAGGGAGACGACGGGTATGGAGTGGGGGCCACTGATTTAGGCAATTCACGCCTGCCAACATAAACAGACGGGCAGCATGACCTCTCAAAAATCTCTTAAGAACACCAGGTAACTCCTCTTGTGATCTTCCCGGCAGACGAGGAATCCTCTAACAAGGCCGGGCCCACTGCAGCAAAAACAGTAATGGAACAGGGTGGCAGCGTTCTAGGTGCTCCTGCAGCTGCAGTCTCCGCGCCCGGGCCCAGCGCCTCAGCACCGCGGCCGCCAACCCAGCCGCTAGCGGCGCCACCTGCAGCCTTAGCCGAGGATCCCCAAATGCTGCAGCCCGTCCACCCACCCGCTAGCAACGGAAGTGCCATGCCCGGCTCCGTAACAGCCTTGGGCCCTGCCTCCAGCGGTTCCTCCGCCGCCCCGCTGGCTCCCTCCGCCCCCCTGGAGTTCGGCGGTAAATACCGCCACCAGCACTATCAGTTGGCCAACAAGGTGACAGTGGATGTGTACGCCAAGAAGCTGCGCAAGGAGCAGGTGGCGGTGGAGTTTGGAGAATGTCACCTGAAGGTGGTCATTACAGACTTGGACGGGAACGAAGAGTACAAGCTTGATGTTGATTTGTATGGCAAGGTATGTGTGGGAATGGGAGCATGGGTTTTGACGGAACAGCGGGTGTCGCGCACCGGCTGTTGGGACTCTGATAGGTAGGGAGAGCCTTTGTGGACGTCAGTCGCTGTCATTACGTTCATGTCATGCCGTCACATGCACGATGGCGTGCAACTGCCGCGAACACCTTTCTTCGATCTCCGCGCTCCGTTGGGGTCCACAAGCCGGCGAGTCATTACTCACGCACCAGGTGCGTGTCACCCAACTCAAGAGATGCCGCCGACCCCAAGCGCTGACATCTCGAAACCCGTGGAAGGGATGACAACAGGAGCGTTGCCGATGCATTAGGCAAGGGGCGCATTGGCACATGGGAGGATTGTGGGGAAAGCTATAAGAACATAAGAGACCGAATCTCAAGGCAAACTCTTCGCTTTCACCCTGTGCCCCAGGTCATTCCGGCGCAATGCAAGTACGAGGTGCTTTCTACGAAAGTGGAGATCACAATGGTCAAGGCGGACCAGCTTCAGTGGGTGGGTGCGATGTCGCGGGCGAGCCTAACATCCTTTAGCCTCGTTGGCTGCACGGCGGGAGTCTGGGAAAGGTGTTAGGGCAGTCTGAGGGGGGTGGCAGGATGGAACGTGCCAATGATGGGAAGGACGAGCTCGGGCGGGACATTTACGGAGGGCCTAGCAGCTCGCAACAGCTCATTGTAGGTTCAGGATTTCCTGGCGATGAGAGTTTGTGGTAGTGTTGGAGGATCGAGCGAGTTTGGGCCGCTGCTGAGGTTGCGGCGTAGCTGGTGGATACAGGTCCCGGCACAATACATTTCGTGCCCCGCTTGCACCCCTGCGTGCCTAGCCAGCTCCTCCTCACCCAACCATGGCTGGTGAACCATGTGTCCTTTTGTCCTGCAGGGTTCACTGGAGCAGAGCAACAAGGTCGCAGCGCCTAACTACAGTACACCCGGCACCGAGGCGCCGCGGCAGTACCCTTCCTCCAAACAGAAGGACTGGAGCAAGGTTGAGTCGGAGCTCAACGTGAGTGCACGGGAGTACCACGATGCTTTGCAAGAGGCAGGAAAATATGCACTTAGTGTGGGCACTGTGCACTTCGACAATGGATTGGATGCTCTCCCTTCACCCAAAAGATGTCTTTGTCTGCCTTTTCAAGGAGATCCCCATTGGCCGCAGGAACTGGAGGCCAAGGGCGAGCTTGATATGGGCGATCCGCTCAACAATTTCTTCAAAAAGATCTTCGCGCAGGGTGACGAAGACACACGGCGCGCCATGATGAAGTCTTTTGTAGAGTCCAACGGCACAGTGCTGTCCACGAACTGGGCCGAGGTGGGGAATAAGAAGATTGAGTGCACGCCACCGGACGGCATGGAGGTCCGCAAGTGGGAGGTCTGAGCCACGCGTCGCTGCCTTCGCCGCGGCGGCGATGGGCAGCCCACCGCCGTTGCTGACCCTGTCCCCACGCCGCAGAGGCACATCAGCCGCCACCTGCGTGCCTGGGCGTGAATTGCGTTGTGTCTGCGGGCTGTGAAACTGGGTCGCTGCGAAGGGCATGCAGGCGGTACTTGCCGCTCAACCGGATCGGGCGTCACATTGCCATAAGTAAAGCACGGCACCGGGTGCGCTTTATTGGATCTCCTGTTTCGCGTTCCAGCCTTAGTACTTGAGGGCTTCACTTGGTTTGAGGTGCAGTGCCAGAGGGGCTAGGGGGTTTAGGTATGAGAAAGGTTACGAGTAGCGGAGTGGTCATGGGTCGTCTTATGAACATGTCAAAGCATGGCTGAAAAAGCAGGAATGCGAGTCGCGATGGTTGCGGATATGTTGTTATGCATGGATGTGTGTGGGTTTGGCCCAGAGGATCTATGACATGACAGAAGTTGGGCTACTTCATGTGTGTCGAGTAGCAGCCTAATGTACGGGGGTCGTGTGGGAATGCGTGGAAATTTTTTCACATTAATACGGACATCTCGACGGCACGTTCTTACTTAAGGTTGTGCAGTAAAAACTCCCACCACCGGCACGTCCGAGCCTAATTCCTGTATGACGCCAGAAAGCGTTCCATGATCCCTGCCGCCCAGTATTGTACGTGAAAAAAGGACAAGTTTACGACATACGCGGCTGACCAACCAACCCCGTGTCAGCACGCAAATACATCTGCTTGACGCGTGAGCGCTCGAGAAGCGCTTGAAGGAACCGCAATCTCACTAAACACGATGCATTACTGGTCCCTGCCGTCACCATAATCCGCGGGCTGGTGACGACCTGGGATGGCAGCTGAGATGCAGACTGCTGTGCATTTAGTACAACGTATGAATGAACATGCTCAACGTGGGGAGTGGCATGCTGTTCGGATGCTACCCAACGCGCTCTCAAACCATCAGCGTGCAGTGACAAGTAATGTCATCCTGGAATGCACTTCCAGTCAGCGCGCAAGGACTGCCCATTCCTACGCCCACAAGCTGTCGAGGTCGGCAGCGTCATCATTGCGTTATAATCGTCCTTCTCGCCATGCTTACGAATTGCAAGTGCGCACAACAGACGCGACGAGTCCTCAGTCGTTCTTGTTTGAGGGAACACCGCGCAACGATCCCTCAACAAATTTGTCAGTCATTTACGTCGGGCAGAACTCGTGCCAATGCACAATCCGTACATCAACACCGGACAAACATGAGCCAACTCGCAACCAAAACACAAGCAATCGCTCAAGCACTGGTTTTGACAAAACACGCCATGCATACTCAACAGGACACCAGTCACAAAACGCCACAGCGCACCATGACCAGTACCGCGGCGCGGGCAGTACCGGCCACCATTCAATAATTGCAAACAAAGAACATTACTCATTCGACCCGTACGCCTCATAAGTATCGGCGGCCTCGGTCGGCGGCCGACGGCGAGAACGCATCTTTTGCTTCTGCTTGTGCCGCTGTTCCTGTTCCTTGCCCGCCCCCTCTTGCTCCTGTTCCTGGCCCTCGTCGTACTCTTGCTGCCCCTGATCCTGACCCCGCCATCTCTGCTGTTCCCCGTCTACGTGCTGCCAGAGCTGCCGCTGTAGCAGCTCAGCTCTTTCTAAGGCTGCCAATTCGCCAGCTAACTGCCACGACATCTGCTGCGGCCCAAGGGCCCCGAGCATCTGCAATTGCGCAGCCGTGGGATTCGGGTGCTGCAGCCTCGTCGCCAGCAATGCTGCCTGTGCAGCGGCGCCGTATCCCCCTGCACCGCCTCCTGCTCCAATGCCCATCTGCATTGACAACATCATCGCCGCCAGCTGCTGATGCTGATGCGCACTCATTCCTCCCCATAGCCCGTTACTGGGGCCACCGACGGCGCTGTCGCCAGCCCCGCCAAACATGCCCGGCAGCAGGTCGGTTCCTGCTGCCGCCGCCGCTGCAGCCAGGCTGACGGTGCGGTGCCAGTTGTTGGACATGAGCCGCGACTTCTCCTCACGAGCCTGCCGCTCCATCTCCTCCAGCCGAGCCCAGCGCTCAAGCATCAACGGGTCCACGTCAGGGCCGGCAGACACACCGGTAGGGGCCACGACAGCAGCAGACGCACCGCCCCCGCCGCCGCCAGCAAGGAACATTCCAGGGCCCCAGGGCGACGCGCCGGCCGTGGGGCCAGCAACCCCCATACCACCCGATAGTAAACCAGGGCGGCCCCCGCGGCCACCGAAAGAAGTGCTACTAGGTGCCCCCGGAAGGAGGGACCCAAGGCCGCCTAGACCGCTCAAGCCACTCGCCGCGGCGGCAACTGCATGCAGCTGCGCCTGCGCCTGCGCCTGCGCAGCGGCAGCCGACGCCGCTGCCGCCGCACTGGCGGCAGCAGCCTGCTGCTGGCGGTGCAGCATGTGGTCGCGCTGCTTGGCCATGGTGGCGAACGAACGCGGTTCACGACCCGAGGACGACTGAGCACGGCTAGATGTGCGTGCTCGCGGCGGTGGCGGAGGCGGCGGCTCCTCAGCCGGTGGCGGGGATGGAGACGCCTCAGTCGCCGGCGCTGCTGCTGCCCCCGACGTTAGCAGTGGATTCTCCACCATATCGTCGATGGCTGTCTTGTTGGCCCGCATCCACACCATCACATCCCGCATTTGGAATGGCATGCTGCTCTCGTACAGGTACGGCTTGCACTCTTTGATACAACAACAGGGACACCTGGGGGTCGGAACATGGCCAGGACCGACAATAAGCTAAAGAGTTGGGACTATGTAAGTGGGGACAAGTTGGTAGTGCCGGCTGCCTGATAACCAACAACCTCATAGCCTCTCATGACTGGACTGTGGCGCTGGCGGGCGCGACAGCGCGGGAACACACTATTTCCCCATAACTCTCGTCCAGCAGGCCGGTCTGTGGCCATGTCGGCGGGAAACGGCTGCTGCTCGTACCAACCGGCACGCGTCACGTTTCCGCATTACTTCTCTCCACTCCTGCCTACAGATAAACCCTACAGATGCACATGCAATAGTCGCCACCCTGCAGCCTTCCCCCCTCCTTCCCCCAGCTGCCATCACAGCTACTCTCTTGTCGGTTCCGGCTTCATCATTCCGCCGATATCGCATCTCGCCTCCTCGCTTCCTAGTCATGCGTCGGTTGTATCCACAAGACACGCACCTATACTCGCTACTTGCACCCAATGGCCGGCGGCGCGCCCCGGGTTCCCCGAGGCCCTCCTCCACAGTCCGAGGCAGTCCCACACAGCGGTGGTGGTACCACTGGTCGCAATGGTCACACGCCACCATGGGCTCGTCCTCGTCGTACACCCGCTGACACAGGCAATACACCGTCGACATCTCTGCCAGCTTGTCCAGCTCGCCTTCCACCTGCACGGATGCAACGCATGTGCGTACGGCAACATGCTGAAACAGAATGAATGGAAATCCAACAAACCTCCGTTTATACCTCCACTTACTGTAAGGCACACGGCAGCGTAGAAACATCTTCCCGCTTCATCCCTCAGCTATTTCCCCTCGGGGCCCTCTCAAGGGAGCCCTCCAACCCCTCTGAAAGTCCTATTCCTCAACACCTAAATTTCAAACACCAGCTACCACTCCGCCCCACGCGCCTTGATCGGCAGCGACTGTCCCGCCTTGACATGTTCCTGGGCGTCTTGCAGCAGTTCCCGCAGCTCCGCAGCTCCGGGCCCATTCGCCTGGCGCCCTGCCGCCTGGTGCAGCGCATCTGTCAGCACCCTCGCCTTGTCCAGCCAGTGCCTTCCCGCCGCCATCTGGGTCTCCAGCTGCCCCAGCAGAGGCTCGTCGGGGGCCACTCCGAATGTGCCGGCATCCCGGAGGAGGCGCGCCACCGTATCAAGGGGGACCTTGCTGCGTTGGAGGAAAAAGCGGACAAGGTAGAGCGCGGGGTAAGAGAAGAGAAGGTAGAAGAGAAGAGAAGAGGAGGTGGGTTTTTTTAGGAAACCCAAAAGATGATTCGAAAGATGGACATATGGGCAAATGTGATGGAAACATATTTCCAGTGCAGGCAGTCCAGTCCAGTCCAGTCCAGGAGGCGGGAGAGGGAGATGAGCATGGCCCGACTGGATCGGGGAGGGGAACCGCGAGGCAGGGGGATACGAGGTGGTGGACATTCATCGAAATTCCTTATCCCACAGTCTGCCAACCAACGCCGACCACGCTCCACCAGCACGTTTTCCACTCGCCTGTTCCCCGGCCGCTGCACTGTACCCCCCCCTGCGCTCCACCAGCTCTCCAGTTTGAGCAGCCGCAGCGCTTCCACCGCTACCTCCCCTGCATCCATCTCGCAAACACAAGCCTGCTTGATGACCTCCCGCACCGCCCGAGAGGTGACCGCCAGGGCGGCATCCAGGGGGGGTTCATCGAGGGTGGTCGTGGCGGTAAGCTGGCTGGCGTGGGTATTGCTACCACCGTTGGCGGTTGCAGTTCTGGCAGTTGAGACCCGGGCTTTCAGTCGCTCCAGCAAGGCTTCATAACGGGACAGCAGTTCCCGGGCAAGAGGCTGGAGGGGAGGGGATAGCGGGACAGGGCGCGGGATGAGGTTCAAGGCAAGGTGCCACAGACGAGCCGCAAGAGCGGACGATCGAGAGGACGGCGTGGGGAAGTGCGGAACTTCAGGCATGATCCTGCCAGGAAGGCAGTGAATCCAGGAAGCGCGTCGGGGCTTCAGGGTCGCGTTTAGCGCTATTTCTTTGGGGTCCGGGTTGTGGAGCCCTTAGGCCGTCCACCCAATAATCGCTGCGGCTATCGCCTTTCCGGCTTTCCCCCTCACTGCCTCAGCGCGCGCACGACATCGTAGAAGGCGAGGTCACCCCTTTTGCACGGCCGACAGCAGTCCGCCCTACTGGAAGTCCCCGGCGGCCCCCACAACCCCCATCTCGCACCTCCCAGCACTTGTACGTGTCCCTGGCCCTCCTCAGCATCTCCT